CCTCCGACGGCCACGCCGGGACGTTTGAACTTTGGGTCTTTCCGCTCCAAGAAAACATGGTGGACGTAAGGAAACTTCTGGTTCCTTAATAAATGCCCCCCGGGGGGCCTCGATGGCCCCAAAGTGCGAGACATCTGTCGATCCACCAAATTTAATAAGGAATTCCCGGGGTCCCAAGTAAGGTCCTTACTTGGGTGCCTGGCGGTCCCAGAATTCAGGGCCTTACTTGGGTCCTCGGCGGTCACAGGTCCCACAGGTTCCACAGGTCCCACGTGTCCCAGATGTCCCACAGGTCCCATAGGTCCCACGGGTCCCGCAGGTCTCGAAGGTCTCGCCGGTCCCGCAGGTCCCGCAGGTCCCGCAGGTCCCACAGGCCGCACAGGTGCCACCGGTGCCACACGGCCCGGAGGTCCCGCAGGTCCCGCAGGTCCCACAGGTCCCACAGGTCCCTCAGGCCCAACATATCCCACCGGTCCCAAGGTCTTGCAGGTGTCACAGGTCCCGCAGGTCCCACATGTCCCACAGGTCCTACAGGTCTTACAGGTCCCACAGGACCCACAAGTCGCAAAGAAGGTGCCAAAGGTCCCACAGGTCTCGCAGGTCCTACAGGTCCCACACGTCCCACAGGTCCCAAGGGTCCCACAGGCCTCGCGGGCCCCACAGGTCCCACAGGCCCCACAGGTCCCACATGTTTCACATGTCCCATAGGTTCCGCAGGTTCCGCAGGTCCCGCGTGTCGCGCAGGTCTCGCAGGTCCTGCAGGCCCCGCAGGCCCCGCAGGTCCCGCAGGTCCCACTGGGTCCCACAGGTCCCACAGGTCCTACAGGTCCCACAAGCCCCACAGGTCCCGCAGGCCCCACAGGATCCACAGGGTCCGTATTTCCCACAGGTCTCGCAGGTCGCGCAGGACCCGCCAGTCCCGCATACTCCATAGGCCCCGCAGGCCCCGCAGGTCCCACAGGTCCCACATGCAGGTCCCGCACGTCCCACAGGTTCCGCAGGCCCCACGGGTCTTACAGGTTTTAAATGTCTCGCAGGTCCCGCATGTCCCGCAATTCCCACAGGTCCCGGAGGTCCCAGAGGACCCATAGGTCCAACAGGTCCCACAGGACCCGCAGGTCCCGCAGGTCCGCAGGTGCCACAGGTCCCACAGGTATGAATGACCCCACAGGTTTCACAGGTTCTCGCAGGTCCACCGGTCGCACATGTCCCGCAGGTCCCGCAGCTCTCACAGGTCCCACAGGTTCCGCAGGTCTCCCAGGTCCCTCAGGTCCCACAGGTCCCACAGGCCCCCCGGGTCCCACAGGTCCCGCAGGTCCGACAGGTCCCGCCGCCAGCACAGGTCCCACGAGTCCCACAAGTCCCGCAGGTCGCGCAGGTCCCACAAATCCCGCAGGCCCAGCATATCCCACATGTCCCACAAGTCCCACATGCCCCACATGTCCCACAGGTCCTACAAGTCCCGCAAGCCCCGCAGGCCTCGTAGGTCTGGCAAGTCCCGCAGGCCCCGCAAGTCCCAGTCCCCCCAGGTCCCACATGCCCCGAAGGCCCCACAGGTCCCACAGGCCCGATAGGGCTTACAGGTCCTACAAGGGCCACGGGGTCCGCAGGTCCCGCAGGTTCCGCAGGACCCGCAGGTCCCACAGGTTTCGCAGGTCGCGCAGGTCCCGCATGTCCCACACGTCCCACAGGCGACGCATGCCCCACAGGCCCCTCAGGCCCTACAGGTCCCACAGGCCCCACAGGTCCACCCAGCCCCTCCGGTCCCACAGGTCCCACAGGTCCCACATGTCGCGCCGGTCCCGCAGGCCCCGCAAGTTCCGCAGGTCCCACGGGGCCTACAGGTGCCACAGGCGCCACAGGTCCCACTGGTATCGCAGGTCCTGCAGGTCCCACAGGTCCTACGAGTCCCTCAGGTCCTACAGGTCCGACAGGTCAGGCAGGTGTCGCAGGTGGCGCAAGCCCCGCAGGTCCCACAGGTCCCACAGGTCTCGCAGGGACGACAAGTTTTGCAATTTCGAAGGCCCCACAGGTCCCACCAGGCCCACGCGTCCCACAGGTCCCAAGGGTCCCACAGGTCTCGCAGGTCCCTCAGGTCCCACAGCTACCGCAGCCCGCACAGCTCCCACAAGTTCCACAGGGCTCACGCTCCCAACATTTCTCCCAATTCCGGCAGGTTCCACAGGTCCCGCAGGTCCCACAGGTCACCTTTGGTGTTATTAAGATGGTTCCTGGGGTGATGTTTGCAAGGCGAAGGCGCGTGTAATTGCATGCGCTGCGAGCAGCGCAGAGTGAACCGTGAGTGCAAGTGCGAAACGCTGCCATGTAAATTTGGGATTGCGCCCGTCCTGGAATCTTTTTGTGAACTTGCGGTTGCGGTGGTTTCCATCGTGGTCACACCATGCGCGGACGAGCCCGAGATAATGCACCTCGGCCCAATAGGCAATTCGCCGCCGCAACAGTGTCCGTGGGACATGCCCCGCGCGGTCAGCACTGGCCGAATATGACGAGGGAGTATTTCATGCATGTGGGTGGGGGGGTGGGGGGGGGGGAGGCTGCGCGACGCCCGGCGCGCCGCTCGCATATGTAGCGCAGCGATGCTACGACCGGCGCCCCTCGCGCCTGCGCCCCCGCGCATTCGAGGAGGGAAGCGTGGTTCGCGTGGGATATCTTTCCTACCTGCAGGATCGCAGTCAGCAGCGACGGGGATGACGACGACGCCCTGACGAAGCACGCATTGGGCCACACGTGCGACGGGGTGCGCGCGGTTTCGCCCTCTAACCCGCTCGACGGCCCAGACGCGCAGCGCGCTGTCGAGCTGGTAGCCGACGCCCCAGATTATTTTCGGATTTTGGGTTTGGCCAGGAGGAGCACGCGCAGTTGACTGGAACATGTCTCGTTGGGGATCCTCGATTTGGCATTGAGCTTGTTCCAGAAAGTGGGCTCTAGATCCATGTCTGAGTTTTCACTGCGCATGGGAAAACCTTGGCGACAATGCACCTGCGTCGTTGACATCATGACTGGAGGCCTGGCATGTTGGTGGCGCTGAGGGTACGTGGGTGACTCGAGGGCTGCAGCGGCCACGTCGCAGCTCGCATCATGACCCAGCTCTGGAAACACACTCGGGACGGACAAGAAGAGAGGGCGCAGTTGCTGCAAGTGTTCTGCAGGACGTTACCGATTTCACTCCAACGAAGCATGTATATGGCCCTGCACCACGCCCTTGCCACCCTGCTGTCCAATCGCGCTGGGCGTTCCAGTGATGGACGCGTCGGAACTAGTGCGCATTGGGTAGCGAGTAGGGTGTAGGGAGTAGCGAGTAGTGAGTGGTGAGTAGTGAGTACTGTGTAGGGAGTAGGGAGTAGCGAAAAGCGAGTAGTGGATAGTGAGCAGTGAGATGTGGGCAGTGAGTCGTGCGTAGTGAAGTGCGACTGGTGAGTAGCGGATAGTGGTTATTGGGTAGTGAGTAGTGATAGTGAGTAGTGAGTAGTGGGTAGTGAGATGTGTTTAGTGAGTAGTGGGTGTTGATGAGTGGGTAGTGATTACTGGGTAGTTAGTAGTGTTTGGGGAGTAGGGAGTCGGGGGTAGTGAGTCGTGGGTCGTGTGTAGTGAGTATTGGGTAGTGAGTATTGAGTCGTTACTAGGGAGTAGTGAGTAGTGAGAAGTGAGAAATGGGTAGTGCATAATGAGTTGTGTGTGCGTTCTGTTGGGGGCTTGGGTTAGGGTTTTGGGTCTAAGGAGAGGGTTTGGAGATAGGGTGAGGATAAGTGTTAAAGGGTGGTAGGGGTCGGGTTCCGGAGGCCGGGGGCGCCGTGGCGAAAGCAGAGGGGGGGAGGGGGGGGGGTCGATTTTGGCGGCCAAGGGGGGGAGGAGGGGGGGGGCCCGACGACGGACCGGGAAAGGCGGGGAGAGGCGGGGCTTCCCGGACGACGGATCGGGAAAGGGGGCAGGGGGGGTCCCCGACGACGGATCGGGGAAACGGGTGGGGGGCCCACCCCCTCTGGGGAGATCCAGCGACGCGCCCTCCTCAAGAGCACCCTCCACGAGGCCCATGAGGACCCCATGGCGGCTCCAAGGCGGAGCGAAAAGCTTGGCAGACCTTGAGGCAAAGATTGCCCCGATGCACCCGACGTCGTTCATGTTTTGTTCTCGCAGAGCGGCTCCCCAGAGGTTTGGGCCTTCTCCCGAGCTCAAGTCTGAGTCGTTTTCCGACCGTCCCGTGAGAGAGGGCCCCCCCGCGCGGCCGGTCAAACATTGTCGACGCTTTGCGGATCCCCGCCAGGCCATCCAGAAACGATGCCCAGAGGAATTGCCTCGATCAGGGAAGTGGGCGGCACACATAGGAAGCCAATATGGGACATTTTGGGGTATCTTGAGCCATCTTGGAGGTCATTGTGGGCTCTCCCAGGCGCTCTTGGAGTCATCTTAATCAGTGCCCCCCCCAAGAGGCCAACATGTGGTTAAAACCGCAGTAGAATCAATGATTTGGCATTCTCGCCGAGGCTTCTTTGAACATCTTGGGTGCCTCTGGGGGGTCTCTCAGGGCCTCTTGGGGGTCTCTTGGGGGCCTCCTGGGGGCCTCTTGGGGGCCTCTTGGGGCCATCCGGGGCCATCTTGGGACCTCTTTTGTGGCCTCCTGGGCGCTTCTTGGGGCCATCTTGGAGGAGATCGATCACAGGAGGGGGGGGGTACTGATTACAGTCGCCCCCCCAGGAGGCCCAAATGGGGCCCAAACCATAGTATAATCAATGATTTTGGCTTCCTCGCCGAGGCCGTTTTGGACGCTCCGACGACTCGCGACACCCCTTGTCCAGGTTCACGGGGAGGGGGCAGAGGGAGGGGTAAAGCGCTCCCCGGAGGGGAAGAAGGAGGGGTGGAAGAGGAAACGCTCTAAACCACCGACGCCCAGAGGGCTGCTGGGATTTCCCCCGCCGTGATCGATACACGACGCGATAATGTCGGGCAGCGCCTGGCCTGTCCGACCGGCGCCCGGGCGCCAGGCATTTCCTGGGAGCGGCTCGGCTGGTGGGCCCGCAACAGCACGGAGGAGAGTCGTGGGGCTCGCGGGCCGGCCCTTGCGCTCCTGCCGAGCTGGATAGGATGAGGCAGGGGAGGAACAGGGCGATGAGGAGGGTAGGCTGAGGGTGAGGGTCTGCTGCTTTGCTAGCGCAGCTCTGCTGTACGTTTTCGCCTCTTCAAGCTTTTGAGCTGCATGGAACCCGCACGCTGAACAACACCAGACCCCCAGTCCCGCGTGATGCCTTACCTTATGACTTGAATCTGGATCCCCCCCCCAATGTGCACCCGCCGCCCAGGGTGGGGGTCAAATAAAGACCCGTCCACACTCACTAAATCAAAACATGAGGAGGTTATCCAGTCCTTTCGCTCGCTTTGGTGGCTGTACCCTTGCACACAACGTGTTGTGACGAGAGCATCACAACGACAGACGGAGCAGGAGGCCTAGGCTGGGCACGGTGGGATGCTTTCCTACCGAGGCTTTTCTCATGCTCTTGTTTAATTGTCAGGGTCTCAATCGTACTCTGAAGAATCCTCATCCCAACCAGGATCGCTTTGTGCTCAATAGCATGGACACGGGCACGACCATTTTCAGACACTCTAAGATTCATCAGCTCCAAGTGCGGCAAAGGCGTCAGCCATGACATTGCCCGAGACCAGCAGCTTGGGCGCCTTATCTTGCAGCACCTCTAATGTCTCGAGGTGCGAATTGACGAGCAACGTCGTGCTCTGCAGGTCGGGGTGCTCGAACAAGTACCTATCGATCTGCCGCCACAGGTCGCTATCGGGCCCGTCTGGCTGCTTGTGCCGTTGATTCTACCAACCGATGATCACGCTTTCGATGTCCGTTTTGTATACTATGTGTCCTCGACTACCACACAGCGCGAGGAAGAAAGAAAGTAGCTTTCCCCTTGGTACGGGCTGGCGTGGCCCAGGCAGGCCTCCCCATACTCCCGTAAACAGCTCCATATTCTCATTGAAATCGCGAAGACAGGCGAGCACACATCCAATACGACGTAGCCTCGGGTCCCTGCTCTCTGGGCCGCCGCTGGCGTCCTCGAAGATGTAGAGGGGTGCTCCCGGGTGCCCTCACCGAAGCAGCCGTCGGCGAAGTCATCGCCCGCCGTGCTCCAGGAGTCGGCACGCTGCGAAGCCTCCACTGCCAACCGTGCTGCTGGAGTGAGGCCTCTCGTCCAGCAAGAGGCGTCGGCCTCTTCCTGGGTGTAGCCTTCTCCACTATACTATGAAGGCCCGGCGGCCGGTGCCGCCGACCCGGAAAGACATCAACGACGACCAGGAGGGCGAGGAGGAGGAGAAGAAGGAGTAGGAGGAGGAAATCTCCCTGGGTGTAGCCTTCTCCAGCAGATTGCTCCGTCAAACTGTGCATGTCGTGCTGGCATCGCCCTTCGCAAGCTCGTACCCGATGAGCGTTTCCCGCGATGACCTCGGCAGCTCAAGCAATCTCGTGACATCTCCTGCTTGGCACGCCTCTCCTCCTCCTCATCCTCCTCCTCATCCTCCTCCCCCTCGTTTCCTTCCTCCTCCTCCTCCTCCTGTCTCAGTCTCAGGCCCCAGGCCTCGTGTCGCAAGGTGCCTCGTCCACTCTTCGGGAGGAAGAAGACGAGGCCCTTTTCGTTTCGAAGCTGCCGCATCGTGACGAGGGCGACTCTAGTTCTGACGAATGCCTGGGGGAGAAGCAGCTGGCCACGGGGAATCCTCCAGCCAGCTGGAGATGTCTATGTGGCCTCCTGCCTTTCCTCTGTCTTCAGGTGTTAGTTCTCTTTTGCTGGCACTGGCCAGCCTGCCTGCCCTAATTGTCTGGGCGGGCACTCATCCTTGATGTTGATGTCAAAAAATCCTCCTCCTCCTCCTCCCACTCCTTCCCTTCCTCCTCCTTTTCCTCCCCCTCCTCCTCACGCTCCTGTTGTCGAGATCGTGGCCATGTGGCCCCAGCAGCTGTCGCAAGCATGAGACCTGCGAGCCGTCGGCCTGGAGCGCGGTGGAGAAGACGTCGATCTGATCGATAGCAGGCCCCTCCTTCGAGACCTGATCCTTCATCATGTTGAGCTGCACGTTGCCGCAGACTGGTCTGGACTGTGTGCTCGTACTCGTAGAGGAAAGCACTGGGTAGATCAATGCTCTCGATACCCGTTAGACAGTGGGTTGCGATCTGCCAGGTGTGCGCAGCACCGTCGCGACTGCTCGGTGTGACCCAACTTGTCGGCGAGTCTGGCAGCCATCCAGCTTGCAGCAAATAACATATCACCGCACCTTGAGGCCCACGGATGTGTCGTGCACGTTGAGCCTGTGGTATTGCAGCGAGATTTCGGGCAATAGTTGGCCATGTACGTGTGATGCCGTCACGTATGGTCGGCTGGCGAATCCATCAAGACACCATAAACGAATGCTTTCCCTAGGTAATGTGCACGCTGGGTCTCTACCAACTGCTTTCAAATCTATCAGTCTGTTTAGACATCGGACTGAAATCCGAGGGCCAAGCGCATTGCCCAACTTGCTGCGAAACTGTGTCATAACATCTCCGAATACTCCGTGTAATTGGTGCCCGTAGGCACCAGCAGCCTGTGCACCCTGCCGTTCTATCGTCGGGTCGCTCGAACATGTTTGACAAGTCGCTTCTGCATGGCATTGTGTTTAGCATGTCGAGCAGACCGGCATGCACGATCATGACGAAATCCTCCACCAAGATCTGCTCCCAGGTATGGTGACTGCGGAGCTGTTGAGCTCGTACTCTCCGTGCGATGATCTTGGTGTCATCCAACTTCGTGCAGACAACTACACCTTTAGCCGATATAGGAAGCCCTGAGCGCTGCATCGATCGGCAAATGTCCACCGGGCACAGCACGAGTTTGTTGTGCATCGTCTCTCTTGCACTCCTTGACCGACTGGCAGAGACCGTCGATCCACAGCCGCCGCGACATGCCCAGATGCACCGTCGTCATGATGTGCATGATGTGGTATGCGCGCACTTGGCAAATCTGGTGTTTCCGCGAACGGCTCCGAGTATGTGCCTGATTGCCTCGAGGACAGCGCCGCCGTACACTGCATCAGCTCCAACCCCATCACCTCGTCTTGGAAGTCTAGCAGCATCGCGGCCTTGCCGACCAGCAGCCACCCAATGGTATCGCAGAGCTGGCCTATGTCCAACATCCCATTGCCGTGATTGACTTGAAGCCTCGCCGTTAGCTCCTCGTCGATTACTCGCAAGAACACTTCACGAATCGCTGCATTTGAGGAGGAGAAGGAGGAGGAGGAGCAGGGCAGCTGGTTGAGTGGAGGAGGAGGAAGAGTAGGAAAAGAAACTGAATGGAGGAGGAGGAGGAGGAGGAGGAGGAGGGGGAGGTGACGCAGAAGGAGCTGGAAATAACAAGGCGGACGATCAGGAGGGAGGAGGATGGGGGCTTGGAGGAGAGGACTGAACGAGGACCAGGAAACATCAGGGGAGGAGGAGGTACCGATGTCGCTGCTCGTTCTTGAGAACCCTTGCCGCCACAGCTGGATCCTGGATTCTCCACGAAATTCTTGTCTGAAGTCACTCGAGGAGAGGTCCAGGGAGTAGCGGTATCGGTATGAAATCGCTCCCCCAGACGAGGTTGAGGGCTCGGGGCTATAGGGGCTCATGATATTGACGAGGTTGGTGGATAGCATGAGGAGCAGTAGCAACATAATGAGGCCGGTGTGAGGGTCAGAATTGTGTTTGTGATGGAGCCTGTGCACTTGGGGCGTGATTTGGTGGTGCGTCGGGTGCGGGCTGGTGCAAGACGCATGCTCGAAGCGTTTCTCGAGGATGAGCTGGAAGAGGAGGCGGAGGAGGAGGATCGAGGGTTGTGGGAAGGATTGGGGGAGGAGCAGGAGGAGGAGGAGGAGGAGGAGGAGGAACAGGAGGAACAGGAGGAGGAGGATTGGGAGGAGGAGGATTGGGAGGAGGAGGAGGAGGAGGAGGAGGAGGAGGAGGAGGAGGAGAAGGAGAGGGAGAGGGAGAGGGTGGAGGAGGAGGAGGCGGAGGAGGAGAGGGTGGAGGAGGAGAAAAGAGGAGCTACGGAGGACGAAGTTTGGAGTGCAGGGGGGAAAGGGCGAGGCAGGTCTGATCCACGAGCGTCGGCCTGCCGCAGCCGCGCCCTCCTAGTCGGCCACGACCTCCTGCAATCGTGCTCCTCACGCAGAGGAGGAATCATCACAGCGCTGAGTCGGGCATGTCCCTCAGGAGAGGAATGGTCAAAAGCAGTTACGGAACAGTCTGGAGATGATTTTGTCGACTATGTTTGACGATTAGGAGTTTGGTTTTGACCACTTGACGTCTTCCTGCAGGAGGACATGCCTGACCTAATCACAGTGATACGTTCCAAGATTCGACGAAGGAAAGCACGGCATACACATATACTTTCGACGCCCCGCGCGGATCTCTCGGATCTGCGCTGGAGCCCTCTGCCGGCGCCTCTGGCGTCGCCCCTGGTGCGACCCGCTTGCCCTGGAGAGGGTCCCGCTCAGATCCGAGACATCCCCGCGGACTGTCAAGAGTTTATGATTCTGCATGTTGTGTGCCTATAGAGTTCTACCAGATATTAACGACTACTCTGTTCTGGAAGGCATCCTGGTATGCGTATGTGTATGTGTATATGTATGTGTGTGTGCGTGTGTATGTGTGTGTCTGTGTGTGTGTGTTTGTGAGGAGTGCGGAAGGTTCGCGTTTTGTCGACTGGCGGCGACCCCGTCTCCGGCGTTCAACTTGAACACCGTCGGGTTTATAATCGGTCGATGTTGAGCGATCTGACGTTGCGGCAAAGGCCGATCGTTCAAGGGTGAACGATCCCCGTGGTGTCAGGAACTCTTGCCGGGGTAGATACGACGCGAGCCTTCCATACCATGCCCAGGGCCACGCAATCTCCCAGATCTCATGCCCCACCCGATCCTCCCATGCGTCCCGTGCGTGTGTGTGTGTGTGTGTGTATGTGTGTGTGTGTGTGTGTGTGTGTGTGTGTGTGGGGGGGGGGGGTAGGCAGGTAGGTTCGCGTTGTGTCGACCTGCGGCGACCCCGTCGCCGGCGTTCAACGCTGAACGCCGTCGGCGACCCAGATCCTTCCGATGTTGAACGAGCTGTTCCCATGCGTCCCTTGGTTTATGATGTTCCAACCTACTTCAGCCTCGATCACCAAAAAAGAAGTTCGAGCACCAAGACAGCGCCGACACTTGGGCTTTGTTAGCGTCGGGCCCCGGGAGGCGACCTCTTCCGACACCACTGCGACACTCCTTCCGGGTGCTCGAATCCTCCTCCTCCTCCTCCTCCTCTTCCTCCTCCTCCTCCTCCTCCTCCTCCTCCTCCGCGCGGCGACGCCGCCGTGGCACGGGCGAGGGCCGCGCCCGTCCCCGGAGGAGGAGGGCGAAGAGGTGCCGATGTGCCCTTGCCCTCGGGGGGGCGGCAGAGAGGGGGGTGATGCTTATAGGTGTGTGTGTGTGTGTGTGGGCAGCGTGGCGGGGGGCATGGAGGTACCTCCCCAGGTTTCCCGGCGCCTCATCTTTCGGTACGTCGCTGGCCCCTCCTCCTGGGCCACGCACCTGCCGCGGCCATGGTTTGCGCCCCCCTCCTCCTCCTCCTCCTCCTCCTCCTCCTCCTCCTCCTTCCCTCCTCCTCCTCCTCCTCCTCCCCCCTCCGCCTCCGCCTCCTCCTCCTCCCTCTCCTGCCCCTCCTCCTCCTCGTCGTCCTCCTCCTCGTCCTCCTTCTCCTCTCTCCTCCTCGGGGTCCGCCTCCGCTTCCTCCCTGCCTCCTCCTCCTCCTTTGTTCTCCTCTTCCTCTCTCCTCCTCCGCCTCGTCCTCCTCCTTCTCCTCCTCCTTCTCCTCCTCTTCCTCTCTCCTCCTCCGCCTCTGCCTCCTTCTCCTCCCCGCTTTGCCGTCCGCCCCTGCCCAGGGGGGGGGGGGGGGGCGCTGGCGCGGAGGGCCCGTCGAGCACGCGAGCGCCTCTGCGGGGACGGCGGCGGCGGGCACGAGGGCGGGGACGGCGAGGGCAAGAGCGAGGGCTTTGCAAAAAAACGAAGGATTGCAAAACAACGAAGGATTGCAAACCAAAAAAACGAAGGATTGGAAAAAACCCTTCGAAGGGTTGTTTAGCAATCCTTGGTGTTTTTGCAATCCTGGGTTTTTTTGCAATCCTTCGGACGGCGGCGGCGGCGACAAGGACGAGTTAGAGGACCGCCTCGCACGTTCGCCTCGCGCGGCCGCGCGCGCGCTCGCGCGCGTCGCTTCCTTGCCTACGGCGCCCAGGAGCGGCCGGTCCTCCACGGCCTCTTCGGGCGGGTGCGCCCGCCAGTTCGCGTTCCGTCTTGCGGGGGGACGGGGCGATGAGCTCGAGGGGGGGGCCACTCGAAGTCGAGGAACAAAAAGCTTCATACTTACACGTAAGCCAAATGTAGGACTGGGGAGAAGGGAGGATGAGAAGGTCCTCCTCCTCCTCCTCCTCCTCCTCCCTCTCCTATAGGGCTTGGATGTGTTGGATGTGTGCAGAGTCGGAGCCCTGCACATAGAGTTGGATGCATAGGATGTGTGCGTATGATCATAAACAAGAGCTGCAGAGTCTCAGGATGGGGACAGACTCACAGACACGGTTGCTCGTCGATTCCCAGAAAAATGAGAAATTATGGAAAGCGGCGGGGAAGGCGTTTTGTTTTGTTGGTGAAAATATGCGGAAACATGGGGACTCCGCGCGGATTTCTTGGATCGGCGCTAGACCCCCCTGCCTGGCGAGCGCGCCAGGGGCTGCGCCGGAGGTGCCGCCAGGGGGGTCCAGCGCCGATCCCTGAAATCCGGGCGGAGCTCCGACGGTTTATGCTCGTGCAGCTCTTCTTCTATGCCGACTCATCGGCGATGGATCGCCGATTCCACATCGATGGTTCCTCCCTCGGCCAGTACCCCCCCCGCCTAAAATTCGTCCTCACAACGGCGGCGCCGACGGGAGGGGAGGGGAGGGGAGGGGAGGGGAGGGGCGGGGGGGGAGGGAGGGAGAGGCGAGAGGAGGGGAGAGGGGGGGAGAGGAGGGGAGGGGAGGTGGCGGGGAGGGGCGGGGAGGGCAGGAAAGGGGAGGGGAGGGGAGGGGAGGTGCGGGAGGGGAGGGGAGGGGAGGGAGAGGAGGGGAGGGGAGGGGAGGGGCGGGGAGGGGCGGTGAAGGGAGATGGGGGAGGGGAGGGGACGGAAGGGGAGGGTAGGGGAGAGAAGGGGATGGGGCCCCTTGCGCGAGCAGGCGCCTGCCGGGCAGCTCACGGCGGTGATGGGCCCCTCGGGCAGCGGGAAGACGACGCTGCTGGACCGACACCCGCCCGGCGCGCCGGTGAGCTGTCCTCCCTGGCGCCCTCCCGGCTGGGCGCCGCGCCGCCCAGCGGGAGGGAGGCAAGCGGCGATCGATCGGGGGGGCGATCTCTCGGGTTGGGGGGCGATCTTTCCTCCTCCTCCTCCTCCTCCTCCTCCTCCTCCCCCTCCTCCTCCTCCTCATCATCATCATCATCCCCCTCCTCCTCCTCCTCCTCTTCCTCCTCCTCCTCCTCCTCCTCCTCCTCCTCCTCCCCGCCCAGTGCCCCCTCAGAAGGCCTCTCTGGGGTTTCCAGGGATGCTCTGTGGCGGCCTCTCACAGAGCCCTCTGGGGGGCCTCCAGGGGAGCCTTTCGGGGGCCCCACAGGATGTCGTCGTCGATTCCAAGTGGCTATAGAATAGTCATAGCATTTGGAGGGACCGTCGCAGAGCTTTACAGCCACATACTTTTTCTGCATTAGTGATCCGAACATAGATATCCCCAAAAAACCTCGGAGACCAGGACCGCCGCGATACGATTGGAAGGGCTTACGCAAGGGCGACCTAGCGAAGAAGTACACCGAGGGCTTCGTAAGCAAGTGGGAGAAGACAGTGCCAGGCACTTGCCTACAAGATAAAGCTGCGAATGTCGCGTCCTGCATGCTCGAATCGGCTGCTGAAAGCGTGCCGCTTCTACCGGCCACGCCGCACAGACGATGGATGTCTTCGCGGACATTTCGCTTGACAGACCAGAGGAGCAAACTTAGAGACATGGGTGTTCAAGCTGATGTGAAGGCGCTGAACAAACAAGTGCAAGTTTCCGCGCGCGCAGATCAGAGGAACTGTATGGATGACGCTGTCCAAGAAGGAGGTTGGAAAGAGATGCGCTCTCTAAGGACACATCCGCCGTTGCGACAAGGACGTTTGCGAGACAAACATGGCGTTGTGGAGGATTTCGAACAGGAAACAGAAACGATGGCATACTTTTTGGTATATCTACAGTGGAAGCTATAGTACGGCCCCGAGGCTCTACCTGAAGTAGAACTCAGTGCGGCCCCTCTCCACATAAATGTGGGACATATCACGATCGAAGAGGTACGGCGAGCATCCCAAGCGCTAAACACGCAAACAGCAGCAGCAACAGCACCACCAGATGTATAGCAGATTCTGTGGTCCAGCGACGCGGCGCTGGAGATACATGCGGGAACCATGTGATGGATGTTGGCAACAAAATGCAATACCACAAGACTGGCGAGAGGCATCCATCGTCACCATCTTCAAACAGGGGGACACATCACAACCGAACAACTACAGCCACAGTTCACTATTAGCCGCAGGTTACACTGTACTCGCGAGCATAATCTTACATGGGGCTCAGCGCAAGTGGCGTGGAGCAGCGCTTACGCGAATTACAATGCGGCTTCAGAACGGCCCGCGGCACCGCTGACGCACTGTTTTTTGGCGAGGCGCCGTATTGAAGCAGCTTTGGAAGGTAAATTTGGAAAGCTTTCTTTTTTAGTTCGTGCCAAAGCATTCGACCGCATCAAGCCGGACGGACTACTCCACGCTTGCGACAATTTGGCATACATCCAGGGCAGTTCAGCATGGACAAGGGAATTCACATGGCACGTAAGTTCATTGTGAAAAGTTGGGAAGGGAAGTCGTCCCAGCGATGTCAGAATGCAGTGGTCGCACAAGGCATTCCTTCGTCACCGTACTTATTTGTCATCGTAATGTCCACTCTTCTGTAAGATGTGGACGCCGAGCTACAGAACAATAGCCCCACGAGAGTCAATAAACCGTACGTCATAACGGAGGACATACTCTATGCCGACGACACGTTGTCAATAGCAGAAAACCCAGGCGCTCTTCAAACCCACTTGCATTTTATTGCGCACATTGGGAAATCACTCGGGCTGGAATTGAATGTTGGCGCGACGTTGCTCTTGAACGTCCGATGTGATGCGACTATCTTCGGGCCCCGGAGCGAACCTATTCAATGCCGAGACCACGCTGTCTCTTTGGATGGCTTTGCTAGTACCGATGGGAACCCCAAAACAGAGCTTACGCGACGCCTTGGCGAGGCGAATGGCGCATTCCAAAAGCTAAGTGTTGTGTGGAACCTTGCAAAGCTGTACCTCCGTCGAACAGCGATGACATTGGACATGTGCATATTTGCGAAGTTATTGTACGGGCTAGAGTCTTGCATGCGTCTCGCCGCTGATAAGGACAGGCTCAATGGTTTTCAAGCGCGGTGCCTACGTAAGATCTACACAATCCCCCGGCCTTTTTGTCGAGGGTGAACCATGAAGACGTAAGGGTCACGAGAGGAACGGCGCGGCTGTCTTCAACGTTGTTGCAGCGGCAGTTGGTTTTTTATGGGAAGTAAGCTCGTGATCGGCCCCGGGCACTGCCGAGGCAAATGGTTCTTGAAGAAGGGCACGCAAGCATAGTCATGCCAAGAAGATGGAGCATATCTCGGAAGCGAGGACGCCCGCGCCTGCAATGGACGTACTACATGCACGCGTGTGGTCTCACCACGGCAGGAGATTGTCCAGGTGGCTTGCAGAGCCTACTGCGAGGCCCTCCCGCTTCTTGGGAAGCTGCAGTTGCACGGTCTTGCAAATCTGTGTACTAGTTTGTTCCTCCCCTTGTCCATGTCCTCCTTTTCCCTCGCTCCTCTCCCTCCTGCCCCCATTCTTGCGTAGTAACGCGCTGATGCATTGCCTACCGCCGCCCACCGTTGCTCAATTCAGTGTTCCGGCGCGCATGCATTTAGTTTTCACACATTCATATTTTTGTGGCCTCCTATCTAGTACGATTGTCAGCCAGTGCGCCGTCTAGGCGCGGCTTCTGCCAGTCCAGTCCAGCAGGATGAGAAGGAGGAGAACGAGCGGCAACAGCAAAAGTAGCATCGTCAGCAGTAACAGGAGGATAAGCTGGCGGAGGAGGACGGGTGACCACGGCGACGAGGACGATGACGAAGGCGAGGGGCAGGCGGGAAAGCAACAGGGGGAGGAGGAGGAGGAGGAGGAGGAGGAGGAGGAGGAGGAGGAGGAGGAGGAGAGGACCGAGGTGCAGCACGCGCGGGCAGCAGCTGCGCGGGGCCCCGCCCGAGCGCAGGACATCCTTGCCATGCGCAAGACGGTGGGCCGCACGGAGGCCAGCTGCCTAGGGCCGGGGGAGGGGACAGGTTCCTGGCGAGTGCCAGGGTCTGGAGGTTTTCAGGGGCAACGGTTCAGTCGGGCGTGTCCCCCTACAGGAGGAATTTGCAAAATGGTAAAATCGTCTTGGGGCGATTTTCCAGTTTTTCATTTATTTATTCTTTTCCCCAACAAATCCGTTCGAATCTGTTTTGAGTATTTTTGAGTTTCGTCCAAATCGTCTTGGGGCGATTTTCCAGTTGTTCATTTATTCATTCATTTCCAACAAAAACACCGTTCGAATCTGTTTTGAATATTTTTGAGTTTCGTCCAAAACCCTCGTGTAGGGGGACATGCCGGACCTAAGACAACGATGAGGGATAATACGGAGGCAAAACGGGGGGATGCATCGACTCCCGAGCGCCCAATGCATCGACTATCAGGTCACGTGGCCCCACCCCGCCCAGGAGCGTGCGCATTTGCTATGAGGGACCTATCGCCGATTTGCTATGTGTCGCCGATTCCAGCGTGTTGTTTCCCCACCTGAGCTGACCCCCCCTATCGTTGGCCCTCAGGTTTGTTTCGGGGTCAGATACCACGCAACGGGAGCCATCGAGAACAAAGAGCCCCCTCTAACCTTATCACACAATGAAGACGTGGCCTCGCTGAGGTCCCCGTCTTTGCATCAAGGATGATACAGCTGGGCGGTCTGGTGTGACACATATGGTGGCAAGACTCCCCATCCCTAATGTTTTGGGCCTCTGGATAAAGGTCCGCCCTCAAAGAGTTCGGGCTCTATTCTTGGGCGGCTCGTTGAGAGCTAAGAGGGTTTAAGCTTGAAAGCCGGCTGGCAAGGGTTGGCCCTGGAGCTTTCCAGGAGCTCCTTCCCAGAGCTCCGTGAGCTCGTTCGAAGGACATCCCAGAAGTTCTTAACGATCGCCTCTGTGTCCAAGTCGTCGATCGGAGAACAACCAGTGACACAAGAACATCACAAATCTGAAGTCCGCGCAGAGCTCTCGGGTCGGCCCTGGACCCCCCTCCCTGGCGCGCGGGGCGCGCTAGGGGCTCCGGCGCCGATCCGAGGAACATCCGCGCGGACCCCCGAGTATTTCTGTCTACGCCCTTGCTTGTTCCCCTGTTGGTCGCGTCTGAGTGCCCTCCGCCTCCTCCTGTCCTTCGCGGCCGCCCCGTCTGTCTTCTCGACCTCCCATCCTCCCGCATGCCAGCCAGTTCGCGTCTGTTGGCCGCGCCGCTCGCTCACGGCTGGTGCAGCTCCTGTGCCTCGCCGCCGACGAAGCCAATGTTCCCCGATTGCTGTTGGACACCACAGGTTGCTGGTCGGAGCGCACTTTCGCTTCGACCACCGCGGTTGGCGGCCTTCTGAGAAGGCTCGGGGGAAACCCTCGCGCCTTTGGGAAGCGTTTTATGTGTCTTCGGGGAGCGCTTAGAAACGTCTCTGGAGGCCAGGGGGCTTCCGAGCTCCCTGAGAAGGCCTCCTTCTTCTTCTGTCCCCCTCTCGCTCGCCGCCGGCTCTGTCATTGGTTGTCCCCCTACCCAGAGATCCGATGTCGTGATGTTTTCCGTACGCAGTCCCCGGACGTCTCGACCCATCCCCCAGGACCAGTTCCTCATCCTGAGCCCCCTGCTGACGGCCCCAGGGCCCAGCGAGGGCCCCTCGAGGCCGCAAACCGCGAGAACCCTCCGTCTTGATTTTTCGTGAGCACGTTGGATCTCTGGGCTGGGACCCCCCGAGCTGCCCAACCGGGGCGCCGCTGCGCCTCCGGCCGCCGCGGCCGGCCTCCCGCCGACCGCCGCGGCGGGCGGCCCCCGCCGGGGCCGCCGCGGGGGGCACGCCGGGAGCGCGGCGCGGCGCCCGCTCGGCCGGCCTCGGGGCTTGGCCCCCGGGCCTGGGGCGCTCGTTCGGGGCGGTCGGGCGAATAGAGAATTGTATGCACTCTATAGGGCTACAGGGCTCCCTTACTGGCTTCCCTCAGTACCTGGGGCCAGGCGGCGTGGCACCCGCTGCGGCTGCGGCGGCACCCCCCGCGCCTGCGGCGCCTGCCGCAGCGCTTTTCGCGGCACCTCCCGCTGCGCCACCCGCTGCCAGGGCCAAGAACAGGGCCACTGAGGCCGAGATGGCGCGCCGTCGCCATAACTTCGCGTGCCCCCCAGATGGGGTCCGAGTGGATGGGGTCGGAGGATCGCGCCGCATCGCCGATGCATCGCCGATGCGGCTCGATGTGGAGCCCGAACTTGTACACGCCGGTGGCGCCGAAGATGCGCCGACGTCGCCGACGCATCGTCAATGCATCGGCGATGTATCGCCGATGTATTGTATCGGCGATGCGGCGCGATCCTCCGACCACATTCACTCGGACCCCATCCAGGAGGCCTCTGTGCACGTGCGCTGAGCCTGGCAAGGCCCACCCTTGGCCCAGGATCGGTGCATGTGCCTTCCGGGCCAAGGCAGGAGGGCGTATGCGCTGATCATGGGCTCGGGATGGGCCTGGCCAGAACTGGTGCGCGTGCATAGTTCTCTTTCCTCTAGGGCGGTCGATTTGGGGACCCCTGAGGGGTCCGCCGACGGCGTCGTGGCCGCGCCGTGTTGACAGTCGGCAAGAGCCCGTGGCCACCGCGCGGTGTTGGGGCTCGGGTCGTTCTCCGAGGGCGTCTCGGGCGACGGGGGCATCCGAGGTCCCAGAAGCGCGCGGTGACGGAGCGCGCGGCGAGGTCCTTCGAGATTTCGAGGTCACCGCGCAGTCTGTCACCGCGCGGTATTGGGACCCCCCGTCGACGCGGGTATGGAATGGATGGTCGAGGGAGGAAAAAAACATCCAGACCAGATAATTGGCATTATTACTAAACCGCCCTGGGCGTTTACGAAAATGCCCTGACACGTTGGAGCTTTTCTTTGGGTGATTCTACCAAACGGCTTCGCGTGTCGGGGTTGTTATCATCGGGTTGGATCTTTCGCCGTCTAGATGTGCGCGAGTGAGTCGGGCCTGTCCTTCTACAGGAAACACATTTTTGAATCAAAAGCAAAAATAGCCTGGGAACGATTCTGTGATGATTTTTGGATTTTTGTTTGACTATTGCTGTTTTTTCGTCCAAAATCCGCCTGAGGGGGGACATGCCCCACGGATGGGCACGCAGACCCAGACCCTTCGAGTAATGAGAAAATCGCGAAGGGAGGCTTTTTCGCCATTTTCGGCCTCTGTGGGCCCTCGCCGGGCCTCGGGAGCGTCAGAAAAACGATCTAGGACGAAAAACCGCTCCCGGGGAATGGGTCGAGACCCCTGGGGGTCTGCACCATGGACAAATCATGGCGTCGAGGGTGTGGGGGCACGGATTAGGAAATAATGGGAACGCAAACGTCGGCGGCGAGCGAGGGGGGGTGACGAGGTACCCACTTCGCTACCCTTCCCCGGCGTTTTCCTACTTCGGGCCTCCTGGGAGGCCCTCGTCGCCACCGATGGATGCGCTTCGAAACTCGCGTCAAACGCACCTTGGGAGAGGTCCAGGGAGTAGCGGTATCGGTACCTTCTCGGTTACACCAGAGCGAGGGGGGAAAGTGAGAAGGAGGGTCTTGTCACATGTTGTTCATTTTGAATGGGGTTCGCTGTCGGCGTCGCTGCGGTTGTCCATTTGAGACTGAAGGCCGCCTGCCCAACAGCGGCCGCTGCTGGTTTTGGATAACATTTGTTGTTGGGCATTGTGCTCATTTGTTCCGTGCGCACTGCAGGCGTCCAAATCATGGGAGCCTCAGAGGAAGAACCCACAGTTTCCTGCGTTTGGGGGATGTTATCCGCATCCGCCAGATTTGGTCGACATTTGGACGAAATCTGGACAACATTTGGACGAACGGTGGTCGAAGTCTGGACGAATTTCGGTCGAGATCAGGTTTCAGATAGGTCCGCGGAGGTCCAAAGAGGCTCCCATGAAGGCTCCCCCAAGCAGAGCTCGAGCTAACCAGTGTTTTGGCGACCTCGTGGACCTTTTTCGTTTTGATGTTTTGTCGCAGACGGCATCACGAAGGCAGAACGAAGGACAACGACAGCAACACGAAACAATTACGAACACGGCTTAGCTCGAGCACTGCACTAACGGGCGCACACCTCGACGCCAGAAAAGGTACGGGATGAAGAGACCGGCGCCGATCCTGTACGGAAAAGGGGTCCGTTAGCCAAGCCTCAGTTCGGGCACGTCTCTTTACAGGAGGAATACTCATGAACAACCGAACAATAGTATGGGGACGATGTTTCGATTCTTGTTGACTATGCTTGAGCATGTGTTGTCCATTTTCATCCCAAGTCCGCCTGTAGGAGGACGCGCCCGACCTAAGCCAAGCGTCGGGTCTCCAGCTCCCCTGCACGTCGAGGTAGAGCCCGATCTCTAGACTCTTGAAATCTGAGCGGGTCGGGCTGCCGATGTTGCGGCCTCTCGGGGGGGGCTTTCGGGGACCCACGGCCGTCAACATAATGCCTCGGGATGAGAAGCGGGTCTCCCGGGAACGGATCGGACATTCTCCGGACCGCGCGTGGAGCACGCCGGGGCATCGGACGTCGGAAGAGCCGTCGAGCGGGGCCGCCCCTTCTGCTTCCCCTCCGCCGTCGGAGGTGGGGCAGCTCCTCCCTCCTCCTCCCCCTCCTCCTCCCCCTCCTCCTCCTCCTCCTCCTCCTCGCCTTCCTCCGCCCCCTCCCCCCCTCCCCCCTCCTCGCATTCCTCCTCCCGTCGCGGCCGCTGCCGTGTGTCCTCTCTCTCTCCCCTGCCCGTGCGCGCCCGTGCCTCCCCCGCCCCCTCCCGTGCTCCTCCGGTCCGTGCTTGCCCTCCCTGCCTGGCTCGGGTATGGCTGGGATTAGGGGGCCACACGCGAACCCTCCCCCTCCCTCCCCCTCCCCCTCCCCCTCCTCCTCCTCCCCTCCTCCTCCTCCTCCTCCTCCTCCTTCCTCCTCCTCCTCTCCTTCCTCCTCCTCCGCCTCCTTGCCCCTACCCCCACGATTTCTGAGGGGGAGGGGGGGGTCCACTCCGCTCGGGAGCTCCCGAGCGAAGTGAACCCCACCCTCCCCCTCAGCAGTCGTGCGGGGTAGGGGCAGGGTTCGCATGTGGCCCCCGAAGGTTTAGGCTCGGCGGCGAGCGAGGGGGAGAATTGGGGAGGAGAAGGCCCTCTCAGAGGGCGGCGGGACGTCTCAGAAGCCCTTGCGGCTTCTGAGAGGTTTTGTTGTGCCTTCCGGGAACGCTTAGAAAACTTTTCGGAAATCCGGGGGACTTCAGAGCCTTCTGGGAAGGTACGTACGCCCTTTAGGCTCGGCGGCGAGCGAGGGGGAGAATTGGGGAGGAGAAGGCCCTCTCAGAGGGCGGCGGGACGTCTCAGAAGCCCTTGCGGCTTCTGAGAGGTTTTGTTGTGCCTTCCGGGAACGCTTAGAAAACTTTTCGGAAATCCGGGGGACTTCAGAGCCTTCTGGGAAGGTACGTACGCCCTTTCTGACTTCCCCCCTGGCTCGCCGCCTATAAGTAGGGCCTGTCCCTCTGCAGGGGAATCTTCAAAACTAGCCCAAAAATGATCAGGGGACGATATTTTGACGATGCCTGCGCATTTTCTGGCTATTTTTTATTGGTATTTTTGAGTTGTCGCCCCTGTAGGGGGACAGGCCCGACCCAATCACAGGTAAGGGGACCCGGTCCGGGTTAGTAGTAGGGCCCTGGAGCTTATAAATTTGTCAGAATCACGAAACCAGGTCTGCCGTAGTTCGTTTTTTTGTTCGGATGCAGGCAGTTCCGATCAGTGGAACGGGGCGGGGGGGGGGGCGTCCCCCAGCACACATCACTAAACCAGGTCCCACCAAACCCAGTTCAGCCGACGCCCGACTTGCTCCTTTCAGGAGGGAATGCAACACATCGACAAAATTCATCGTCGACTCCCCGGAAAATATGGGAAAATTTTGGAAGAAGGGGGGGAAGACGAACGACCCAGGAAAGATGGGGAAAGCATCGGGAATCCTGGGATTCGTGCCTGTCTGTTTGCGTGTCCCAGGGCCCCTCTGCCCTCCTCCTCCCCGCTGCGGCGGCTCCCTCTCCGCCTTCCGATCCCTCGAGCCGGCCACAGCTGCGGGGGCTGTGCTCCCTCCCCCCCTTCCGTCGGGGGGGGGGGGCCCTTCGGCCTCGGCGCGCCTCGCGAGCGGTCGGTGCGCCCGATGGCTCCCCCCAATGGGGGGCCAGGAGCACAGCTCTCTCCCCCGCTCGCGGCCGGTCCAGCTCCCCCACCCCGAGATTCCCGGCGCCGCCTTTTTTCACCGCGGGCGTGTTCGCTCCACTTCGGGCCCCTGGGGCCCTCACAGATCGATCTGCGGCCACAAGAGTGGCGCAGCGAGCTGTGGTCCGGGGCTCTGGTCGCGATGTTCTCTGGGATGCTGCAACTGTTTGTGGCGGCGTTGGATCTCGGGGCAGCCTTGAGGTGGGGGCCCGCAGGGGCGGCGGCGTCCCGGGGGTGCCTGTGGTATCCTGCTGCTGCACGGGCGCATGGGGGCATGCCCTCCCCCCCCCCCCCCCCCCCCCTCCAAGTCCCCACCAGGGTCGGGTCGGGCGAACGATCATGGGTTCGTTTTCCAGCACCACCACCATCATCAGTTGGAGGGTGAAGGAGGTGGAGGAGGAGGAGGAGGAGGAGGAGAGGAGGAGGAGGAGGAGGAGGCGGACGAGGAGGCGGAGGACGAGGAGGACGAAGAGGAGGAGGAGGAGGAGGAGGAGGAGGAGGAGGAGGAGGAGGAGGAGGAGGAGGAGGAGGAGGACCCCCTCCACCTCCTGCTCATGGTGGTGGTGGTGGTGGAAAACAAGCCCACCGAAAGGGGGGATTGGCAACGGGGGCGGGCGCTACTGCGCTCGCTGGCGCACGAGGGCACGGCGGTCCACTGTCGGCCTTTGGCGGCGGCTGCGCGCCACTGCCCATGTTTCACCACCCACCAAACCACCCCAAGCCAACCCGAAGGCTCAGATTTACCCTCGATTTCCAGTGGGGGGGTGTCGGGAAACATAGAAAACACACATGTGTAGCCTTTACCCCCACCCCCACCCGAAATTCGGGTCTTCGGGTTGGGTTGGGGTGGCCTTGTAGGTAGTCAATGTTGGGCCCGCGATCGGTGCGCCCGGGCCTCTGGAGGCTCACACGCAGCAGCGGAGCCCCTGCGGCAGGTTTTGCGCCGTGCGGACGCTGCGGCGGCTCCGGTGCGGACGTTCGGCCCAGAGAGTGGCCGAGAGAGAGCGATTTTGCCACAGACACAATTAATCGTCGAAAAAAGTGGGAGTCGGGCGGGAAGACAAACACCCAGCAATCTTTCAATTAGTGTGTATTTATTTGTGTGTCCTTGGGCCCCTTGAGTTGCCTCTGGTACCGCCTGGTTGCAGGGTCCACACGGCGTCAGGAACCAGCGCCGAAGTCGTCACGGCACGCATGTGCCGTATGGGTTGCCAGAGGCCTCCACAAAAACAGCTCCTCCTCCCCTCACCTGCACGGGCGTCCGACCTCTCGATCCCATTCCCTGAGACCGTCTCATCATCCCGAGTTTTGTGTTTCTTGGTTCGGGGTCCCGCAGGGCCCCGAGAATTGCACAGACAGTGCCGTCCCGATTCGTTCGAGCCGCAAGGTATCAGGGCTCGGTCCTCCTGAAGCCCACCCCAGGACCTCACACCTTGGGTGCGCCTTGGCTGGGATCTCGCGAGGAAAAGGAGGAGGAGGAGGAGGAGGAGGAGGGGGAGGAGGAGGAGGAGGAGGAGGAGGAGGAGGCGGAGGAGGAGGAGGGAGGGGGGGGGGGAGGGGGAGGGGGAGGGGGAGGAGGAGGGGGAGGGGGGAGGGGGAGGGGGAAGGGGGAGGGGGAGGGGGAGGGGGAGGGGGGGGGAGGGGGAGGGGGGAGGGGAGGGGGAGGGGGAGGGGGAGGAGGAGGAGGAGGAGGGGGAGGGGGGGGGGAGGGGGAGGGGGAGGAGTGGGAGGAGGGGGAGGAGGAGGAGGTGGAGGAGGATCGAGGGCGATCTGGGCCAACGACGGGCGAGAGAGAGACGCCAGCGAGCATCGTTCCGCGGTGCGTCGCGCTCTCCTTCTTGTTTTTTGTTCCCCGGCCGCCGGGTGTCTGGACCTCCCCGTCCTCCTGCCTACCCGCCACCTCCTCAGCTCCCCTTTGTCCGGGTGCGCATATCACGATGGGGCCGTTATTAATGGAGTTCGAGGTCGGCCAAGACTGTGGACGACGATCACAATGGAGAGGAACATGTAGCCAAATCATTTGCAGATGCCTAAACATGTTTGAACTGCCTGTCTGATGCATGTAAAAACACGATTCAGCTATGTTTAGGGCGTTTGCTGACATGTTTATACACATGTTAAATTCACCCATAGGGTTGTTAGGGTGTCCAATGTCATGACATCCGCAAGGTTAAGACACGCATCCGCGGCTACAGAACACATCAGCGCAATAGGAAGGGTTTGGGAGGTATGGCTATCGACGTCACCCAACTACCCTACCACTATGTGTGCGTCGTCCCCAGATACGGGCGACGCCCGCGCTGAGAAATCATGCAGTATAACCCCTTGGCGGGCGCTTTTTGGCCACGCCGCTCGGGAATCGATTTATTTGCGACATGGTTGTGCTAGATGTTCGGGCTGGACGCACCCCTCCGAGGAGGACACAGTACTACTATTATATCCTTGTGCGTTCCATGGGACGTGAGACATTGCGTGAGCGCACTTGGCTTATCGTCCCTCCTCCTGAAGGCGGTGGGGCGTCTCGGAGGCACTCTGGCCTTCTGAGAAGTTGCCTCGTGTCTCCAGGGCATGCCTCGAGCACCTCTCATGAGGCTGGAGGACTTCCGAGCCGTCCGAGAAGGCCCGCACCCTCTCACTCCCCCCCCGGTCTGGCCGCCAAGAGGGACAGGCTCGGGGAAAGGGGAAGCGACACCACCACCACCAGTGGGGGCCAGCTCCAGCGACGAGGCTTATGTCGGGACTGTCCCGCTACAGGGGGAGTTTCGACGAAAAAGTAAAAATACCCCAAAAATGCTCCAAAAGGCAAAGAATACTCAAAACATAGTCCCCAGACTATTTTTGGACTTTTTTTATTATTTTTAGAGTATGTTTCATTTTTCCTCGAAAATCTCGCTGTAGGGGGACAGGCCCGACTGAAGACGAGGCCCACGAGGCCTCCCCGAGCAGGGATCGGGGCAGGTCTCGAGCGAGGGGGGGGGGCGGGACCACACCACCCGGAGGGGCCCCGCCTGGCCCCTCGCGCTGGTGGTTCCTGCTTCGTCTCGGGGTCGCACCTCCGCGCTCCCGCAGGCTGCCAGACGCGGCGCGAGCGCCCCGCGGCTGCGGGCGGGGCCGCGGCCACGGGAGCCTCGCGCGGCGTCTCCCGTCTCCCCGGCCAGGGCCCCCCCCCCCCCCTGCGAGAGCGCTGTCCTCGCTCCGCGCGGCGCGCGCGCGTCAGCCTTCCGCCGCCCGGCGGCAGACCGTCGGCGCGGCGGCGCCCGCCCCCTCCGCGGCGGCGGCGGCCGCAGCGCCTGCCCGCCGTCGCCGCCGTCGCTGCCGGCCCCCTGCCGTGTTGCTGCAGGCCTGCTGTCCCCTCCCTCCTCTCGGGGGCGGCCAGGAGGGGCGTGCCGACGAGGGGGGGGATATCACTGCGTGGGCCATGATGGTTCCGCGGACTTCGTAGCGCCTGCTCTTACCTCATTGCGTTCCTGACCCCCCCCCCCTGGGCCGCGCACATGCCGCCCCCCCCCCCTGGACCGCGCACATGCCGCCGGCCATGAGTTGCGCCCCCCCTCTTGGACGCCCCCCCTCTTGGCCGCCCCCGCTCCTCCCCGCCCCCCTCGCGGCTGCCCCCAGGGGTCGGTGCGCGTCAACGGCCAGGAGCACCCCGCCGAGGGGAGGGGGCCGCGCCCCTGCCCGCTTGACCCCTGCCCTCCACGGGGGGTCGCCCTGCACGGTGCCGCGGCGATCTCCGGGGCGCGTGCTCGTTCCGAGCAGCTCGTGCTGCAGCAGGGGCGGAGTGGAGACGAAGCCAGGGAAGCCGAGAACACGCAACGCACACGAGAAGCGAGCACGAACATCGCAGACAGAACACACACACACACACAAACGAGCACGCAACACGAGCACGAAGAACGAGCACGAACCACAATCACGAGGAACGCACACGAAAAAAACACACGAACATCGAAACACGAATACGAACAACGAACCGAGAGCAAACAGCGACCACGAAGCACGCTGCTTGGGTCGAGCCTTGCCCACCTCCCTGGCGGGCCGCGCCGCGGCCGCGCTGCCTGCAGTCGTGCGCCAATCTCCGGCAGCCGCAGCGTTGATCGGCGGCGCGCCTCGCAGCGGGGAGGAGGAGGAGGAGGAGGAGGAGGAGGAGGAGGAGGAGGAGGAGGAGGAGGAGGTGGAGGAGCAGGGGGAGGAGGAGGGGGAGGAGGGAGGGAGGGGAGGAGGGGAGGGAGGGATGCATCGCAGCGGGCCTCCTCAGCAGGGGCAACGGCGCAGGAGGGGGGCGGGCAAAGGGGGGGGATTGCTCCGAGTTTCTCAAGAAGCGTCGGGGGGGCGCCCCCCCCCCCCCCCCTGGCAGTCCCACACCGACCCCCGTCGCGGGCAGCCACCGCGCGCTGAAGGCGCTCTGACCCCCGTCGCGGCGCGACGACGAGGCGAGGTTGACCCCTGTCGGGGGATACCCCCGCACGATTATTAAGAAAACCCGGAGTAGGGGAACGAAAAGGACATGAACATCAACTTTCGGAGTTCCGCGCGGATTTCTCGGATCCGCGCTGGGGCCCCCTGGCGGCGCCTCTGGCGCCGCCTCCTGCGCCGCCTCCTGCGCCGCCCCTGGCGCGCTCCGCGCGCCAGTGATGGGGGTCCATCGCCGATCCGAGAAATCCGCGCGGACCTCCGAATTTTCGAATTTGGGTGTGCGTGTCATTGTTTGTTTCCGTAGGGATTCATCGGAACTTGGCCTCCTCAGCAGGGACAACGACAGGAGGGGAGGGGGGCGTAGGGGGGGCTGCATCGGAGCGGGCCTCCTCAGCAGGGGCGACGATAGGGGGGGGGGGGGTAGGCGTAGGGGGGGATGCATCGAAGCGGGCCTCCTCAGCAGGGGCAGCGATAGGGGGGGGGTAGGCGTATGGGGGGATGCATCGGAGCAGGCCTCCTTATCAGGGCAACGTGAGGGGGTGATAGGCGTAGGAGGATATGCACCGACCTCCTATCGCCCATTTATTTTGAAGAAGTAAAAGGCCATACACATACACTTTTGGGGTTCCGCGCGGCGGCCCTCCTGGCGGAGCCTCCGGCGCCGCATTTGGCTCGCTCCGCGCGCCAGGGAGGGGGGCCCAGCGCGGATCCGAAAAAAACCGCGCGGTTCTCCACCAGTTTTACTTAGTGAATTTGTTGTTCTTCCAATTTCGCCGATAGGGGTGTGATATCCCCATGCCGTCCAGAAGCGTGAGAAGGAGCAGGCCTCCTCATCGGGGTGGTACAGGCGGACCTGGGTATAAGATCGAAGTCGGTTACAGAAGGGTACCCTAGGGTTTATTCGTTTTTCGTGTGTGGTGGATGTTCTTGTGCCTCCTTGGGAGGGCACCCTTGGATGTCCTCTGTGTTTTGGCCGGCGGAAGGTTTCATGTTCTCTGGCCTAGGCACGACTGTAGGCGTAGGGGGGTTACGTCGACCCCCTGTCGCCCATTGATTGCCGATAGGGATCTGAAGTCCCCATCCCGCCTTGAAGCGTGGGGATCTGCGATCGAGGCCGTTTCGGGGAGGATATCATAGTGTCCTTCGTGTTTGTTGGATGTTAAGGTGCACCCTGGGGAAGGTACCCTTCGATGTTCTGTATATTTTGGCTGGCGGAGGGTCTCTTGTTCGTGAGGGATGTTTTTCTGGCCTACGTCCGACTGGGCGTAGGGGGGATGCATTGACCCCCATATCGCTCATTGATCGCCGATGGGGGTTTGAGATCCCCATCCAGCCCAGAAGCATGGGGATCTGCGTTGGGGGCATATCGCGCATCTGTCGGCGATGTATCGCCGATTCCATGTCGATGTTCCCCCCTTCAGCCAGAGGGCCGCATCTTGCAGGATCCATCAGAGCCAGGTGTGCATTGACCCGGGCTAGCGCGCAGTATTGCTGGATCATGCAAAGCCTGATGTGCCCAGGCTCGCATGGATCCGAGTCAGTAGCGAAAACAATACAACAAAAAACACGCCCAGAGCCCTAGCCCCCTTTCTGCGTCATTCTTCGAGTCGGACCGATCTGCGAGGGTCCCGGGGCCCGACAAAAGGCGAACACGCCCAGCTCGAACATTGAGACGCCAGGGACTCAGGTTGGGTTGACCCAAAGGAGGGTCCAGCGACAAGGGGGTGGTGGAATAGATCAGGTGCAATAGATTTGTGGGGTCGCAATACGCTTGGGGCGTGCAACACATTCTTGGGCGCAGCTGTGTTGCTGGATCTTCGCTTGCAGTACATCACTTGCAAGACAACGCAAGACAATGCTCCGACGCAGTACCTTTGCAACACAGTTGTCCCAAACCTATTGCTTCACCCCCTTTTCCGCTGGACCCTACAGTGCCGTCTTCAATACATGCTCCGCGTGCGGACCATGTGTTCAAAAGGATGCGTTGATTATAAAATGCGAGGGTTCGTGGATGCGTTGATCTATTCATGATTAAATCATGTATTTAAACTCCGATATTTAAACATTCAATGTATTAATCGGCGGCGGGCGCGGGGGGGAAATGAGAAGGGGCGGGGCTTCCGAGGCTTCTGAGAAGTTTCTGGACTGCTGAGAGGGCTTCTGAGAAGTTCTGTCTGTATTCGAAATAGGCCAAGGAAACGTCTCAGAAGCCCCCCGGACTTCTAAGAAGTCCCGCGGCCTTCTGAGAAGGCCTTCTCCTTCTCATTTCCCCCCTGGGCTCGTCGCCTGATTACAACCTTCCCTGTACTTTGCTTCGCTCGAGTCAGGGCTGCCCCTGTGCCCCCTTGGCGCCTGCGCGCGAGGAGCGCCGCCCCGGCGCGTACCAGAGGGCCAGCGCCTTCATCCTGCAGGCGAGCGGGGGAGGGGCGGCGCCCCGTGGAGCGCCCCCCCGGGAGAGGGAGGGGAAAAAACACACAGACACAATTAATCGTCGATCCCCCAGAAAATAGGGGAAACTATGGGAAGTGGGCGGGGAGACAAAAACCTGGAACATATGGGAAAATATGGGGAATTATTTTGTTTGTGTGTATTTATTTGTGTGTCCTGGGGCCCCTTCACCCCAGGAGAGGGAGGGAGAGCAGCGGCGGGCTGGCAGCAGCAGTGGCGCCGAGAGCAAGAGGAGGCAGGCGGTGCGGTACGCCCCGGGTGCGGTTTGCGAGTGGCTTTGTGGCGGCCTCTCCGGGACCTTCGACAGAGACAGTGTCATGACTGTCGTCCTTTCGAGCGACACTGTCATCCTCGATGTTTGCTTCATTGTGCTAGAAGGAGCGACGGTGTCGTGTGTTTCGGTCGCATTGAAAAAAGTGTCATCCTTTTTCCGGGGGCGGGAAGGGCAGGTATGACGGGAGGCAAACCGCACCCTGCGCAAACCGCACCCAATGTAGTCGCCAGTAGGAGGAGGAGGAGGAGGAGGAGGAGGAGGAGGAGGAGGAGGAGCGTCTCAAACAAACCGGGAAAGACGCGAACAGTGCGAAAGTTAGAAAAGTGCGAAAAGTAGAAAAGTAGAAAAGTGCGACAAGTGCGAAAAGTGCGAAACATAGAAAAGTAGAACGCATGCGAAAAGTGCGAAAAGTTCGAAATGTGCGAAAAGTGCGAAAAGTTGAGAAGTTCGAGAAGTGCGAAAGCTGCCGAAAAAAACACGAAAAGTGCGACAAGTAGACAAGTGCGAACAGATCGAAAAGTGGAACATCTGACAAGTGCGAAAAGTGTGACAACTGCGAAACATGCGAAGAGTAGAACATTGCGAAACGAACGCGAAACGTAGAAAAGTAGAAAAGTGCGATTAGTAGAAAAAGCCCTAAACGTTGCGAGAAGTCGAAAAGTATAACAGTGCGAAAAACACGAACCGTAGAGCAGACACGCGCGGGGAAGGGCGAACTTCTTAGCAACGAGAAGCGCGAGAAATAGGAAAAACGCGAAACGCCCGAACGTTTCAACAGTTTGTTTAAAGAAGCGCGTGGGAGCGGCAGGAGGGGCAAGATGATGAGGCGCCCTTTTTCCACTTTGTTGTTCTTCCCGCTTCGGACAGTGTTGCTGGTTCTCGCGCTTCTCTTCTTCCCCCGCTTTTTAATGTTTGTGCGTAATTGCTGTCATCATCATAATATTCACAATCACAATCATCATCAGCTTCATCACTCATCGCGCCGTGACCAGCATCATCGCTTACCACTGTGCCATGACCATCGCCATCACCACCCTCGTCACCATCATCACCGTCATCGGCAGCATCGGTTTCAGCATCGCCGCCACCACACACCACACACAGACTCACCCACTCATTCGCTCACACACGCGCGCTCATCTTGGGGAGGTCTCGAGCGGGAGCTCCGTCTGTGAGTAAATCGCGAGGACGTCTCAAGCGGGAGCTCTTCCCTATGAGGTCCCCGCCTCATGATTTTAATCAGTGCGGGTGATCCGATCCTTGTCGTTGTCGTCACTTCCGGGCCCCTCGGGCCTGTATTCGGAAGAAGTCTCGATAGGGAGCTTCGTTTGTGAGTGAATCGTGAGGAAGTCTCTGGCGGGAGGTCCCCGCCTCGTGTTGTTTTAACCCGCGCGGGTCATCCGATCCTTGTAATTGTCATCAATTTGGGCTCCTCGGGCCTGAATGCGGGAACCCCGTCTGTGAGTGCATCGTGACGAAGTCTCTAGGGAGCTCCTCCCTATGGGGTTCCCGCCTCATATTTTTTCCACGCGCAGGTCATCCGACCCCTGCCACCGTTACCATTTCTGGTTTCCTCGGGCGTGAATCGGGAACCCCCCTCTCCTCTCCCCGAACTCCGACCCCCTGTTTGTAATCTGACCGACGGCTTGCTCTGGCTTCATCGGCGAGCGGCGTCTGAACGACTTGCTCCGCGCACAGGAAGAGACACAGGAAAGGAGGATGATGGGGAGGAGGAGGATGAGGAGGAGGAGGAGGAGGAGGAGGAGGAGGAGGAGGAGAACGAGGACGAGGACGAGGACAAGGACGAGGACGACGAGGACGAGGCCGAGGCGAGAGGAGGAGGAGGAGGAGGAGGAGAGAGGAGGAGAAAGAGGAGTAGGAGGAGGAAGAGGAGGAGGGCTAGGGGGTGGAAGCGGTGGAGAAGCAGGAAGGAGGAGGAGGAGGAGGAGGAAGGAGGAGAGAGGAAGCAGGGGGGAGGAGGAGGAGCAGGGGGACGACGATGAGAAGGGGGATGAGGAGGGGGGCGAGGAGGAGGATGATGAGGAGAGCAGGAGGGGGAGGAGGAGGAGGAGGAGGGAGGAGGAGGAGGAGGAGGAGGAGGAGGACGAGGATGAATAGAAGGGCTAGTATGAACGCTCAGGAGGACAAGGGGGAGGGCGCGAGGCGAGGCAGGGGAGGAGGGAGGAGGAGGAGGGAGGAGGAGGGGAGGAGGAGGAGGAGGAGGAGGAGAGAGGAGGAGGAGGAGGAGGAGGGGAGGAAGGAGAAGGAAGGGAAGAAGGAGGGGAAGAGGAGGAGGAGGAGGGGAGGAGGGCGGAGGAGAGGAGGAGGGAGGGGAGGAGGAGGAGGAGGAGGGAGAGAGGAGAGGAGGAGGAGGAGGAGGGACGAGGAGGAGGAGGGGGAGGAGGAGGAGAAGGAGGAGGAGGAGGAGGAGGAGGGAGGAGGAGGAGGGGGGGGAGGAGGAGGGAGGAGGAGGAGGGGGGGGAGGAGGAGGGAGGGAGGGACTCTCGTGCTAACAAAAGGGATTACCATGTAGGGCCCACCGTCGGAATAATTCACATTTTTTCATATTGCCCTGGTTTTCGCACTAGTTGCCGAGCGCGTGCAAAATCCATGATCCTCGAACCTCGCTCTTCCAAGTGGTTTTCGGGCCATGCGTAGCTTGGGCCTCCTCCGGCCAGAGTTCGGGATGGTTCGGGCGCCCCCGAAACCTTTCGATGAGGCGCAGCTGCTGGAAAGCATCCGCCTTGTTCGTTTCTCACGTAGTGGTTTCCGCATGTTGCTTCCCATTTCGGCGAGGACAAAGGATGAGGCGACGACGACGACGACGAGGGGCATTCCGTGACATGCCCCAGGGGGTGTTCCGTGACATGCCCCAGGGGGTATTCCGTGACTTGCCCGACGTGGTGCTCCGTGATATGCCCCCGTGGGTGTGACCTTGTTGCGTGACAAGGGGGGGGATGGGAGGAGGAGAACGAGGAGGAGGAAAAGGAAAAGGAAAAGGAGAAGGAGGAGGACAAAGGATGAGGACAACGAGGACGGCGACGACGACGACGACGACGAAGGGTATTCCGTGACATGCCCGAGGGGTATTCCGTGACATGCCTTCTGGTTTCCGCATTTTGCTTATCATTCCAGGGAAAGCGATGGGGGAGGAAGGAGAACGGAGATTTCGTGACATGTCTACCCTGGTTGTCTTTGCTCTTGGGTTTCTCACAAGAAGTTGCTGTTTCAGTTTGTTGTTGGTTGCAGCGTCTCAATTGTATGATTTGTTATGTTGTGTTTCAAGCTTTTCTCACACTTCGCTTTGCTTTTCGCTCGTTTTGACTTTTCGCACTTGTCTACTTTTCGCGCTTGTCGCACTTTTCGCGCTTTTCTACTTTTCGACTTTTCTCACTCACTTTTGCACTTTTTGCACTTTTCGCACGTGTTGCACTTTTCGCATTTCTCTACTTGTCGCACCTTTCGCACTTTCCGCGCTCTCATACTTTTCGGGGCGTTCCCCACTTATCAAGACCTGAATCTAAACAGCACAGGGATGAGGAGGAGGAGGAGGAGGAGGAGGATAAAGAGGAGAAGGAGGAGGAAGGAAGAGGAAGGAGAAGGAGCAGGAGGAGGAGGAGGAGGCGCAGGAGGAGGAGGAGGAGGCAAAGGAGGAGGAGGAGGAGGAGGAAGAGGAGGATGAGGAGGAGGAGGAGGAGGAAGAGGAGGAGGAGGAGGAGGAGGAGAAGGGAGGAGGAGGAGGCGGAGGAGGCGGAGGAGGAGGAGGAGGAGAAAGGAGGAGGAAGGACGAAGGAGGAGGAGGAGGAGGAGCGTGCCTCAACACGAGAATCCTAAAGCGTGCCCAAACACTGTTCTCAGGACTTCAACGCCACGAGTGAATCTGACTGCCTCAGTTGGCTCCCTCATCAAGAAACAAGTAACTGACTGCCTTTCGTAAGGGTACGGCAGGTTCGTGTCGGGTTGACTGGCGGCGACCCCGCCGTCGGCGTCCAACGTTGAATGCCGCGGGCGACCCTGAATCGTTCCATGTGGACAGATTTGGACGTTTCGGAAACGGCCGATCGTTCAAGGTTGAACGATACTCGCGTTGTCAGAAGCCAACGCCGAAGTCGGAACGTCACGAACCTGACGTACCTTGGGTTTCTTCGCTCCGCGCGCTGTTCGGTGACTTCCCGCAGCCGTTGAAGAAGCTGCTGCGTTCAGGGTGTTCCGGGCTTCCCCTCAGGTGTACCTCGCGCGCGGGTTTTCGGGGTTGGGTTTCTTGTGAGGGTCTCTTGCGGCCGCGCCCACACCGTACGTCTTGGCGACCCTGAACCGTGTCAGAACACATTCTTGGGACTTCAACATCGCGAATCGATGGTTGCGCCCGACAATCCGAGGTCTTTCTGAACACCGTTTCTGGTACGATAGCCATGAGAAGCAATGAAGCGTTTGCAAGGTTTACGTAGAACGAATGCGCGCAGCGCTCAGGCGATACCCACATGATGAACACAAACCTCCTTTCCATCCGTAAAACTTTTGAGACGAATGTGCGCGACAACAGGCGAGAGCCACATTTGGAACGCCACCCGCCCCCAATCCGTGAAACCCTTGCACATTTGTTTCCCAACCATCCTGTGGTGTTCGGTCCTCGTTTTGAAGAGACAGCGCCCCGCGTATCACCTCCTCCCGCTGCCCCCTCCCTCCTCCCCCTCCTCCCTCCTCCCATTCCTGCTTCTGCTCGCCGCACGTCCACCATGTCGGCACACCCCGCACGAGGATCGTGGCCCCATAGGGAGCTCCACCGAAGGCCCCAGCGGACCGTGGCCCCACAGGGAGCTCCATCCAAGGCCCCAGCGGCAGGGTTTGCATGCGTCCCCCCCGCCCATTTTGGCACACCCCTGACGAGGATCGTGGCCCCACAGGGAGCTCCATCCAAGGCCCCAGCGGCAGGGTTTGCATGCGTCCCCCAGCCGGTTTCGGCACACCCCGCACGAGGATCGTGGCCCCGCAGGGAGCTCTACCGAAGGCCCCAGCGGCAGGTTTTGCATGCGCCCCCCCCGCCCATTTCGGCACACCCCTGACGAGGATCGTGGCCCCATAGGGAGCTCCACTGCCCCAGCGGCAGGGTTTGCATGCGTCCCCCGCCCATTTCGGCACACCCCTCACGAGGATGGTGTCAACATGGGGAGCTCCACTGATCGCCCCAGCGGCAGGGTTTGCATGCGTCGCCCAGCCGATTTCGGCACACCCTTCACGAGGATCGTGGCCCCGCAGGGAGCCCCACCGAAGGCCTCATCGGCAGGGCTTGCATGCGCCCCCCCGCCCACTTCGGCACACCCCTCACGAGGATCGTGGCCACATAGGGAGCTCTATCGAATGCCCCTGCGTCAGGGTTTTCATGCGTTCCCCCGCTCATGTCGGTACACCCCTCGCGAGGATCGTGGCCCATAGCTCCACCGAAGGCCCCAGCGGCAGGGTTTGCATGCGTCCCCCCGGCCCTTTTCGGCACACCCCTCACGATGATCGTGGCCCCATCTGGGGTTTCACCGAGAGCAGTACCCACAACGCGGTATTCACAGCTGCAAATTGTTGGGTTCTTTGCCAGCGTTTCTTTTTATGAGAGAACCACGTTTCAAATTTACCCGCCCTTAATCCGCAACATGTGTTTTGCAATGTTGTGAAGCAGATGGGCGCGGCGCTAAGGCGAGAGCCACATGTTGAAGACCACCCGTCCTTTTTTTGTGACAATCTTGCAAAGTTTGAAGAGGAATGTGCGCGGTGCTTCGGCAAGAGCCACAGTTTGAAACCACCCGCCCTCAATGATGTGTGCGGTGCTGATGCCAGAACCACATGTTGAAAACGACCTTGCCACACCGTGTACTTGTTGTTACTTATCAGGTTTCGGGATCATACGTGGTGAGGAGTTCTCAGGCAAAACGCCCGACCCTCCCTTTCAACGGGCCTCAGGGTGCGGCAGCGAGGAGTTATCTAGAAGGACAAAACATGGATGAGCCGTCCAGACCCCAGGAACCAGGAGGAGGAGTAGGAGGGTGAAGGAGGAGGGGGAGGAGGCGGAGGAGGAGAAGAGGAGGAGGAGGAGGAGAAAGATGAGGAGGAGGAGGAGCAGGAGCAGAATTATGAAGAGGTAGCGGGGGGAGGGGGAGTACTAAAAGATGAAGCGGCGTTGGATGGGAAGGAGGAGGTCATAGGAGGAAGAATTGGAGAAGAAACGGCAGAAAGGGGGTACGTACGTATTGTGAGAATGAAGGGAGGGATCAAGAGAAGGTGGCATCATTGTTCTGTGCACGGCGTCATTCCCAGGGATTTCACCCGTTGGAATCATTCTTCTGAATGAGCAGCTCCAGTGAATGCATTTCACGCGAGAAGCGGCGGCTGACGGATGAGGAGGACTGCGATCGTAGTTTTCAAACGCCTATCTTTTGAAACATGCGGGCCGCAACCAGTTATGGCATTCATATGTCGCATCGCAAGTGCTTGGTGGCGTAGCCTGATGATTCAGAGCTCCTCGCCATCCCTGGTCAAGACGCTGTCCTTGAACCGAGCCGGCCTCCAGCCCCCTCGAAGCAGCGCATGCACACGCGGAGCCAGTTGCCTTATGTGCAGGAAGCTCCGCATGCCTTGCAGTCTAGAGCAGGTGGCCTCGGCACTTCTCGGCCACGCGCAGAGGGGGGTAGGGAGAGGGGGACAGCTTCTTAGAAGCACCCCTGCTTCTCAGAAGGCGCGGGCCCAGTTTGTGGACGTGACGCCAGCGCCGTTTACGCAGCAGCCTCCTTCTCGCAAGCCTTCCCCCCTTCCCCCACCCCCTTTGTGCGCGCCGCCGCACGTCTCCGATCCTCACCGCTGGGCGAAGCCTCGTCGCCTGCAGCCGGTGTACCCCTCGCTCGTTTCCGTGGTGTGTTTGTGTGTACGCGAGAAATACTGGTTATCAAAACGAACGGTCAAATCTTTCACAATCTTCAAAAAACCGACCCCAGGTTGACAAATTGCCCGCCCAGGCCTCTAGCTCATCGACTGGAAGTCGGCGGTAAACCGTCCGCCGGGAACTCGTAGAGTTTCCTGCAATATACACGAATGGCAATGAAGCGCGGCAATCTCGCATTCCTCGCGTGCGAGTGCGGTTTTGTAGAAATGTGTTTAACATCTGTGTGTCTGTGCGGCGCCGAAGCTCCAGGCCGCCCGCGGGGGCGCGAACCGCGCCTCGCGCCTCGCGCGTCGTCGCGGTCTGGGTCCATCGCGGCTGCCCTTCTCGAGCGTATGAGCGGCGCGAGGGCGCTGGAGCGCGAGGGTGCCGTCAGCGCGATCCGCGGAGGGCGGCGCGCGCGGCGGGAAGCTGCGTGGCCTCGTCAACGCTCAGGAGGGGAAAAAGCACACAGGCACAAGGAATCGTCGACTCCCAGGAAAATATGGGAAACTATGGGACGTGGGGGGAAGACAAAAACCCAGGAAATATGGGAAAATATGGGGAATCTTTTTATTTGTGTGTATTTATTTGTGTGTCCTGGGGCCCCTTCATCAACGCGGCCCGGCCCCTGCCCTGAGTTCTCCCCTCGGGGCTCAAGAGGCGGGGGTGAATGCAGACGGGGGTCCGCCAGAGCGCCCGATCCTGCCCGATCCTGCAGGACCAGGATCGCATGGACCCGTGTTTGGGTGCAGGATCCTGCGGGATCTTGCGGATCCCTCGCATCGACCCGGGTTGAGGCGCGTGATCTTGCAGGATTCTGCGAGGCCTGCCTGACCCGGGTCTGGATGGACCCGGGTCAGATGATCCCCGATGTGGGCCCCAGGCAGCTCGGCTCCCGCAGCAGCACCGCCAACACCCGCTGCAAGCAAGAGTTGGCGGACGTTCCTCGTAGCGGTCTGACTGGCCGTTGATGACGCGTCGGGGTGGGCTTCGGACCTTTCTGGGCCTGCGCCGGAGCACACGAGGAGCTCGTGCGCCTCACCCTCACAATCCTCCTGTTCATGCCCTCTCCCTTCTACGGCCTCCTTTTTGTGCTCGTTCTCATCGTCACTGCTCTGTTACATTCCTCCTCGGCCCTGCTCCCGCCGTTGCCTTATCATCCCCGCTCCCGTCTAATTGACCCTCATGTTCCATCCCTTCCTCTTTTCTCTTTTCCCCCCTCGCCCGCCGCGCCATCACACTCCTCGCCGATCTCCTCCCTTCTCTCCCTCTCCCCTCTCGCCTCTGCCTCCCTCGTGCCTCCCCCGTCCCTCTTCGTTTTCACCCTGCGGCACTTGTCTTCTGCGCTTGTTGCGTGGTAGCTTATTTGTTTTATCATTCTCCATGTTTGTCTTTCTCTTCTTTTTCTTCTTCTCTTATTTCGCCGTTGTCGCCTTCCTCCTGGGTTCACTGGGAGGAGAGCTCCCTGCTGCCGACCCTCACGGTGGACACCGCCGCCGCCCCGCCGCCTGATTCTCTCGGCAGGGACACGGCAGCGCCTGCGAGCGAGAACAGATGGTCTACGATCGGGTCTCATGGCCCTGCCTCGTTCGTGCGACGGCCTCCTCCTCCTCCTCCTCCTCTTCCTCCTCCTCCTCCTCCTCCTCCTCCTCCTCCTCCTCCAATCGCGGGCCTTCTCCCCGCGCCCCTCCCTCCCCCCCCGCATGGCCGCTGCGGCCACCTCGGGGCCCACGGTGCCGCACGTCGTGACTGAGATTCCACGTGGCGCTCCGCCGCTGGGGTCCGCCCCTTATGCACCTGCTCCTCCTCCTGCTCCTACTAGGCTCGCCTTCTCCTCCTTCTCCTCTCCTTCTCCTTCTCCTTCCCTCCTCCTCCTCCTCCTCCTCCTCCTCCTCCTCCAATCACACCTCGCGTGAAGAAAGTCCTCGGGCCAAGATACCCTGGGCACGACACTTGTTAGATTTCAGGGCTGTTGTGGGGGGGTATTGTGTCTGCGTCCCCTCTGCAGGGGGGCACAGGGCGGAAGGTGGGAGGTCAGAGGAGTAAACTATGCCGACGCCGCCACCCTTCTCTCGTCGCCACGGCTGGATTTGCCTCGAACTCCCAGCCAGAGCGCGCACCTCCCGGGGAACCGCGGTCATTTTTTAATAATTACAGCCTTGTTGTCCCCCCAGGGTGGTGGGAACCTCCCCATTCCCCCCCCCCCCTGCACCCTCCCTCGGGGGGAGGGGGGGGGTGGGCGAGGGCAGGGTGGAGGCGCGTATTCAGATCCCCCCTCATTTCCTCCCTCCAGCGGAGTACACAGAAACAAGGGGGTACTTCATCCCTGTCCCGTCAAGCTCCCGTCACCCAACATCTATGAAGCAGGAGGAGGAGGAAGAGGAGGATGAGGGCGAGCGGGCGGAGGAGGGAGGGACAGGCGAATGGAAGAGAGGAGGGGGAGGGGGAAGGCACGGGGGGAGGGAAGAGGGGGGAGAGGAGAAGGAGGGGAAAGGGGTGTGGGGGGGGGGGGGGCGAGGAGGAGGGGAATGGGGAGGGATTAGGCGGAAGAAGAGGAGGAAACGGACCTGTGTAAACCCAAAAGTCTTCACCGATGTTGGAGTAAACCCTTCCTCGAAGCTCCCTCTGCATAAGCCCCTACAGGGGTTCATTTCCACTGAGGGAACTAACTGCCTCATTGGCGGCAGACAACAGTTTGAAGACCCTGAAGCATGCCAACAGAGTATGCTCGAGACTCCAACGCCACGGATCAATATGACTCTTGTGTCTTGACGATTTTGGATCGTGCCAGAACGCCATTCTTGAGACTTCAACACCGCGAATCAACGTATCTGTTACACCTTCATGGTCCTGAACCTTTCCAACACATCATGTCTGACACGTTGACCGTCGGAATCCGTGAAACTCTTGCAATGTTGACAAATGAATGTGCGCGGCGCTAGGGCGAGAGACACATGTTGACAAGGGACCGCCCTTAATCCGTGAAACTCTTGCAATGTTCAAAAAGGGATGTGCGCGGTGCTGGGGCGAGAGCCACATTTTGAAAAGGAGCCGCCATCAAACCGTGAGCTTCTTGCAAATGTGGAAAAGGAACGTGCGCGTCGCTAGGACGAGAGCCACAGTTTGAAAACGACCTACCCTCCTCGGGTGGAACTATTGCCAACTTTTATGCTTCAGGCACATCAATTGTGAGGACGTCTCAGGCGAAGCGCCCTGCCCGCCCTTTCGACCGGCCTTGGGGTGCGACAGAGAGACGTTATCTGTAAGGATAAGAATGGAGGAGGAGGCGAAGGATGGGGAGCAGGAGGCGGAAGAGGAGGCGAAGGGGAAATGGAGGAGGAGGGAGAGGAGGAGGAGGAGGAGGGGGAGGAGGAGTAGGAGGAGCAGGATTGTGAGTAGGAGGAGGAGGAGGCGGTGGAGGAGGAGTAGGCGGAAGAGGAGGAGGAAGGGGGAGGCGGAGGAGGTGGAGGAAGGGGCAGAGGGAGGAGGCGAGGAGCGCGCTCGTCCTCGGCCGCCCCCTCAGGTGGCCGAGACGATGTGGTACCACGCCGAGGCTCGCCCGGCACGGCGCCAAGCTGGTCGTACGCGCCAGCAACGGCGCCAGCGCCAGCGCCGTCGTCGTCGTCGTCGTCGTCGGCGTCGTCGTCCTCGTCCTCGTCCTCGTCCTCGTCCGCGTGGTCGTGGTTGTGGTCGTGGTCTTGGTCGTGGTCGTGGCCGTCGTTGTCGTCGTCGTTGTGGTCGTCGTGGTTGTTATAATTTCTGTTGTTGATGATGTTGTTGTTGTGGTGGTGGTGGTGGTTGCTGCTGCTGTTGTTGTTGTTGTTGCTGTTGCTGTCGTTGTCGTTGTCGTTGTCGTTGTCGATGTTGTTGTTGTTGTTGTTGGTGTTGTTGGCGTTGTTGGTGTTGTTGTTGTTGCTGTTGTTGTTGTATCTGTGGTTGTTGTTGTTGTTGTTGTTGCTGTTGCTGTTGTTGTTGTTGTGGTCGTTGTTGTTGTTGTTGTTGGTGTTGTTGGCGTCGTTGTTGTTGTTGTTGTTGTTGTTGTTGTTGTGGTTGTTGTTGTTGTTGTTGTTGTTGTTGTTGTTGTTGTTGTTGTGGTCGTTGTTGTTGGTGTTGTTGTTGTTGGTGGTGGTGGTGTTGTTGTTGTTGTCGTCGTCGTTGTTGTTGTTGAACTCTCATTTCTGAAGAACAATTATTGTTGATCCCCCCCGTCCGGTGCACATCGTTTTCTTTCTTCTCGATTTAAGTGCCTTTCCCGGGGCTCGCACCCTGTTTTTATCAGGGAAAGTTTTGAGGGTCAAACTGTGTCGCTGGCCCCCGGTTTACAACAACAACGGCTTCCGCCTGAGATTGCCTCACAATTTAGCCAGGACCCCCGCTTCTGCCCGAGTCTTCCTCGCGTTTTATTCAGCAATCGCGCTCTCGCTTGGGACTTCCTTACTTAGATTTGATTCTCCCGGCGCTCTGGAGTCGCGCTCGCTGGATAATTGCTTGCAATTTACTAAGAACAGCGCCCTTGCGTTGGAATTTCCTGCAATTTACTCAAGCGCCGCGCTCCCAACACCCAGGGCACCCAGGAGTCGCGCTCACGCTTAGGACTCCCTCACAGATTACATAGGAATCGGGATCTCGCTGCCCTTCGTGGCCCCGTTGCAGTCCTTCGTGGCCCCCTCGCTTTTTTCTTCGTGGCCCCGTTGCAGCCCCTCGTGGCCTCCTCGCTGCCCTTCAAGGCCCCGTTGCAGTGCTTCGTGGCCTCTTCGCTTTGTTTCGTGGCCCCGTTGCAGCCCTTCGTGGCCTCCTCGCTGCCCTTCGTGGCCCCGTCGCAGCCCTTCGTGGCCCCCTCGCTGCCCTTCGTGGCCCCGTTGCAGCCCCTCGTGGCATCCTCGCTGCCCTTCGTGGCCCCGTTGCAGTCCTTCGTGGCCCCCTCGCTTTGTTCTTCGTGGCCCCCTCGCTGCCCTTCGTGGCCCCGTCGCTTCCCTTCGTGGCCCCGTTGCAGCCCTTCGTGGCCCCCTCGCTGCCCTTCGTGGCCCCGTCGCAGCCCTTCGTGGCCCCCTCGCTGCCCTTCGTGGCCCCGTTGCAGCCCCTCGTGGCCTCCTCGCTGCCCTTCGTGGCCCCGTTGCAGTCCTTCGTGGCCCCCTCGCTTTGTTCTTCGTGGCCCCCTCGCTGCCCTTCGTGGCCCCGTCGCTGCCCTTCGTGGCCCCGTTGCAGCCCTTCGTGGCCCCCTCGCTGCCCTTCGTAGCCCCGTTGCATCCCTTCGTGGCCCCCTCGCTGCCCTTCGTGGCCCCATATATGAATGCCCTTCGTGGCGCCCGCTCGTTCGCGCCCGTGGTTGCCCCATATGCATGTGTCCTACGTGGCCCAGTTGCTACCCTCAGTGGCCCCATCGTTGCCTTCTATTGCCCCGCATTATCTGCCCTTCGTGGCGCCCGCTCGTTCGCGCTCTTCGTGGCCCCATACTCATTCCTTTCGTGTCCCCGCTGTTGCCCTTCGTGGCCTACTTCGTGTCCTTGTGGCCCTGCTGTCGTTCTCTTTCGCTCTCGCGTTCGCTCGTCGCCGTCATCGTCGACGTCGTCGTCGTCGCCGTCGTCGTCGACGTCGTCGTCGTCGTCGTGGTCGGTCCCCTGTCCGTCCCTCTTGGGGTCGGGTCGACGGTCCGCGGCCGCCCCGCCGACCAGCGCTGCCGCTGGCCAGGCCGATGGTCCGCGGCCGTCCCGCCGCTTCCCGGGGCCGGCCTGCAGGGAAGAAACGTATACCCCCCAGAAGGGGTTCGATCGAAGACGAAGAGGGCGGGTATCGAGGGTTTGGGAAATAGGTATTATTGGACTTTCGAGCAGATAAGGGCGAACAGTCTTAACATGATTGGTATTGTTGTTGCTGCTGCTGTTACAACTGTTGCTGCTGCTGTTGTTGCTGATGCTGTTGTTGTTGGTGTTGGTGTTGTTATTGTCGTCGTCGTCGTCGTCACGCCTCCTCTCGTGAACAAGCGTAATTAGAGAAGCATAGAAACCTCGGGGCCCCGCGCCGAGTTCCCAGATCGGCGCCTCCAAAGAAGCAGCCTCCTTCTAAGAAGCCCTCCCCCTTCCCTCCCAGAAGGCGCGAGGGAGCTTCTGAGAAGTCCCGCCGCCCTCTGAGAGGGTCTTCTCCTTCTCATTCCCCCCCCCCTCGCTCGCCGCCGACCCTTGGGAGGAGGAGGAGGAGGAGGAGGAGGAGGAGGAGGAGGAGGTGTAGGAGGAGGAGGAGGAGGAGGAGGAGGAGGACGAGGAACACGAGGAGGAGGAGGGGAGGGAGGAGGAGGAGGAGGAGGAGGAGGAGGAGGAGGTGGAGGAGAAAGAGGAGCCATCCCCCCCCGCTGCGCCATCCGCCATCTCTGGCCGGGCGCCCAGATGGTCCTGCCCCGCGGCCTCCCCGCGGCCCAGCGCCGCGAGCGCGTCGACAGCGCGCTGAGTCTCGTGGGCCTCCCGGAGGCGACCGCCGCCGTCGTCGTCGTTGTCCGACGGGGGGAGGAGGAGGCGGAGGACGATGAGGACGAGGAGGTGGAGGAGGCGGAGGAGGAGGAGGAGGAGGAGGAGGAGGTGTAGAAGGAGGAGGAGGAGGAGGAGGAGGAGGAGGAGGTGTAGAAGGAGCAGGAGGAGGAGGAGGAGGAGAATTCTCAACTGAAGCCTGAACGATCGGAGGTCCGCGCGGATGCAGTGCCACGGCGCTGGACGGCCTTCCCCGGCGCTCGCAGCTCGCGCCAGGGGCCCGCGCCTCGGGGGTGTCCCAAACGCCGATCCAGGACTCCGCGCGGATCTCTGAGGCTCTGTGCTTGCTTCTAGTCGTCGAGCTGCGACCGAGGATCGAGCATCGATCAGAGGAGGAAACGGTACCCATACCTCTACCCTTCCCTGGTTTGCCTCCTTTTTCGGTGTCCTAGGCGGTGGCCCTCGTCGCCACCGCTGGTTCCGACTCGAAATCCTGTTCAGAAGGCACCCTGAGATAGGTCCGGGGAGTAGCGGTATCTGTACCCTTTGATTCCCCCAATCGAGGCTCGAGCATCCAAGTTTCGGACGTTTCTAAATGCGATTCTCGGCCTCGAGAGGCCACTCGAGACGCCTGCGGGGCACCTCTCGAACCTCCCCTCGCGCTCTTTCTTCGGAACCGTGGATCCCACGACGCTCCCTGCGATGGAAATTCCGTGCCAAGAAACACCCTGCTTGCCTCCAGGGTGCCCAGCCCTATTTTTTGATTGGATGACGATGGTTTTGTTTTGCAAGTCGTGACGCTCCCACACCAGATGGGGTTGTTTTCTTGTGGAAGGTTTCGTGTTGTCGGTCGAGCTCCTACTCTACGACGCTCGTTCTGCCGCTCGTTCTGCCGTGCTGCCCCCGCCTCGTTCGCCCCCCCTCGCTCCCTCCCAGCTCACGTGCAGGGCCGCGGGTGGCTCGTCTCTCCTGGCCTCTTTGCCCGGCCCGGCCGCTCGCGCTCCCCCCCCCTTCTCTCCTCCTCGTTTTCCTCCTCTCCGTCCTCGTTCTCCTCCTCCTCCTCCTCCTCCTCCTCCTCCTCCTCCTCCTCCTCCTCCCTCCCCCTCCTTCACCTCCTCCTCCTCCCCTCCTCCTCCTCCTCCTCCTCCTCCTCCTCCTCCTCCTCCTCCTCCCCCCCTCTCTCCTCCGCCTCCTCCCTTTCCTCCTCTCTTCTCCTCCTCTTCTCCCTCCTCCTCCTCCTCCTCCTCCTCCTCCTCCTCTCCTCCTCTCCTCTCTCCTCCTCCTCTCCCTCTCTCCTCTCCTCGTCTCCTTCCTCCTCCTCCTCCTCCTCCTCCTCCTCCTCCTCCTTCTCCCCCTCCCTCGCCTCCTGCCTTTTGCCTGCTGTCTTCGGCCAGCCCCGTGCTGGCCTCCCGCCTGCGCGTTCGTCGTCGTTTGCCTCCCCCCCCTTCGCTGGGCAGAGCAGCCTGTCCGGGCCATGTATGGTGGCGCGCTGCTTTTTGACGCTCCAGGTGGGCGACGGTGAGTGTTCAGGCAACGGGAGGGCCTCTTTCGGTCATAGCAGCTCTCCTAGCCACTTTGGTGGGCAACACGCAGATGTGAATGGCGAGGTCAGACGTGAAAGCAGCCATCGGATTGATGTTCGATTCGGTCTTGCTTGCCCTCGTCTCCTCATCCTCGCCCTCTTGTCTAGGGGCATCGTTTGGGGGGGCAGGCTCAGGGGGGAACGCATTGACCCCAGTCGCCGACTGATCGCCACGAAGGGTCGCCGCTGCTCCGTATCGCCCATACGAGCCGGTTTCCTCCCTGACATGTCTCCTCGCTGACCCGTCCTCATGCGCCTCACGTTCCCCGAACCACCGCCCCCCCATCCTCGAAGGCCTCCAGTCGGCAAACCAGGGTCGCCCAGCCTGCCGGGGTCGCCAGCTCAGCTCCTCCTGCGCGCACAGGTGGCCCCACGAGCTCCTCGCCAGCTCCGCAGGGCTTCTCGTGACGTCGTCTCGAGGCTGCAAGCTGGCAGACTGCCAGCGTCTCGCGAGCGCACGCGAGCTTCGTGCCTCAAGAGCTCCATGCGACTCGGTTCGCTCCGGAGGCCTCCAGAGGTCCCCCCGAGGGCCCCCAGGAGGCCCCGCACGAGAGCCGACGAGCCTCCTGCCCCGAGAGTTCGACTCGATTCGCTTCGGAGTCCTCTGGAGGTCCCCCTTGGCTCCGTGAGGCCCTGGCGCCCCCAGAGCGCCGGCCCCGCCGGAAGCCCTCGGTCCCCCCAGGGTCAGAGGAGTTCTCGAAGGAGGGTTCTTGAAGGGGCCTCTCTGGTGGGTGTTTGGGCGGGGCTGGTCACTGGCAGTCCTCGCGAACCACGCAGTTCCTCTGGCAGGGCGCGAGCTGAACGGTGCGTTGGAGACTCCGTGGGCCGTTTTCGCTCTGATCTCGCCCCGCAGCGAGGACCCAACGAAAACAGACTGAGGGAAAGCGATCACATAACGAAAACGGAAAGCACTTCTTAGAATCATCCCGCACAGCAAAGATGCGCAGCTCTCCGAGGTTGCCCTAGTTCAATACACATATATATATATATACTGTTTGAAAGCATTTGCTATTTTGCGTGGACCCTATTTTCCCGAATCCTGAGCCCCAGTGTAAAGTCCATGTGCCAGGGAATGAGACAAAGTAGCAGAATTTGTTCAGGTACAATCGTTTGTTGTGTAACATTAGTTGTTGATGTTTGTTTCGCTATTTTGCCTGGTCTCTGGATTTCCAGATCCTGGGCTCAAGTGAATCCGAGATCAGGGATCGGGATCAGGCAACATAGCAGTGACCTTAGAGCAATTAGAACATCTGTTTTGCTATGTTGCCTGATCCCTGGTTTCTTAAATCCTGGGTTCCAGTGAAGGATCACAGGAGTCAGGGGATTAGGCAACATAGCATTTTTTGTGATTTTCCCTGAGCCCTGGATTCTCAGATCCTCTGCTCAAGTGAATCCCAGAAACCAGTGACCAGGCAAAATAGCAAAGATATAATCAAGAGCAGGATCACAGACAACAATGGCGTTGTAGTAGTGAAAGGATGGGTGTAACAGTGAGGTATGATGGCGTCGTCCTGCCGCGCTGTCGCATGGACGCCGCCGCGTGCATAGCACATGTGGATTTGTCACGACATACTACAATAAAGACGCCGTTTTGTACAAACACGCTGCCACATCGAATCGGTCGCGCGCAGCATGGTACAAATCTTGAAGCATGTTGAAGTTTTTATCATGCCTTTCGGGCGCTTGCATTCGTACGAACAATATTTTCTGCGCGCAGCCACTCTTACTTGGCAGCGTGATTGAACCAACCGACTCCTTTACATCTCGTTGATTCAAGCGGTTGTTTGCATGTCATGGCCGTTGCCTCTTCCACTGCACAGCGTGGTCAGTCCAATCGGTGCCCGCGCTACCGTCGTAGAATAACTACGCAGACAGTTTACTGGCGCAAATCGGTATCCCAGTTTGATCTCTCTGATATGTAGTGCTTGTGACGGCTTACTGACGCAAATCGGTGTCCCAGAGTGGTGCGTCTGCATTGATTTATTGACGTTCGTGTGTTTACGACGGTTTTTTGATGCAAATCGGGGTCCCAGTTTGGTGTGGCTGACTTGGCGTGTCTGCGACGGTTTACTGACGCAAGTCGGTGACCCAGTTTGGTGTCTCTACTCTGTAGCGCCTGTGACGGTTTACTGGCGCAATTCGGTGTCCCATTTTTGGTGTGTCTGTAATGGTTTACTTATGTTCGTGTGGGTACGACGGTTTTCAGACGCAAGCCGGTGTTCCAGTTTGGTGTGTCTGACTTGGCGCGCCTGTGACGGTTTACTGACGCGACTCGGTGTCCCAGGTTGGTGTGTTGTTTATCGACGCCATTGTGTTTGCGACGGTTTATTGACGCAAATGGGTGTCCCAGTTTTGTGCGTTTGTATTGGTTTGTTGGTTTTCGTGTATCTGCCACAGTTTATTGACGCACATCGGTGTTCCAGTTAGGTGTGTCTGTAACAGCTGATCGACGTTAGTGTGTCTGCGACGGTTTTTTGACGCAGGTCGGTTCCCAAGTTTGATATTTCCTGCCTTGTCGTGCTTGACGGCGGTAACGACGACGATGGCGACGACGACGATGACGACGATGATGATGATGGTGATGATGATCATGATGATCATGAACATCATCATGACAATAATGGATATGGCGATGGTATCGACGACGATGATGTCGACTATGACGATGACGGTGATGATGATATTGCAGAGGAAGAGGCGCATGAGGTGATCCCAGTTTGGTGTGTCTGACTTGTCGTTCCTGTGACGGTTTACTGACGCACATCGGTGTCCCAGTTTGGTGTGTTTGTCATTATTTGTTGACGTTCGTGTGTCCGCGACTGCTTCTTGTTAACGCAATTCGGTGACCCAGTTTAATGTGCCTGTAATGGCTTATCGACTTCAATGTGCCTGCGACGGTTCACTGACTCAAATCGGTGGCCCAGATTGGTGTCTTTGTTCTGTAGTACCTGTGACGGCTTACTGGCGCAAATCGGTGTCCCTGTTCGGGTGTGCTTGTAATGGTTCATTTACGTTCGTGTGGGTACGACGGTTTTCAGACGCAAGCCGGTGTTCCAGTTTGGTGTGTCTGATTTGGCGCGCCTGTGACGGTTTATTGACGCACATGGGTGTCCCAAGTTGATGTGTTTGTGATGGTGTATCGACGCCATTGTGTTTGTGACGGTTGATTGACGCAAATTGGTGTCCCAATGTTGTGCGTTTGTATTGGTTTATTGGCTTCCGATCTGCCACAGTTTATTGTCGCAAATCGGTGTTCCAGTTAGGTGCATTTGGTTCCTCGTGCTTGTGACGGTTCATTGGCGCAATTCGGTGTCTTTGCACCGTGTGTGTATATAATATGGTATTGCGTTTCTTGTGCCTGCGACGGTAATTTCACACACGGCATTCTTTCAGTTTGGTGGGCCTGATGTGTCTTGTTTGTGTTGGTTTACTGAAACACGCCGGTGTCCCAGCTTGGTGGTTATGTGATGGTTTATTGACAGTCGTGCGCATGCGACGGTTTACTGACGCGAATCGGTGTCCCAGTTTGGCGTGTATGACGTGTCGTTCGTATGACGGCTTTCCCACGCAAGACAGTGTCCCAGTTTGGTGTGTTTGTGTTGGTTTATTGACGTTAGTGCGTCTGCGACGGTGTGCTGACAAACATCGGTGTCTCAAATTGATGTGTCTGACTTCTCGTGCTTGTGACGGTTTACTGACGCAGACCGGTGTTGCCATGTGGTGTCCATAATGGCCTATCGACGTTAGTGGGTCTGCGATTGTCCATTGGCGCAAATCGGTGTCCCAGATCGGAGTGTTTGATTTGTCGTTCGTGTGACGGTTTGCTGACGCAAATCGGTGTCCCAGTTTGGTGCGCTTGTATTGGTGGATTGACGTGCTGTGTCTGCCACAGGTTACTGACGCAAATCGGTGTCCGAGTTAGATGTGTCTGGTCCTAAGCAGTACTGTTCCTCAGGAGCATTTGGTCCTAGTGGGTACTGGTCCTAAGCAGTACTCGACCTAGGTAACATGAGTACTAGGGAGTACTGGGCCTAGGAAGTGTTAGTCCTGGGGAGTACTGGTCCTAGGGAGTACCAGTCATAGGGTGTGCTGGTCCTAAGGGGTACTCGTCCTACGGAGTACTAGTCGTAGGGGATATGAGTTCTATTGTGTTAGTCTTAGGGAGTACTCGTTCTAGGGAGTGCTTGTCCACGTGAGGACTCGTCCTAGGCAGTCTCTGGACACATCTATACACATGTGTATGCATATGATATAACAAAGATGTACGTGTACATCTACATATATATATATATATATACACCCATGTGCAAGACTGCAGTGGCGCTTCGCGCCATGCACCTTGGTCCTTGAAGTTCGGTATGCAGGCGGAATGGCAGGAAGGTCAAGCCGACAATTCAGCGATATCTCCTGGTTGCCTTTTCCGGCATCGCCGCTATCATGATGTTATTCGCTATATTTCTTCAATGCTTATTGTTCCTTATTTTCGCCATACCCTGCGCATTCTCCCCATCTTCCTCAGCTCTTTTTTGAGGAGGCTCCTCCTTGGAGAGCCTCTAGGGGGCTCACAAAAGTTGTTTCGGGTTTTCTTAAGGCCTTCTGGAGGCCTCCTGGGCGCATTCTTGGGGCCTCCGGGGGCTTCCTCGGGCCACCCTGCCTCCAACCGCCGTCTCCCTGAACGACCGGATCACGATTTGGAACTCTTCGGAGGGTGTCTTTGGGCCATCTTGGGCCGCCATGGGGCTCTCTGAGGGCCATTTTGGACCCGTGTTGTGCCGTTTTGGGGCTCTTTTGGGCTGCCTGGAAGCCCTTTCGGATGGTTGTGGGGCGATGTGGGAGCCTCCTAGGCGGCTTCGGACGCCCAGAAGACCGCCGTCTTGGAGCGTCGGGAAGCCGAAAAGAGGAGAACCCCAAAATTCACAAAAACGCGTAGAAAATCAATGATTTTTGCCTCGGGGGCCTTCTTGGGAGTGCTCTTGGAGGCCTCTTTGGTGCCGTCCTGGAGGCCTCTTGGGCCATCTTGAGGTCACGTCGGCCACTCTTGGAGCGCTCTTGTGCTGTCTTGGGGGTCTCTGGGACGTCTCCGATGACCCCCTGATCGGTCCCTAAGTGTGCTGGGAAGGCTTGGCAAAACGCCTTGCGAGGCCCGGTGGCCGCTTCGAGGCCCGTCCGGAGGGCCCCAAAGCCCCAGGTCCCAGGAGTCCGTTTTTTTTTGGGGGGGGGTCGATGGGTTTTCCCCCCGCCAGGGCTTATAAAAATATTGGAAGAGGGAGATACATATATGTATATATATATATATAAGAGATACAGCTATAGATATACAATCATCATTCTTACTTCTCGCACGTATGATTATTTCTAGCACGCATATATACATGTATGCATTATTATGTTGGGGAGGAGGATGAGGAGGAATCTGAGCAGGAGAAAGAGGAGGATGTGGAGGAGGAGGAGGAAGAGGAGGAATATATGAAGCTGGCGTAGGAGGAGGAGAAGGAGAAGTTGGAGGAGGAGGAGGACAAGGGCCATGGGGGATGCTCTGGAGCTGCTAAGGACTCCTGCGGGGCCATTTTTCGGTGTTTCCTGGGCCGTAGGTGGGGGTCTTGGGGGAGCCCAGGGTGTTGTGGGGGGATTCCTGGGGGGGTCTTGGGGCGCCTGGGGGGCCCTGGGTGCCTCGGGGGGCCCGTCCGTGAAGAGGGCGGGGGTGTTGGTGGGGGGTGCGGTTGGGAAATGCTGCTGATCGGTGCGACGGGGGATGGGGAGGGGGGGGAGGAGGAAGAGGCGGAGGCGGCGGAGGAGGAGGAAGAGGAGGAGGGAGGATAATGGAGGAGGAGGAGGAGGAGAGGAGCAGTAGGCGGAGGAGGAAGGAGGAGAGAGGAGGAGAGGAGGAGGAGGAGGAGGAGAGGAGGAGGAGCTGGAGGAGGAGGAGGAGGAGGAGGAGGAGGAGGGAGGGAGGAGGAGGGAGGAGGGAGGGGGGAGGGGGAGGGGGAGGGGGAGGAGGAGGGAGGAGGGAGGAGGGAGGGAGGAAGGGAGGAGGAGGCAGGAGGAGGAGGAGGAGGAGGAGGAGGAGGAGGAGGAGGAGGCGGAGCAGGAGGAGCAGGAGGAGCAGGAGGCGGAGGAAACGGAGGAAGAAGAGGAGGAGGAGGAGGAGGAGCAGAACGAGGAGAAGGGGCCACAGCTTCGAGTCGCCGACCGCGCGGCCCCCGCCCCGCGCGCACGGGATCCCTTAGCCCTCGGGGGGCCGCCGCCGATGGGCCGCTGACCCGCCGCGCCGAGGCCGCTGCGGCCCGCCGGCCTCGGCCGCGGGCCGTCGGCGCGGAGGCGCCGCCGCCCCCGCAGGGAGGCGGGCGGCCGGCTCCCGCCAGGGGCAACGTTAGCGGGGATATCCAGGCCTCCCAGATGGGGTCCGAGCGCTTCCCCGGGAGATGTCTCGTTTTCTCTTCCTCTGGAGGTACCGATACTGCTACCCTTTCCTTTCGTTTTTTTTTATTTTATTTTCTCAAGCCGCCTGTGGGGGTCCTCGTCACCACCGCTGGATTCGCCTCGAGATTCCGTTCCGAGCGCACCCCGGGAGAGGTCTGGGGAGCAGCGGTATAGGTATTTCTGGGTTTCCCCAGTTCACGACAGGGGGGGTGAATGCCAAGGTTGGTGCAATGAAGTGCCATGCCGCGGCCTCCGTTTGTTCAGTCGATGCGTTCCTTGGCTTTCCCATTGTCCGCGCACGTGCATCGGGCCACGATGCGCTAACCCGCTAATGTAGGCCTCATATTTCGGGTCTGGACATATGATGTCGGAGGATCGCGCCGCATCGCCAATGCATCGGCGGCACGGGTGGTTGTGGAGCCCGCTGTGCTTCACGTCGACGTCGACGATGCATCGCCAGTACATCGCCGATTTCGTCGATGCGTCGCCGATGAATCGGCGATGAGTCGGCGATGCGGCGCGATCCTCCGACCCCTCCTACTCCGACCCCGTTAAGGAGGCCTCTAGGATAGGCTGGCGGGGGGAAATCATCGTGGTTCGTTTGAGGTTGGAGTTCGGGGGATGCCCAGAGCGTCCCGAACGCTGCGGGGGACCCGAATTCTGACCCAAACACCAGGCGACGATTATCATTGGTCCCCACCCACCAAACCACCCCAACCCAACCCGAAGGCCTCAATCTGCTCTCCACTTCCAGTGTGGGGGGGTCTCGGGGAACATTGAAAAAACACATGTGGATCCCATACCCCCGCAACCCGAAATTCGGGTCAAATTCGGGTCTTCGGGGTGGTTTGGTCTTGGCATCGATCGGACGTGTGCATTTTCCTTCGGCGAGGACCATCGAGGAGCATCCTTGATGATTTGGCGAAAAAACCACGCACGAAACCGAAACAAACAGGGAATGGACGTCCGAGCGATGCCCAGTGGTAGGTGGTCAATTGGGGGCTCAGTGGGGGACGCATCGACCGCCAGCCGCGCGTGCATCGCCGAAAGGGTCCCCGGCGCCACGACGCCCAGAAGCGTGCGCCTGCTCCCTCGGGGGCCGATCGCCGATCTCTCCGCGACGTGTCCTCGCCGATGCCAGCTCGACGTTCCCTGAGATCCGACGTAGCGACAACAATTGCAACATCGTAGAAAGTTATGCCCGGAGCCCCGTAGACCCTGGCTTTCTGCGTCATTTTTCTGGCCGGATCGATATGTGAGAGTCTCGGGGCCCGACGAAGAGAGGCGAACGCGCCCGAGGCTGGAACACCTTGTGACGCCCAGATCTCAGGGTTCCCCCCCCTCCTCCGAGCCTGCCTAACGTTGCCCCTCATCCCGCTGCCGGTGAGTGCGCGCGGCGGCCCGCGGGATGCTCTTCGCGTCCCGGGCGGCGCTCGGGCCGCCGAAGTCTCCGAGGAGCCGCGGTTCGTCGCTCGATGGGCCTTCCAGATGGGGTCGATGTCCAGTCGGATCGAGGCAGAAGATCGAGGTCGCTGCGGGGAGGGCGGAACAGAGGGGGGTGATGACTAAATAGGGGGGGGTGGATATCATGGCGGGGGTCATGATATTTCCCCAGATTTCATGGCGCCTCTTCGTATTTCATTACGTCCCTGGCCCCCCCGCTGGGCCGCGCACATGCCGCCGGTCATGATTTGCACCCCCCCCTCTTGGACACCCCCCTCTTGGCCACTTCCGACTACTGTTCGTCGTGTTTGCTGGATGCTCTTATGCACCCTGGGGAGGGTATGCTTGGATGTTCTGTGTGTTTTGGCTGGTGGAAGGTCTCGTGTTCTTGAGGGAGCTCATTCTGTGTTAAGTTCGACTGTGGATGGGGTCTAAGGATCGCGCTGCATCGCCGATGTCGATGCGGCTCGATGTGGAGCCCGATTTGTTCCACGCCGACGGGCCGACGGCGTTGATGCAGCGCCGACGTCGCCGATGCATTTGGGCTGGAGGCTTCAGATTCGGCATCTCCCAAACTCGAGCAAGAAACAACACTGCATAAACACAGACTTTCGGAGATCCGCTCGGGTTTCTTGGACTCGCATCGGGTGCATCGCGCTAGTGGCCAAATTCCTTCAGAGCCTGGATAGGGTGTGAGACTCTCAGGAAAGGAACGTGTGCGCACCGATAGCGTTGCATGTCCCTTGTTGTGCCATGGTTCGCAGCTCGGCCCCAGTGCTCGGAGCTGGCGAGGTGGTCCTGCCGAGCAGCGAGTGGACATGAGAGGATGAAAACGGTTCCAGTGCCTCTACCCCTCTCTGGTCGCAACGGTTGGATTCGCCTCGGAATTCTGGTCAGAACCCACCCCGGGATAGTCCCGTGGAGGAGCAGTATGGGCATTTGTTTTAGAATATATGTTACACAATATTCTGCTGTTGCTGCGTTGAACGTGTGTATATATGCCTGTATATGTCTATGTATATGTATGTAACTCTGCATATCGATATATGCATATATTATTACAGTTGTATGCACTACACATATTTTTATGTGGTCGCCCCTCCCCCAATATCATACATTTTCTTCTCTAGTACCGCCATCGTCGATCGATCTCTCCTCCCCCCTCCCCCTCCTCCTCCTGAAGGAAAACCTGCGTGCTTTTGGTGTTGTTTTTTCTCTGATTTTGCAAGCCCGAATGCTCGCGCTGGCCTCCTTCTCAGCACCCTTCCATGCGCCTCAGACCAAGACAACTAAACATACACAAACGTTTCGCGCCTTCGATGACCGATTTTTGTTGGAGGGGGGGGATTTTTTAAGTTTGAGAAGCAATGAAGCTTTGCGTTTTTTTGTTGCGGCCTCCCCCCCAGCGCCTCATCCTTCTCCCCCTTCCTCTTTCCCCCTGTTTCTCCTCCTTTCCTTCCCTCCTCCTTGTTGCCAAGCAAGAAAAACAATAATACACAGTGTTGTTGGCTCCCTCGGAGTAAGGACACGCTGTGTATGTTTGGTGTTCCTGTTTTTTGGGGGGTCTAGGGTGCAAGGAACTACTATGCATGTTTGGTTATTTTGATTTTTGGTTTTGGAGCCCCAGAAGAGAAGGAGGAGGAGGAGGAGGAGGAGGAGGAGCTGGGGGGAGGCAGCGGGGAGCACTTGAGCTTCCAAACCCTAAAAAACCAACATCACCAAACATACGCAGTTTTTCCTTGCGTCCTAGAGCCACAAACCATAACAACCAAACATACACAGCGTTTCCTTGCACCGAGGGCGCCAACCACTGTGTATTCTTGATTCTCTTGTTTTGCAACAAGGAGGAGGGAAGGAAAGGAGGAGAAGGAGGGGGAAAGAGGAAGGGGGAGAAGGATGAGGCGCTGGGCGGAAGGCCGCGGGGCGCCTTTGAGCTTCCACAGCAAAAAAACAACAAACTAACAAACCATACACATTGATGTCCATGCATCATATACCCAAAAAAACAAACACCAAACATACACAGCGTTTCCTTGCTCTGATGGCTCCAAACACTGTGCATTCTTGGTTTGCTGAGTTTGCAGCAAGGAGGAGGAAACGAAACTAGGAGAAGGAGGGGGAAAGAGGAAGGACAACAACCCAACTAACAAACAGTTCACAGTGTTTCCTTGCATCCTGTACCCCAAAAGACCAGTTACACCATACATACACAGTGTTCGCTTGCTCCGAGGGCGCCAAACACTCAGTATTATTTGTTCTTGCTTTTCAGCAAGGAGGAGGAAAGGAAAGAAGGAGAAGGAGGGGAAAGAGGAAGGGGGAGAAGGAGGAGTTGCTGGGGGGAGGCCGCGGGGAGCACTTGAGCTTCAAGAAGCAACAAACAATCAACACAACCACACATACAAAGTGGTTCCTTGCATCTTAGACTAAAGAAAATCAGCACAAAGATGGATAAGAGGATGATGAACGCGAATACTATTCAAGATACAATGTATGATTTAGGGGGAACCATCTCTCTCTATATATATGCATGTATGGGTGACTATATATATGTATATATGTGTGTAGATGTATGTGTATACGTGCGTGCGAATATCATTTCAAAGCGCCCAATAGCGCGCACTCCGCCCAATAGTGTCCAGTATTGCCGAACAGCGCCCAGACGGCGCCCACTAGCGCCCAATGACGCCAGATGACGGGGATGCATCACGGCCGCCTTGCGGGACATGGGATAACCAAAAGGTCCCGCGAGCTGCTTCTTGTACAGTGGGGGCCCACGCCACGAAGCACCCCGCTTGTCTCCAGGGTGCCCCTGGGCTTCTTGGGCCTCGGTGGCCTTTGCCGCGGGGAGACGCGCGACGCTCACCAGACATCGATGGACGCCCTGGGGTCTCGCGGCTGGGCTCCTCGAGGAAGGGCCTTCGTGGCTGGGCCCCCCCTGCTGCAGCCCGCCTGGGCCCCCGGCCTCGGAGGTTGCCCGCGGCGCCCTTGGCCCGCGAGGCGCCCCCCGCCTCTCCGCACCCGCCCCGGGCGGCTCTCCGGCCCGCGAGGGGCGCCCCGCGAGGGGTGCCTCTCGCCTCGAGGCCACCGCGCCTCTCCGGCAGTGCCGGGCCGCCTCGGGCCTGGGCCACGGCCGGCACTTGCCCGAGAGGCGAAGCAGCAGGACACGGCACAGGGCTCGCCCGGCGGCGCCTCCCGCGCCGCTCCCGGAAGTCCGCGCGGAGTTCCGGAAGCGGGTGCGGATGCCGTTGTTTTTCGCCGCGCTGCCCCGAGGGCGCCGAACGGACGGGGCTAGGGCGGGGATGACCCCGTTCCAGAGCGTTCCGGGAACGCCCTCAGAGCGGTCCCGATCGCTTCGAGAGGGCCGCGGCGCCCAAGACATCCTCCAGGACCGCCAGATCTCAGAGATGTTCGACTCATCCCCATCGATTTGATCATCGGCCTGGCTTTACGTCGGGCGTGTCCCTCTACAGGAGGAATATAGGTAACATACTAAGAAATATGCGGGGGACGATTCTTTTGGAGTTTTTGTGCACTATTTTGGAATATTGCTTGACTATTGTTGCTATTCCTCGTCCAAAATCCGCCTCTACGGGGACATGCCCGACCTGAGCCTGGCTTCGTTTTGTGGTGCCGATTTTCTTGTCGGGCTGCCCCCGAGGGCGCCAAAAAGTCAAGCAGTGGCGAAGCGTTCGGGCTCGCCTCTAGCCCTACCAAACAATGTCCTAAGAACCCTTGGTGGTTTCCACGGAATGTTCTTGGAGCACTTCTGGCGGAGTGCACCCTGTTTTCTCACTTCGGGCTTGTGTTCTAGGAACTTTGTTTTTGTCCTTGGAGCATTTTTGGCTTCCAGGAACATTTCGTGGTACAGTGGCGTTTTCAAGACATGCTCCGCGTGCGGATCATGTATGAAACATGCAGGGGGTTTGTAGTAAAAAACGACGAGTTCATGCATAACTTGTGGTTGAAAAAATGTCGACGACGACATAAATGAAAAACGACGACGACATAAATGAACCATGTATGTAAATCCTATGTGGTTTAAAACATCCGATGTGTTAAAAACTGCCCTGTAGGACTTTTGGCATGCCGAGGCGGTCGACCCCTGCTCACCAAAAAGGGGGGGCCGCCCTGCGCGCGCCGCGGCCCGGGCCAGGGCGGGGCGGCCCCTCGCCCAGGAGGGCCGCGCGGGGGCGCGAGGAGGTGGCCGCGCTCCCCGCGCCTCGCGGGGCGCGTCGCGGGGCGCGGCGCGCGGACGCTCGGTGGTGTCCCAGGGCGTCTTTTTTTCTTTGCTAGACACATATATATATACATACATATATATATATATATATATATATATGCATATACACATTATATATATATAGAGAGAGAGAGAGAGAGAGAGAGAGAGAGAGAGAGACCGAGATCTTATATGTGTATAATATTTTTATTTCTGGGACATCACGCGCGTTTTGCCCCCTCCCCCCCCCCCCTCCCGCCTCCACACCCCCCCCTTCCCCCCTCCCCCAGAAAGTGTCATTCCCTCCCGCAGTGCGTCCCTGGCGCTGCCGCGGCGCGTCCGGCACCACAGTCTGGGGAGGGGGGGCCGCTACGTTGTGCCCCCTCCCGTCCCCCCCCTCCCTCCCTTCCCGCAACGCCCGTTGGTTATAGCTGCGAATATAGGATTGTGTTCCAAACGGCGGCTGAGGACAGGACGAGAAGGTACCGATGCCGCTGCCCGTTTCCCTCGTTGCCCTTCTGTCGAGCCTCTTGCGGGGGGGGGGCCTCGTCGACACCACCGCTGGATTCGCCTCGACATTCCGGTCCGAACGCACTCCGGGAGGTCCTGCGAGCAGCGGCATCGGTGCCGTGCAATGTCCCCAGTTGACGACGGGGGGAGTGTACACCAAGGCCGGTGCAACGAGGTGCCCCGGACGTCGCGGCCCCCGTTCGTTCAGTCGATGCGTGCCTCGGCTCCCCCTCGTCTGCGCACGTGCCTCGGGACACGAGGCGCTGAGCCGCTACTTTTAGGCCTCCCTAGATCGGGTCGGAGCAGATGGTGTCGGAGGAGCATCGCCGCTGCTGGCAGGGTGGGGGTTCCCCCCTCCGGCCCGGGAACATGACTTTCGGGGGGTCTCTGGACCCCCCTCCATCCTCCCCGGGAAAATTGTTCGTGGGGTCCAGAACTCTCCCCCGCAACGACGACGAAGACGTCGCCGCCGCCGCCAGCAAACGACACGGTCGACGACGCCGACGACGACGCCGACGTTGACGCTGACGCCTGCGACGACGGTGACGACGTCGACGCCGACGACGCCTACGACGAAGCCGACGGCGTCGACGATCCAGCCATTGCTGGATGCGATTGAAGCTGGATCGTGCCCTACTAGGATGCGAGGAAATCTGGATCGATCCCTACCCGGATTCTTCAGAGCCGGAGGAAGCCTTTCTCGGATGTTATGAGAGTTGGATCCATTTTGTATGCAGATGTTGCATTATGGTTGTTTGGGTCAAGCTTTCTACGTGAGCTCCATCAGACCTGCATCGAGCTGGGGCCAGCCGTAGAAAGATTATAGTACAGCTGGATTGCGCATTTGTAGGATGTCATCAGAGCTGGATCCAATCCTGGTAGGATTCTGTAAGAGCTGGCTCGATCCCCAGTAGGCTTCCATCAGAGCTTGGTGAAGCCCCCCTAGTAGGGTCTTGAAAGCACTTGATCGACCCTTCGAAGGATTCTTTTCAAGCTGGATGGAGCCAGAATTGGTTTTCTTCGAACTGAGTCGTACCCTTCTCGGGTCTGATTAGAGCGGATCCAGTATCGTAAGCATTCCATTTGAGCTGGATCGATCCCCAGTGAGATTCTTCCAAAGCTGGATTCAAGCATATCTGGATTCGACTAGAGTTGGATCGAACCATCGCATGTATTCGTTAGGGATGGATCCATCCAGCCCTAAGTGGATTGCGTTCAACCTGGATTGCGAGCAGGACGCAATTAGAGCTGGATCCAGTAGAGCTGGTTCCAAGCCTCGCAGGATGTGATCGAATCTGGATCGCTACCTTCTTTGGGGCGCAAATTCAGCTTGATCGACCGCCGTAAGGATTTCTTGGGAAGTGGAAGCAAACATAGTAGCACGATTGCATTGGAGCTGGACCGAGCCCTAGTAGGAAGGATTCCGAGAGAACCAGATCGATACGTGCGCCGCCGCCGCTGATGTTGTCGCCGTCGTCGGCGTTGTCGCAGGCGATGTCGTCGTCGTCGTCGTTACGATTGGGCCCCGTGAGTAATTGTCGTCCAGGGTGGGGGGTCTTTGGACCCCGCTTCGAATCAGTTCCCCGGGGGGTGCGTTTGGACCCCCCTTGGATCTTGCGGGGGGACCGCGGCTCAGTTCAGCACCGGCGCTGGCATATCCGAGGTCGCAGACTGGCTTCATCCGGCATGCCCCAGCGAAGTCCAGGCTAAGACCCCATCGTTCGGCTCGCCGCGTGCTCAATCCGAACCGCTCCGGCTCCATGGCCCCTTGATCGGGCTTCATCGCCCTCCGTCGTTCCACGAAGACTTCCCAGATGTTTTGCCTTTCTTCGTTCGGGCACCCGGCGAGGAATGTGTTCTTCCCATGGTTCAATTTCGTCATGTTCAAGTCCGGGACGTACCTGGAGCCGAACCGCCTCGCCTTCCGGGTCCCGGTGCACCTGACGAAACCAGAGATCCGAAACTACCTGCGGGAGATCTACAAAGCCAAGGTTGCGCTGGGCCTGGCGATCCCAATCCCCAGCTTCGCGGGGCGTTCTAAGGGAACAAAAACAGGTGAGGCCGCTTTCGGGGACATTCCGGCCACGCGCAGAGGGGGGTGGGAAAAGGGGGGAAGCCTTCTTAGAAGCACCCCTGCTTCTTAGAAGGTACGGGCCTTGTCTGAAGATGTAAGGCCAGCGCCTTCTAAGAAGCACCCTCCTTCTAAGAAGCCTTCCCCCCTCTCCCTACCCCATTGTGCGCGCCGCCAAGACATACGATGGGGGGGGCGTCCGTCCTTGATGGCGGTGCGTCCGAGGAGCCTTCTGAGCGGCCCAGCGCTCAGGGCTGGAACTCGGGGATTGGGGTCGAGAAATGGTCTGCGACGAGGTGATCAAGGTGAACACCTATATCAGGCTGCCTAAGATACGGCGGAACTCGCAAGGTGATTATTTCAAGAACGGCCCGCAGTTCAAGAAGGCCATCGTCACCTGCGAGGAGACGATCCCTGACGATGTCAAGATGATATACAACTCCAGGAACCCAGGGCTCCAGCCTGCTATCACCAAGTACGACACGCCCACCAGACGGCAGTGGAAGCCATTCAGGCCTGGCGTGAACCGGAAGACCGACTGGGCTCCTCGACATCCGCTCGCGTGGGCAGAGCCGATCCCGACCCTGCTTCGTGGCGACGATTTCTTGCCGCCACTGCGCGGGACCAGTGTGTTGCCGGACCACACCAAGCCGTTCCATCACTATGGCAGGGAGAAAGCGATACCGCAGGGCACTCCCGAGCAGGAATTCCCGCGGATAGACTTGGCTCTGATGCGGACCCTGAAGGAGGAGTGGGACGGTCGCACTTCCGCCGGGTATAACCCCAAAAGAACCCTCATAGAGCTCCCGAAGCAGGACACAGGCGTTGAGTGAGTCCTGGCCGAAGTCGTGCCCGGCTGCTGGTGTTGCGAAACGGGCACGCTCGCCACCAAAATCGTTTCTTCCGGTCGGTTGATGTTGCCACATCGTTGCGTTCGATTCTTTACGTGGCGCATGTTGGCGACGGTTCGAAGCGGCCTCGGGTTCTCTGAGCATTCTGAAGGGGCCCATCCTCCTCCTTAACGCCTATGGCAACTTTGCCTCTCTCTTCCTTCTCGTGTGCCACAGCCTGCTCCAACACCCTTCTAAGTTCGGTATCGTTTAACCTATCCCCATCCCCATCCCCATCCCCATCCCCTTCGACACCCCCACCAAATTATCACCCCGTGTTGGGGATACACCCTTCGAAACCCGAAGGGGACGACCTAGAATTATCCCCATCTAGGGGCGGAAATCGGCCAGTGGGGCCCAGGCCACGCCGCTGGGGATGGGGATCGATTAAACTATACTCATAAGTGAGTCTGCCTCTCCTCGTAGGTATGCTGTTTCCTCTCGTGAGCATCCGTTCACCCCCTCCCCTGTAAGTTTGCCTCTCCCACTCCCCCCCCCTCCTCCTCCCCCTCCTCCTCCTCCTCCTCCTCCTCCTCCCCCTCCTCCTCCTCATCCTCCTCCTCCTCCTCCTCCTCCTCCTCATCCTCATCCTCGTCCTCGTCCTCGTCCTCCCCCCTCGCATCCTTCTGCCCCGTGCCCCTCGCGCCGCCCTGCTCTTTCCTCATCCCTCGGGCCTCCTCCCTGGAGCCTCCTCTTGGTCCCCATCGAGCGTCCTGGGCCCCTCCTCGCCATGAAGGAAAACGTGACCTGAGGTAAACGGGTCCCGCAGTTTTTTCTGGAAGAGCCTCGCCCTTCTCTTTCCTCCTCCTCGGGCCTCGCCGCCTCGAGCCTCCTCCGGGCCTCCCCGAGCCTCCTCGCCCTGCTCTTGGCGGGCCCACTCTGTCGGGCCCCCTGCCCTGGAGAGCCTCCTCCTTGGTCCCCTCGGCGCCACCTCGCCCCTCCCCGTCAGGAAGGGAGGCGGGTCCTGCGGGCAGCGCGCCCCGCCGTTCTCTCTCTGGACGTGCTTCCCTTCGTCGGGCTCCCCCCGGGCTCGCCCCCCCCAGCGCCACGGGACCGGTCGGCACGACCGACGGACCAGTGGCGGTGGCGTCTCTTCTCCTCCGTGCTGCAGTTGGGGCGCGGAGGAAGGAGCCATCTTCGTTTGGGGGGGGGGCTCCGTGTTCCTTGCTTGTTTTGCTGTTCGCCTTGGTTTTACTTTCGGCTTTCGATCGAGGGGGGAGGGGCGGTCCGTGCCCGCGGCGGTTCCGCACCCTGACGCCGCCGCGGGCTGCCTCCCTCCTGGCCCAGCTGCCACGGCAGCGCGCATTGGACCGCCCGACCCTCCCTGTAGCGCTCCCCTGGCCGTGCGCTCCCCAGTCAAACTTACGTTACAAAAGGGGCCTCCTTCCTTATGTATCGTTCCTTGGCTCATCGCCCCGACCATACCCCTCCCGCCCTTGGCCCCGCCGTCGCGTTCGCGATGCTCTCTTTGCCTTGCCCTGCGGACGCGTCTCTCAGACCAGCAGACACGGGGGACAGCCGTTGAGCACGGTGGCGCGCGTCCTCTCGGCCGTCACGGAGGCGCCGAGTTGCAGCGGTGCCGCCAGGGGAAGCCCGTTATCCAGATGCCAGCGACACGTCCCGCCACCGTGCCAGCCCAGCAGTCCAGGTGGCGATTGTTCGAGGGGGCACGGCAGGCCGTCACGTGTGACAACCCGTGTCTCCACGCGTGGGAGAGCCGTGACGAGGATGATACGGATGGTAGGGATGACGGGGATGACGGCGCTGGCGATTGCGATGTGGATGACGATGGCGATGATGTTGTTTATGCTGGGTATTGCGATGATGACGATTGTGATGCTGGGGATGATCGTGATGATGACAACGATGATGATGATGGTGATGATAATGATGTGGTGGTGATGGTGGTTGTGATGGTGATGCTTGTGATTATGATGATGCTGATGGTGGTGACGATGGTGATGGCGATGACGATACCGATGACGATGGCGATGATGATGACGCTGCTGCTGCTGCTGATGATGATGATGGTGATGATTATGACGATGATGACGAGGATGATGATGCTGATGATGGTGCTGATAATGATGATGATGATGATGATGATGATGATGATGATGATGCTGATGACGATGATGATGATGATGATGATGATGATGATCGTGATGATGATGATGATGATGATGATGATGATGATGATGAAGACGATGTTGATGATGCTGATGATGGTGACTTTGGTGATGAGGCCGATGCTGATGATGGTGATCATGATGGTGGTTGTGATAGCGATTCCGCGACTCATGCGTGAACCCCCCGTTCCCCTTGGCCGGATGTCTTTTCTTCTTCCTCCGGCGGATCCATCTTCGCGGCGACCCGATATACCCGGGACCCCTGGCGGAGCATGGATTACGTTTCCTTTTCCGCGGGCGTGTTGCCACCGGAACCCCTGAACCTCTCTGATTAGACGGCACCTGGCACGTGAGTACAGCTTGTATCACCATGTGCCAGCGCAAAGCACCTGGTCTTGCAGCACCACTTGTCGTAACTAGTCGTATCGACTCTCGATTAGGGCATGTAAGAAAACAGTATGGGCTCGGCACTATAGGATCGCGACTCGGGAGTACGGAAGCAGGGGTTACGGAATAAGGAGACAGCATATGATGTCGATATCGTAAATAGGACAAGCAGTAGCGCGCATGGAATATTAGTACAGTTCTCGAGTACAACTACTACTAGAGTGATGCTGCATACTATTAGAGTGATGCTGCATCGCTCTCACAATCTGGGCTCTCGCACTTGTTCTTTCCCTGGCTGCGCGGGGGGGTGGGGGAGACCCCGCGCGCCAGCACCCGCGCGTGTGAGACTTTATATTCCTCTCCCGGAAGTGCAGGCAGGGGTAAGCCCCGTGCCCGAACCCGTCGCAAAGGACTTGTTCATTTCTTCCGCTCTGGACGCCCGAAATGGGTACGGAAAGAAGGGGTACGATGCCCAACAGCAGTTCCTGTCCACTTTGAACAGGACTCGCTGTCCGCGCCGCCGCGGCCTGTGCCCATTCGAGACAGAAGGCCGCCTGCCCAACAGCGGCCTCTGCTGGTTTGGGACAATATTTATTGTTGGGCATTGTACCCATTCTTTCGGTACACACTTTGGGTGTCCAAATCCGCAGAAGCTGGCCCCCCTGGGGTCCTTGGCGCGCCCCCTTTTTTTTGGGGGGGGGGTCCGGATTGCCGATCATGGGTGCCATTTTGGAGTCGCCCGGGTGATGTTGTGATTATGATGGTGATGATGATGTTGCTGCTGATGATGATGATAATGGTAATGATAATGCCAATGCTGATGATGATGATGCTGATGATGACGATGATGATGCTGATGATGATGATGATGATGATGATGATGATGCTGTTGATGATGATGATGATGATGATGATGATGATGATGCAGAAGAGGAAGAAGTCGATGACGACGGTAACGACGACGATTATCGAGATTATGATGGTGGTGGCACTGCTGATGCGGTTGAGGATGCTGATACTTCTGCTGCTGACGATGCTTAATGATGATGGTACGGGTGATTATGACGATGCCGATGCTGATTCATACGATGAGGAGGAGGAGGAGGAGGAGAAACATCTTGAGCAGGCGGAGTAGGAGGAGGAATAACAGAGGAGAAGCTGCAGCAGGCGGAAGAGGGTGACCGTCTCATGTGACATCTGCCGTCGTTGCTATTCGAGGAGCTCTCATGGAACTCGTTTGGGCCGTCTCGGGGCTAGGATGGCTTTTAGTGGGGCAGTCTTGGGGCTCTCTTGGGCCGCTTTGGAGCCCTCTCGGCCGTATGGTGGGTATCTGCGGGGCCGTCGTGGGGGCGCCACTTTTTGCCGTCGGTGGGCCTTCTGATGCCGTTTTGGGTCCCAAGGGAAATCGTATTGGGGGCAATCTTGGATGCCTCTCGGGCCATCGTGTTGTCGTCCTGGGCCACCTTTGGAGCCTCTTGGGCTGTCGTGGGGCCATCTTTGACACTCCTTGGGGCCGTCTTGGGCTTTAGGCAGTCCGGAAAGGCGAGACTGCGAAACTCATTCAGCAATGCAAGGGATTTGCACGACCCTCGACAGGGTGTGCGTGGGTCGAGAGGCCTCGGAGTTAGCAGTCATGCGGGAAGAGCACAATCCTGAAGCGGCCGCGCATGGAATGATGACTCTGGAATTTGCTGCAATGCGGGACGAGCACCATCCTCGAGCGGGCACGCATGCAATGGGGGTTTACGCATAAGCTGTCGTGCTGAGTGGCCTCGGGAAAGGGGGGGGGAATCGACCAGCCTTAAGGCTGGGTGGCTTCTTATCAGGACTCAGAAAAACCGATCAGGGCTCTCGGCATTCTTTCATGCCTGTGCGTACCAGGGGGGCACGGCGGCGGATTGCCGCCAGGTGCCACCGCCTGGTTGCCTGTTGTTTTCCGAGTGCTGGCAACACCCCGCGGCGGGTGCGCTCCCTGAGCAGGAGGGTTACTGTCGCCAGGTGCCACCGCCCTGTGGACGATTGCTTTTTCAAGTGCTGGCAAGACCCCGCGGTGCGATGCGCTCCGCCCTGCGGCCGCGGGCCTTAGACCAGCAGACACGGGGACGCGGCAGCTTGCCGAATAGCGCTCGCCCGTTCGTTTGTCGTGGAGGAGTCGAGCTGTTGGGCTGCCGCCAGGGGCAGTCCGAGGAGGGATGCGTGTATGTGCGCTCCTTGACCAAGATGTTCTGCGTCGCCAGGTGCCGCCGCCTTGTGGCCGATTGCTTTTCAAATGCTGGCAAGACCCCGCGGCGCGATGCTCTCCGCCCTGCGGCCGCGGGCCTTAGACCAGCAGACACGGGGGCACGGCAGCTCCCGGAACAGCGCTCGCCCGTTCGGTTGTCGTGGAGGCGTCGAGTCGTTGGGCTGCCGGCAGGGGCAGTCCATGGAGGGGTGCGTGGACTTGCGCTCCATGTCCGTGTCGCCAGGTGCCGCCGCCCTGTGGCCGATTGCTTTTTCAAGTGTTGGCAAGACCCCGCGGCGCGATGCGCTCCGCCCTGCGGCCGCGGGCCTTAGACCAGCAGACACGGGGACACGGCAGCTTGCCGAATATCGCTCGCCCGTTCGGTTGTCGTGGAGGCGTCGAGCTGTTAGGCTGCCGCCAGGGGCAGTCCGTGGAGGGATGCGTGGACTTGCGCTCCATGTCCGTGTCGCCAGGTGCCGCCGCCTTGTGGCCGATTGCTTTTCAAATGCTGGCAAGACCCCGCGGCGCGATGCGCTCCGCCCTGCGGCCGCGGGCCTTAGACCAGCAGACACGGGGGCACGGCAGCTCACCGAATATCGCTCGCCCTCTCGGTTGTCGTGGAGGCGTCGAGTCGTTGGGCTGCCGCCAGGGGCAGTCCATGGAGGGATGCGTGGACTTGCGCTCCATGTCTGTGTCGCCAGGTGCCGCCGCCATGTGGACGATTGCTTTTTCAAGTGCTGGCAAGACCCCGCGGCGCGATGCGCTCCGCCCTGCGGCCGCGGGCCTTAGACCAGCAGACACGGGGACACGGCAACTCCCGGAACAGCGTTCGCCCGTTCGGTTGTCGTGGAGGCGTCGAGTCGTTGGGCTGCCGCCAGGGGCAGTCCATGGAGGGCTTGTGGCCGATTGCTTTTTCAAGTGCTGGCAAGACCCCGCGGCGCGATGCGCTCCGCCCTGCGGCCGCGGGCCTTAGACCAGCAGACACAGGGACACGGCAGCTCACGGAACAGCGTTCGCCCTCTCGGATGTCGTGGAGGCGTTTGGTTGTTGGGTTGCCGCCAGGGGCAGTCCGTTGAGGGATGCGTGGACTTGCGCTCCATGTCTGTGTCGCCAGGTGCCGCCGCCTTGTGGACGATTGCTTTTTCGAGTGCTGGCAAGACCCCGCGGCGCGATGCGCTCCGCCCTGCGGCCGCGGGCCTTAGACCAGCAAACACGGGGACACAGCAGCTCACGGAACAGCGTTTGTCCTCTTGGTTGTCGTCGAGGCGTCGAGTCGTTGGGCTGCCGCCAGGGGCAGTCCATGGAGGGATGCGTGGACTTGCGCTCCATGTCGGTGTCGCCAGGTGCCAACGCTCTGTGGCTGGTTGCTTTCCAAGTGCTGGCAAGACCCCGCGGCGCGATGCTCTCCGCCCTGCGGCCGCGGGCCTTAGACCAGCAGACACGGGGACACGGCAGCTCGCGGAACAGCGTTCGCCCTCTCGGTTGTCGTGGAGGAGTCGAGTTGTTGGGTTGCCGCCAGAGGCAGTCCAGTGAATTGTCAGCAGGTGCCACCGCCTCGTGGCCGTTTTTTTTTTTCAGGTGCTGGCAAGACCCCGCGGCGCGATGCGCTCCGCCCTGCGGCCGCGGGCCTTAGACCAGCAGTCACGGGGACACGGCAGCTTACCGAACAGCGCTCGCCCTCTCGGTTGTCGTGGAGGAGTCGAGCTGTTGGGCTGCCGCCAGGGGCAGTCCGTGGAGGGATGCGTGTATGTGCGCTCGCTGACCAAGATGTGTGGTGTCGCCAGGTGCCACCGCTTGTGGCCGGTTGTTCTCCAAGTGCTGGCAATACCCCGCGGCGCGATGCGCTCCGCTCTGCGGCCGCGGGCCTTAGACCAGCAGACACGGGGACACGGCAGCTCACGGAACAGCGCTCGCCCTCTCGGTTGTCGTGGAGGCGTCGAGTCGTTAGGCTGCCGCCAGGGGCAGTCCATGGAGTTGTCAGCAGGTGCCACCGCCTTGTGGCCGTTTGTTTTTCAGGTGCTAGCAAGACCCCGCGGCGCGATGCTCTCCGCCCTGCGGCCGCGGGCCTTCGACCAGCAGGCACGCGGAAACGGCAGTCACCGAATATCGCTCGCCCTCTCGGTTGTCGTGGAGGCGTCTGGTTGTTGGGCTGCCGCCAGGGGCAGTCCGTGGAGGGATGCGTGTATGTGCGCTCCTTGACCAAGATGTTCCGTGTCGCCAGGTCCCGCCGCCCTGTGGCCGATTGTTCTCCAAGTGCTGGCAAGACCCCGCGGCGCGATGCGCTCCGCCCTGCGGCCGCGGGCCTTAGACCAGCAGACACGGGGGCACGGCAGCTTACCGAATAGCGTTCGCCCTCTCGGTTGTCGTGGAGGCGTCGAGTCGTTAGGTTGCCGCCAGGGGCAGTCCGTGGAGGGATGCGTGTATGTGCGCTCCCTGACCAAGATGTGTGGTGTCGCCCACCGCCCTGTGGCCGATTGCTTTTCAAGTGCTGGCAATACCCCGCGGCGCGATGCGCTCCGCCCTGGGCCTTGGACCAGCAGGCACGGAGACACGGCAGCTGGCATACTAGCGCGCGTCCTCTCTTTGAGGCGTGGAGGCGTCGAGTTGCTGGGTTGCCACGCAAGAGATTTCTGGGCGCGAGTGCCTTCAGGAGGAGGAGGAGGAGGAGGAGGAGGAGGAGGAGGAGGAGGGGGAGGAGGAGGAGGAGGAGGGAGGAGGAGAAGGAGGAGGAGGAGGAGGAGGAGGAGGAGGAGGAGTAGGAGGAGGAGGAGGAGGAGGAGAAGGGTGACCGTTGGCATGTACCACCGCCTCGCTGTCGATTGTTACCCATGTGCTCGCAAGATATCCCGCGGCGCGACGTGGTCCGCCCTGCGGCAGCAGGCCTCTGACCCGCAGGCACCGGGGACACCGTAGCTCTCACAACAGGCGCGCGTTCCCGCGGCCGCTGTTCGGGTTTCAGGCCGCTGCGCCGGCCGCCGGCCGCGGCCCGCGTGCTCCTCAGGGTTCCTCTGCCGTTTTCGACGTCGCAGTAGCCGCGCCAGGGACACGCAGGGACGTCATTGGGGACAGGAGAGGGCATGATGGGGCAAAGGGGGGCAGGAGGGGAGACTGAGGGACACCATGGGGCCTGCAGGGGGCGCCCTAGGGGGCTGCACAGGGACACCAGGGGACGCCTCGGAACGCGGGGACACGAGGAGGAAGCACAGGGACAACGAAGGGCCTTAGAAACACAGGTTCGGTCTCCTGGGCTTGGACAGCAGCGTCGCGGACCCCTCTCGGTAGTCTGCCATCACTCTGAATCCGCGCTTTCCAATCATTCCAACCCATCAACTCGGGCTGCTCAATTGCACCCATCTCGACATCATCCCAAACACTTCCATCGAAAACATCGACCATCCCGTGGAACTGGTCCTCGTGTTCCTTCTTCCTCGTCAGGCTTTGCTGAGCGCCCAGCTTCAGCACAACGATCATCTTTCTCACGCTTCGCGTTCGTCACACCTGCCGCGTCGGCATGTCCTCCTTCGGGAGCATTGGCCTTTTGGCCCTCCACTCGTTCAGCCTGGTCAGCCGCCGTCAAAGCTGGTCTCGCATCAGTCGCCCGTGCGGGGCGTTCCAGCCTGTGCCTTGTTTTCGAGGACTTTTGCCTTCGGCGGGGGCCTACTGGAAGCTGGCGGAAGTAAAACGGCGGTGGCTCTCGCTTCCCTTCCGATTCCTCGCAGGTGTCAGGACGCGTTTCTTGGGAGGTCACGTGAATTCGGTACCACCTCCAGCGTCGACTCGCGTCGACTAGCGTCTGGGAGTTGGCGAGAGAGCGCCGATTTAGCGTTGGCTGGCGCCGACTAGCATCGATTCGCACGAGTTGCCAAGATGGTGTGGGAGGCTCCCATGGGTTTCCACCGCAATTGGGGGTGATGTTTGACCCTCTGGCCCATCACGCGCGTTATGCTTCTCCCCATAACGTAACGCTCCCTCTTCCTAGTGCGTCCCCGGCTCTGCCGCAGTGCGTCCAGCACCACAGCCAGGGGGGGGGGGGGCGCTACGTCATGCCCCCTCCTGTCCCCCACCCTCCCCCCATGACGCCCGTTACGGCCGCGAATGAAGCAATGCGTTTATTCAGCATCGGCGCTGGTATATCCATGGTGGAAAGCCAGACATGCCCAGTCGAATCTTCCGTTGAATCCTTCCTCCAGGCAACCATATTTTTGATCCCAAGCTCAATCTGGCCTGATCCGGCCGAGTGGTTCCGTAATCAGGCTGAAAAGCCTTTTCCACCTTTTTTGCGAAGAGGTCGCGCAAGTTTGCTCCCTCGCAAAGCTGACGTCCCCACACAGCTGACGTCTCGTGATTCCCCACGGCGACCTTCTCCCCACAGATTCGTTGCGTGATATCCGACCCCAGACTAAAACGCTGGATTGATTTTGGAGGTCGCCGCGGCGATCGCGGTGGCCATACATCGGGGCGTGGAGCTGGAGCAAGGGTTGGCAGGCACCTTCCCAGCACCCCAACGCCAAGCGACGTAGGCGCGGCCTATAGCCAACAGTCCAGCAACGGAGAGCTGTCGGTGTATGTCAAGCATGGGCAGTCCTGCATTCTTTCCCTGGCCAGGGGTAAGAGTGGTGACGCAACCATGACCGCCAGCGCTTCTCCTCCTCACTCCCCACAGCTGGCACCTACCCCACCCCTCCCCCCGCGGACGCGAGGCGAAGGCCACCCTGGTGGGCGGCCCCCTGCCAGGGGGCTACGGCCTGCACGGCCTGTCCAGCGGGGAGCGCAAGAGGCGCCTCCCCGCGGCGGGCCCGTCGTCGTCGTTCGCCGGCATCCTCTCCCCCTCCGGGGCTAAGCTGCCGCTGGGCCCCGCCGTAGGGCCATCCCCCCGGCAGTTTTCAGTCTCCAGTCTCCTCTCCTCCCCGCCCTCCCCATTCTCACTCCAAGGGTCACGACGTGCCAACCTACTTTGGCCTCGACAACCAGAAAGAATTCCGAGCACCAGGAATGCACCGAAGTTTCAAGGTTTTTTAAGGTGTCGGGCCCTGGGAGGCGATAATTACTCGTTCGACACTTTTCTGGGCTCTCGAAATTATTGCTGGGATGCGGTCCTTCAGTGCGATGAGAGCGACATAGTCCAAGGACCCAGGTCGGCCGACGCCCAGTGCGGGTGCCAGTATCCGCTTGCTCTCTCTCCCTCTCTTTGGCTTGCTGCCCTCGTCTACGCCCGTCCTCGTGGTCGTGCGCGCGCCGCCGCCGCGTCACCCCCCAAAAGACTTACGTCGCGCATGTCCCTCGACAGGAGGACTAATCAAAAATAGGCAACCAATAGTCTGGGGACGATGCTTTGACTATTTCGCAGCATTCGTTGGTTATGTTTTGCGTCTTTTGTATTTGTCGTCCGAAATGCGCCTGTAGGAGGACATGCCCGACATCACCCAAGACAAGTGATGCCCCATCACCACTGAAGGGAAGGCAATGCCAATACCGTTGCCCGTCTCTCATCATCACAGCTGGATTCGCCTCGGCTTCGTGGCCATAGCGCGCCCCAGGATAGAGGTCTGGGGACTGGCGGTATTGGTATCTCTCTTCCTACCAGTGATCCACATCGCCATCCGCAATATTTGCATCGACATCTGCCCCAGCATCAGCATCTGGGGCCACATCATAATCACGGACACTATCAGCACCATCAGGTTTAATCAGTATCACTACCACCACCACCACCACCATCATCATCATCATCAGCATCATCATCACCATCCCCATCAGCATCATCATCATCATCATCATCATCATCATCATCATCATCATCATCATCATCATCATCATCATTATCAGCATCATCATCATCATCATCATTATCATCATCATCATTATCATGGTCATCATCAGCGTCAACATCATCATCATCAGCGTCGTCATCAACCTCATCAGCATCACCATCGTCGTCATATCACCATCATCTGAACAACCGTCTCCACGTTCGTGTTCATCATCATCGTCATCTCCATCTGTATCAACAATCATCAGCATCATCATCATCATCATCATTCACCTTATCATCATCAGCATCATGATTGTCTCCATCATCACCATCATCATCCCCGCCACTTCCATTATCACCACCTTCGTACCTCCACGATCGGCATTATCAGCACCATCATAACCACCTTCGACACCACCATCATCACCATGATCATTACCATGATCATCACCATCATCACCATAATCATCATCAGCATCATCGTCGTCATCAGCACCATCAATGTCATCAGCATCATCACCATCACCACCTTCAACTTCATCATAACCATCACCAGCATCATCATCATCATCATCATCATCATCATCATTATCCTCATCATCATCACCATCATCACCATCATCAGCATCATCATCACCTTTTTTATAATATCTATATGGTATGTATCCATTGCTATCCTCGTCAGCATCATCACCACCAGCATCATCGTCATTAATGCTCATCGTCACCATCTTCTTCTTTATCGCCTTTCTGTTCAGCCCCCAATGTTCCTCAGTCCGCCTCCCTTCCCCTAGATGCCATCCGTCTCTTCCTCCTCAGTGGTCCCCGCCCCCGTTTTCCCCCCCTTGACTGCTCCTCCCCATCCTCTCCTTGCCCTCCCCATCCCCCTTCTCCCTCATCACCCCCCCTCCGCCCCGACCGCGGGGGCGGGTGCGTCCCGTGCGTCCGCGCAAATCCACTCTTGGGTGGGGGGCTGTGCGCTTCCGTTCGGCAGCACCGGGGGGTGCTCATGTCGGGCTCCCCTCAAGCGGCGGGAGTTGGGAACGCGCGTCGCCCCGCCACGTGTCGGCGGCGCGATCGGCGTGGGCGCGGAAAGAGCCTGAGTCGTGAGGGCGAACACTGACAGCGGTGCCTGCCGGGTTTGCGCAGGGCCCGCTGCCGGCGCCCACGCGGACGTCGCCCACGTCAGGCCAGGAGCCGCCTGCCCGAGAGCGGCCGCTGCCTCCTTTGGACGACGTCTGCTGCTGGGCATCGTGGCGGATTCTTGGGGCGTGGCGGGAGGGCTGGTAGGCGCTGGCCACCTTTGTCGGGGCGGCCCGTCGCTCACCCCCGCACCACGCGCTGGTGCCCCCGCCGAGCGTCGTTGGAGCATCGGCGTCACACCAGCATGCTTCTACGGTGTGCGCGTCGCCCCCCTCAATGGGGCGACGCGCGCTCCGAGAAGTCTTGCAGTGTCTCGCGTCGCGGCGGGCGCTGTTGCCCACACGCTCGGGAAACGGAATACGGTGCAGTTTTTAATACATGCTCCGCGTGCGGATCATGTATTAAAAATGAAGGCATTTAGTACTAAAAACAACGATGAGTTCGTGCATAAATTTATTCACGCATGGATCATGTGTTAAACATCGTGTGTTTTTAACATATCCTCTGGATTAAAGCCTGCCCTGGACTACGTAGCACCCCGCAGATGCGGATACGTTATGTGGTCTTCCCTCGGAACCTTATATACACCTCTAATTATGTTTATTCTAGTCTTTTTCCGGACTTAGTGGCAGTTTAGTGGCGGTTAGTGGCGCCCTCGCTCCTTCCCCCCTCCCTCTCAGCTATCTTCGCCACCATCCTTCTCTCCCGCTCGCTGCGCGCAATTGAGGAGATCTGTCGATCGCGGCGACCGCGCGCGCGCGTGCGCATGCGCTCGCGAGTGGGGGGTGGGGGGCGGGGGGAGGGCGATCCCGCTTACCCCGAGGCCCTGACGGTAACGTCAGGAATCTTCGCACCCCCTCCTTCTCCTCTCTTCCTCTGCCCCTCTCCCTCCTCCCTCCCCTCTCATTCTTTGCGTCGTTATGCAGTCGCAGAAGCCCTTGGGAGTCCAAGGAGTCCCCTCTCCTCTCCATCTTCCTCTTCCTCCATTTCCCCCCTCCTCCCCCCCCCTCCGTGTCGTCCTCGTTTTCCTTTTCCTCCTCTTCCTTCTCCTCCCTCCTTGTCCCTCATCCTCGTCCAATTCACTCGTCCTCCTCCCTTCTGCCCCCTTTCCCCGCGCTCCTCTCCCTCCCTCGCGGCGAGGCAGCCAGGCACCTGCCCGAACTCGCGCGCCGCGGCGCCACCGCCGAACACCCGTTTCCAGCGTATCCCCACCAGTCCATCTATGAACGATGCCCTTGAGAGATGGTTTGGGTAATGGGCGTTGGTGAGCACGTAGTGATAGCGCGGAAGCCCTCTTGGAGCCATCTCGGGCGAAAACAGATCCTCACGACGACGACGACTTGACGATGTTGACGTGGGTCACCGTCCCCGGGGATGCTTCTTGGGGTCTCTTCGGAGGGTTCCCGGGGGCTTCAGGGGGTAATTAGCTTTGGGGCCTCCTGGAGCCTCTTGGAGGCTTGCTGGGAAGCTCATGGGGGCCTCTGGGGGTTTCCCAGGGGCCTCTTAAGGGGTCTCTTGGGTTCCTCCTCCTTCCTCCTCCTCCCCCTCCTCTTCCTCATCCTCCTGCCAATTTGCATTCGTAGCGGTTTTGGCTCAAGGCACCGTCGGTGCGCCATTGGCTCACGGCGCCGTTGGCGCGAGGGGCGCATGCGTTGGCGGCCCGCCGTCGTGCGCGGCGCCCTCCATGCGTTGGCGGCGTTGCAGCAGTGTCTCGGGGAGGACGTGGAATTCCTGCGCGAATGCGGTGTCGATGCCGAGGCGTTGTCTGCATCTGCGCGGGGCACTGCTGTCTTGGTTGCCGATGCTTTTGAGGGGTGCCCCCGGCGCCGCGGTCCCCGACGAACGGATCCTGACTCTCGCAAGAGCCGTCGCCAACTTGTGGACGCCCTGAAGCATCAGAGGCGGCAGCGGCGTCGCCTCCAAGCGGCGCTCCGCGATGAGGGCGTCTCGAGGGAAGGGAGGCACGTGGAGATCATTTGGCTCATCCGGGCTGGGCTCGCGGACCCGAAGCTGCCGCGGAGGACGCTGGCCGATATGTTCCGAGCCCATCCTCTTGAGCACAACGTGCCCATCTCAGCCAGCCGCATCAGCTGCGTGCGGGATGCTGTCGTGGAGGTCCTGAAGAGCATGAACCGTGAGCGCGCCGCTCGACTGGGGGCGCTCTCGGGCCCATTAATCATTCATCACGTCCACGACGAAGCCGCGATGCGTATGAAGAGCTTTGCAGTTTCGCAGGAGGCCGGCATCGAGCTGCCGACAGGGCGCGGGCGCGGGGGCCTCGGGCTCCCCCGCTCCCAGACCAGTAAGGTGCAGAACCAGGTCATCACGCTCTGCAGAGGGGGCGGCCGCGAAGAGTGGTGGTCGGAATTGGAGGCTTTACTGCGCAAAGACGCCCCCACGATCGCAACCTCGATCGTCAGAGCTTTGGAAGCGATCTCGGAGCAGGTGCGGCCCAACGTGGCGGATGGCTGCCCGCTCCGGGTGGTCCACTGCGTCATGGGGGACGCCATCGCCACGAACCAGGCCGCCATGCGGCTCGTGCTGGCCCATTTCCTGCGGCCCGGCGCCCCCGCGTGGTTCGTTTACCGAGTCTGCCTGTGGGTGTGCGCGTCTCATCAGGCTAACCTGGTTACTGCCGTCGCCGTGTGCCGGAGCGCTGCAAAGAAGGATATAGACAGCAACCCTTTGCAGGCGAATTGCGCTCGCTTCTTTAAATACCTCGTGCCCGATTACATCGAGGAGTTCGGCGCGAGGTTGCGCGCGCACGTCGCGCGCTCCCTGGGGCGGCGGGTTGGGGGTGGCGGCGGTGGCGGCGGCCTGTCGGGGAGTTTGCAGGCGCTGTACGGCAAGCGCGTGCTTTCCGACGCGATCGCGGGCGTTTGCAGCGCAGACCTGGGAGGCTTGGTGGCGGACTACGCGGGGGACGATGACCGCCCGCGCGCTTGCGGCGAGGTATACGTCGTCCTGCATAAGTCGTTCTTGCAGTGCCAGAACAAACCGATACGGAGCCGGTTTTGGCTGTTCGCGGACTGCGTCAACACGTTGCTTCGCTTGAAGCTCGTCGGCCTTCCCGCGGACGTGTTTTCCCTGGACACCGTCGCCCCCCGCGCGGAGAACAAGAAGCGTCTCCAGAAGTTCAAGGCTTGGTATTCGCACCTTTACACCGCGGGGGATCTGAAGCGCGTGTCCCTGTGCTTGCAGTTGACTTCCATTGCGACGAGCATATCCTCCCAGAAAGCGACGGGCGAGAGGGAGCCCACGCTGGTCAGGTTGGCGAAGGGCAACAACCAGGAAAAAGTTGCCTCGAGGATCGCAGAACTGTTTGATTTGCTGCCGCTTGACCCGCAGCTTGACCGGGCGGCCGCGGTGGCAGACTTGCTGAGAACGGCGTCTCACATTTGTGCCCGTTACGATGAATGCAAATCGTGCCCCACCGCGCTTTGGCAGCTCAGTCGTCGATACAACCCGGACGAGTATCCTGCTGGCACCCGGAGATTCCTGCGGGAGCCCGAAGCGAAGCTGGACGCTGGGTATTCGCTGCCGCTCCAGCAGGAGGCGCTGGCGCGCGGCTCGATGTCCACGGCGCAGGATTACATCGGGCCCCCCGCCGCGCAGGAAGAGATCGACGGCCTCCTCGACGCCGCGGCCAGCAGCATGGACGCCGAGAGGAAGCATAGCCAAGATAAGATGCACGACGGCGTCCGCAAGGTTTCGGGCCTGCCGCGGGCGTCCAGCGACAGCATGCTCCAGCGGCACAGGCTTATCCGCAATGCGGGGATCGACTCCCTGGCCTTGCGTCGCAAGCAGATCCGGAAACGCAAGTTCATGACTGCGTGGGCGCTGGCGGTCCAGAGGAAGCCCGATTGGACGCCGCGCCCGCTGGGGTACGTGCTGCCAGACGAGCTCGCAGAGCTGACTCGGGTGGCGCACGGGGGGGGCCTGGGCGCCCTGCGGACGCGCTACAGGGCGAATGCAACTGAGCTGAAGGCGGAGGCGCGGCGCATCCGCACCGAGGCGCGGGACCTCGAGCGGCGTGAGTTCGAGTCATCATACACAGTTTCAAATGAAGAATGGATGGCTTGGTTTCGCACCGGCACTAACGAGGCGGACTTCCGGGCTCTGCTGAAGAACGCCGCGTCCACGCGGCGCCTGCTCGCAGAGCGCCCCACACCTCTCTCGACGGGCTTTCCCGAGCCCAGGCGCGCGCAGCCTGGGCCAGCGGGCCCTGGCGAGCGTTCCGACGCGCTGCGGCGCCAAATCCTCCTACAGCAAGGATCTGGCTTTCATGCTCTGAAGGGGTCGGGCCACGGCTTCACCGCGAGGGTTTTCTTCTGGCGCGCGCGCTGCAAGCAGCGCGAGCTCTTTCTGGTTCTGACGCCTGACGACGGTGGCGCTTACACTTCGTCGGGGACCGTCCCCTTCCACGAGCAGCTCGCGACGGCGGACGATGTCCTGGCCCGCCTGGGCGAGAGTCGCGACAACGTATCTGTTTGGAGATTGGCCGCGGAGGATGCGCCCGCAACGGGCGGCGCCTTTTCAATGCGATTGGCGGGCGCCGAGGAGGTTCATCTGGACCCGGGCCGACCGCGCCCAAAGCGGGGGGCCGAGGGCGAGGGGGAGGGCGACGACGAGCAAGACGAGGACGGCATGTTAGGCGCCTCTTCGGACGCGGATACCATCGTTTCGCAGGTGGAGTCCGCCGCCGAGGATGTCGCTGAGGATTCCGAGAGCGTTCATTCCGAGGGGGCCGAGCCTGCCGCGGGCGAGATCGTCGGCGAGGTCGGCGACGCCGACCTGGCGAGGGAGGCCGCCAAGTCCTTCACTGTTCCCGGTGAAGCCGATGGGTACTTCCGCATGACGAGGAACCCTGAGTGGCCAGACGCAAGGATCCTCATCGCTTCCACGCGTTGGACGGCCGAGGGCGAGATGAAGCGCGTGCCGGAGATGTCCAGGACGCTCGCCCTAAATCACTACGAGGATCCCCCTCACCGGCTCTTGCGCACGTATTGCGCCCTGCGCGCGTGGAAGTTGTGGAGGTCCAGGCAGCGCGGCTGGTGCGACCGAAATGCCGCCAGGAAGGCTTGGCACGCACGGGAGGTCGTGCGCCTCCGGAAGGAGATTGCCGAGGCGGGCGCCGAGTGGACCACGGGCAATGAGAGATGCGACAACCTGATTCGGGGGTTGGCGCCAGAGGCTCTCGAGGTTTGATCGCGTCGCTTATAAAAAGATCCGCGCCCTCCGCCCATAGGTCTTTTACTCTAGGTCTCCGCCCATAGGTCTCCGCCCATAGGTATTTTACTCTAGGTCTCCGCCCATAGGTCTCCGCCCATAGGTCTCTCGCCCTATTGGCCCCCCTCGTCCCCTTCGCTCTTCCACCTCCTCCAGCTCCTCCATCTTACTTCGCAGGGCCACTCCATTTGCCTCGCCTCCGTGCTACAGCGGCGCAGATAGCACCGGCCCCAATGCGCGTCTTACCTTGCCTTACCTTACCTTCCCCTCGTCCTTCGGACCTTACCTTTCCTCCTTCTCGTCCTCCTCCTCCTCCTCCTCCTCCTGCTCCCCCTCGCGCAGGGGCTCTGCCCCCTCCAGGCTGGGCCGGGCCGTCGCCCCCCGGCCCCCGCGGCGGGGCCTGGGCCGCGGGGGGCGATGGCCTCCACGAGGGGCGCCGCGTTCGGCCTCGACTTCGCGGACGACGCCGCGAAGGTCCACCTGATGGACCAGCTTCTCAAGCGGCGGCTCCTCCGCGCCGACCCCGCCGCCGGGCCGCCGGAGCGGTTGGAGGACGATGGCGAGGAGGAGGAGGGGGGAGGCGAGGTGGAGGGCGGATGGGGGGGGGGGAGAAGGAGGAGGAGGAGGAGGAGGATGGGGGGAGGAGAAGGAGGAGGACGAGGAGGAGGACCGGCCGCGGGACGGCTGGCCGGCTGGACAGGCCGCGGCGGCCGGCCTCGGGCGCGGCTGGCCTGCGGCGCGGCCTCGGCTTGGCCGGAGGGGCGGCAGGAGTGAGGGAGGGCGAGGTGGAGTAGGAGGGGGGCGACGACGACGACAGGGAGGAGGATGAGGAGGAGGAGGATGAGGAGGAGGAGGAGGAGGAGGAGGAGGGGGAGGAGCAGGAGGAGGAGGAGGAGGGCGGAGGAGGAGGACGGAGGAGGAGGACGGAGGAGGAGGGCGGAGGAGGAGGACGGAGGCGCGGCCTCGGCTCGGAGGAGGACGGAGGCGCGGCCTCGTGCCCCACGCTGGTGGGCTGGCGGCGGCCTCGGCCTGGGCCTTGGAGGACGAGGAGGAGGGGGGGGGGGGGGCCTCGGCAAGCAGAGGGAGGTGCGGCCTCGGCCTCGGCCTCGCCTTGTCGTCGTCGTGCCCCGCCCGGCCGGGCGGCGGCTGGCCTCGGACTCGTCGCCGTCGCAGTCGTCGCCGTCGCCGTCGCCGTCGCCGTCGTCGCGGTCCTCGTCGTCGTCGTCGACGGAGTGACGCCGCCAAGGGCACCCTCAACTGGGGTTCGCGGGCTTCCGAGCGTGGATGGGGCCGCTCGCGGAGAAGCCGCGCAGAGGGGCTGCGCCGCAGGGCCGACCGCGGAACGCGGATGGGGCCGACCGCGGAGGGGCCGAGCGCGGAGGGGCTGCGCCGTAGGGCCGACCGCGGAACGCGGAGGGGCCGGCCGCGGAGGGGCCGAGCGCGGAGAAGCCGTGCGTCGTCTTGCTGCTGCTCTTCCTCCTCACTGGAGCCGGCTGAGGGGCTGAGGTGGCCAACCACTGGTTCGGGGAGGTTTTTTGTTTTTTTCGGCCCCCGGGGGCCGTTTTCGGGCCCCGGGGCTTCGAAAATTCGTTCCGGGGTGAAATATTGCGTCGGATGGACCCCGGGAGGGGTCGGGGGACCGATTTTGAGCCGATTTTGCATATACCCCCCCTCTTGACCGATTTTCTGGGGCCCATCCAACGCAGACCCCCTGGCCGCCGCCAACCTCCTCATGCTTGCTCCTTGTGCTGCTGTTGCTTGTCCCCTCCTGTCCCTCTCTCCCTCGTCCCACCTGGCTGCCTCTCCTGTCCTGTTCTCCTCCAGTCCATCCGTCCTCGCCCCCCTGGAGCACGTCCTCGATCGTGTCCTCGCTCCTCTTGAAGCCAGGCCGCGTGAACCGACTCGGGCAGGGCGTCGATCCCCGAGGTGCCGTCCTCCCCATTGGTAGCTCGCCCTTCTCCTACTGAACTCGCTTCTCCGCCCCCCTTGTCCTCCCTCTCCTCCCCGCCGCCGCTGCCGAGGTTCAGCCAGGGGCGAGTGTGAAGCCCTCAGGCGCGCGGTCGCGACGCGTCCTGCGTCGCGGTCGGTGGGCGAATCATGCCGACTCATGCGCCAGCCCCTGAGCCGACGCTGGAGGAGGTGAATCGGGCGGCCCAGGGTGACTTCAGCCCGAACACGCGGAAGAAAGCCAAGCGGGTCCTCGGCCGCCTGGACGGGATGGGGGGCGAGGTCGACGAGGGCGTGCTGTGCGCGTACATGTTCCTTCGGAGGCTCGGCAAGCATCGGCCGCGGGCGGATGAGATCGCGCAGTGGGACCAGAAGCGCCGCAAGACCGTCGAGGCCAGCAAGATGGGGAAGACCGTGTGGGTGGTCAAGAAATCAATGGCCCCTCACTTGCAGGAGGCGCTGCCGCTGAAGGTGTTCGTGGACCCGCGGACGGTGTCGAAGCTACCTCGCGGCACGGACCCAGGGGACATCTTCCTCATCGATCAGTGCGTGCCTCGGTCCCGGTTGGTGGACTCGGACGGCGAGCCGCTGGCGGGGGTCTTGGAGTTCGAGGTTTCGTACGCGGAGTTGTCGGGTGAGGAAGAGTCGGAGAAGAAGAAGAAGAAGCCTGGCCCAGAGACATCGCAGGCCCGCGGGAGCCAGCAACCGGAGGACCACCAGAGGAGCGCGACTCTGGACAACAGCGAGAGGCCGGAGGACCAAAGCCAGCAGGTGCCGCAGGGCCCGGACCCGAAGAGGCAGAAGGTGCCGGAGGGGCCGAACCCCAAGGCGGGCGAGAAGGACAGCGGCGCACCGCCCGGGGCTCGGCCGCCAGAGATGGCATCGGCGATTGCGGCGAAGAGGTGAAGGGGAGGGCTTCGGGCACGCTTGCCATGATCTTTGGTTCGCTTTGACTGCCTTGGGGCGAGGGTGGGATCGCGCGGGGCGCTCCGATTCCCCGGGGCTGGCCCCCTGCCTCTCTCTAGCCCTGATCTTCAGTTCGTTCTGGTTGCAGGGGGGCAAGGGTGGGATCATGCAGGGCGCTCCCCAGGGCTGCCCCCCTCTCCCTGGAGCGTCTCCGCTGCTTCTTGCCGATGTCTGCAGGTCGTTGCTGGGGGCCGCCGACGACGCGGCAGCCGCTCAGGAGGATAGCGTTGTGTTCGAGGAGATTGCGAAGAGCACCGCGCGGGCCGCGGAGGCGAACAGGTGGTTTTCCCCGGGCCCATTCGACAGCAGTGCGTTCGAGTTCTGGCTGCTGCAGTTCCTCCGCTACCTGCAGGACATGCCGGCTGAGGCGGTGATCCCGGCCGCGGCGGCCCAGCATTTGAAGTTCGTTACGAGAGAGATCATCGAGCGCCCCATGGTCACAGAGGGCACGCTGAAGAGGCTGAGCCCCGTCTTGAAGCAAATCCGAGACGCCGCCCCGGTGAAGAGCGGGAAGAAGATGCCGAAGATGGGGGGATGCCGTCCTGGAGATTGCGGACATGGCGGCGCCGCCGCCGCCGCCGCCCGCGGGGGCGGCACCGACCGCCTCGACTCTCGCGCCGCCTACGGGGTCCTTCCTGCAGCGCCTCGAGGGGCAGACGGGGGAAGATGGCGCCGCCGCTCCTCCGCCCGCGTCCCCGCGCACGCCGGACGCTGCCAACGGCCCCGCCGCCGCTCGCCCCGAGTCCGCGGAGAAAGGCGACCCGCCAGCCGCTCAGCCTGCAGTGCCCTTCGGCACCATGGCCCGCTCAGCCTGCGGCGGTTTGCAGTTGACGGGGTTCAACATGCAGGAGCGGCATTCCTTTCTGGAGTGCCCCTTGTACAAGGACTTCGTCAAGCACCGCTGGACGGAGCGCTTCCGCCAGGTCCGCGAGGAGACCCGCGTGCCCAAGGACGAGCGGTTGAGCAATTTCCGCGGCCTCCTGGAAGCGAAGACACGGGGGGGCGAGGCAGACGTGCAGGAGCTGCAGTGCATGGACACGCTGATGGGCCCGGGTTCTCTCTCGATGAAGGTGGAGTACCTCGTGGAGAAGCCTGGGCGCTTCGAGATCGCAAAAGCGTGGCGCCCAGACGATCCGCGCCTCTGCCTGCTCCCGCTGACCAAGCCTGGGCCCGTGGCACTCTCGGCAAAAGACTTTGTCGTGGCCGTCAAGCTCCTCGGCGAGGGCCCCGCCTCCCTGAACTGGATCAAAAACGGTCACGCGAAGAGCCTCGTGGCCGATTGGCGCCGCGTGAAGGACGCCCATAAGACAAAGGAGGAGCACCAGTTCCTTTGCACCGCCTTCTTCAAGGAGCTGGTGGAAGCCCGCGTCGGCTTGCTCGCGCCTCAGGCCCTGCAAGCGCAGCAGCAGCCAGACCAGCAGCAGCAGCATGAGAAGACCGACGAGCCCGCCGACGTGGCGAAGCGCATGAACTACGACATCCTGGAGGCGACGTGGAAGGCGGCCTCGACGACCGTGAAGGGAAGCAAGGGCCAGCAGCAGCATGGGGTGAAAGACTTGGAGCCCGTCTGCGCTGCCGCGCACAAGGAGTGCACCGAGCAGCGCGACAAGAAGAAGGCCGAGGAGGAGAAGGAGAAGGAACAGAAGGCGAAAGACAAGGCCGATAAGGAGGCGAAGAAGGCGGAGGAGGAGAAGAAGGCCGAGGAGGAGAAGGCCGCGAATGGCGGCGACGGCGAGAAGGAGAGCCCGCCGAAGGTCGGCGACACGGTTGTCATGAAGGTGAAGTCCAAGAAGGACGGCTGGCGGGGGCACCCGCGCGGGGCCAGCGGCGGGGGCCGGCAAGGCGCCAAGCTGCTGCCGCAGAGGGCGGGGGCAGGTGTGGGGCGGGCCCCGGCGCGCCCCCCGCTTGCCCCCCTTCTGCGGCTTCCGTGGCTGGCGGCTTTTGTCGTTGCCGCCGCCGCCGGCCGCGAGCGGTGATTCGGGTTGGCCCCCGCGCTGCACAGGACCAGTACGACGGCTTCAAGGCAGAGGTCAAACGCGCGAACGGCAGGGAGCTGAAACTCTGGGTCCTGGAGGGCCCGAAGAAGGACACCGAGAAAACGTTGCCGCCGGATCAGGTCCAGAAGATCAAGATCGAGCCGCAGACCGCGGCGCCGTCGAAGCCCGCCGACCCGGGCGCCGTGTCGGCTTCCGCCGACTTGGGCAAGATGGACTCGAAGGGCTTGGACAAGCTGTTTGGGGATACGGGTGAGATCGGCTGAGATCCACCGGCCGCGCGCGGAGCGCCATAGCCGCTAGCCGCGCGCGTGCGCGAGCGAGAGCCGCGCGCGGCAGCCGCGGGGAAATTGCACTGCAGGGGGGCGCTGCAGAGGGAAAGCGGATCCACATGCATCGCCTCCGCATCCTTCCCGGTCGCCGTCTGTCCGCCCGCTTCCCCGCCACCCCGCCCCGCTGCCTGAGGGGGGAAGAGGATGAGGAGGAGGAGGAGGAGGAGGAGGAGGAGGAGGAGGAGGAGGAGGAGGAGGAGGGGGAAGAAGAGGAGGAGGAGGACGAGGAAGAGGAGGGGGGGGGGAGGGGGGGCCGGAGGAGGAGGGGGATAGTTCCTCGGAGGAGACGGAGGAGGTAGGGGTGGGCGGGGTAGGAGGAGGAGGAGGGAGAGGCGGAGGAGGAGGAGGAGGGGGGGGGGGGGGGGGGAAGGGATCGGGGGGGGGGTGCAAAGTAGGAGGAGGGAGGAGGAGGATGGGAGGAGGGGGGGAGGAGGAGGAGGAGGAGGAGCCACGGTCAGGATCAGGGCGCATTGGGGCCGGCGCCTCGCGACAGGAGGGGGAAGGGGAGGAGGTCGAGGAGGGGGGGGAAGAGGAGGGGGGGGGGAAGGGCGAGGACGAGGGCGAGGGCGAGGACGAGGACGAGGAGGAGGAGGAGGAGGACGAGGAGAGGAGGGAGGGGGAGGGGGGGGGGGCGGCTCAGGAAGCCGCCGCCACGAGCTGACGCGGCAGTGCGGCCCTCGACCAGAGACCATTGCTCTTCGGTCCTGCAGGGTCGTCAGAGGGATTCCCCCTCCCCCTTCGCCCCCCCTCACCCCACCTCCTCGCCCCTCCTCGCTCTTCCTCTTGCCTCTCGCCTTTCCCTCCCTCGTCCGAGTTCGCCCTCCCCCCCCCCCTCCACGTCGTCGTAGTCGTCGTCATCTGTTTTGCCCTCCTCCCCGCCTCCTCCTCCTCCTCCTCCTCCTTCTCCTCCTCCTCCTCCTCCTCCTCCCCCCACGCTATCCCGAGGGACCTGTGGGAGGAACAATGGCAGCAAGCTGTGCCCACACGTTGTAAGCAGCCTCACGCGCACTTCGCGTACACTCACTGGGTGCGCGACGCCGACGACCTCAACCTCAAGTGCGCCAAATGGGCCACGGCGCTCGAGAACACTATGATCAGCCACCACCAGATCGACCCGCAGGAAGCCGCAGCATACACAGGCCGAGCCCAAGGCTACCAATTGTCTTGGAAGAAGACGGCCGCCGCCCCAGGCCGCGTACACGTACATGACCCTCAGTCGGAATGGTGGGCAATCACGCTCACCCTCATCAAGCGCTACGCTGCGCTTCTCGACAAGCCCAAGCACACAGCGCTCATGCAGCAGCAGGCCTCCATCATCCAGCAGCGCGCGGACCACTTCAACACTCACTTTCACGACCTCCAGTTCGAGAAGGACGAGGACACCATTTTCCGCTGGTTTGCACTCGTCTGGGCCCCGCACTTGGACAATGAGGACACCGACGACTTGGTCGCTATTACCGCTACTTGGGCCTCCAGAGCGCTCTCCGCCGCCCTCGCCAAGTCCAAGAGGGCATACGGTGCTTGGCTCGCCAAGCAATGGAAACACCGCCCTGGAGTCCTGCACGCCCATGTCAAGCCTGCGCCCGTACGTCACATCGAGGCCTACGCGACCAACCTGACCATCGCCGACCCCACCGTTATCATGGACAACAAGAAGCAACAATGGCAACAAGTATGGCAAGCCACCGAGACCCCCGACGACATCCTACAGGCACTGTCAAAGGCCAAGGCAGCAGCCGCTCGCCAACCGCTCGAGCCCATCACAGCCGAGATCGTACACCGCTTTCACGGCCGCGTGCCACCCAGTAAAGCACATGGAGTTGACGCCCTTGGACCTCGCGACCTCCATCGACTACCAGAACCAGCAGTCGAAGCCTATGCGGATATCCTCAACGCAGTAGAGCAAGCAGGCATCTGGCCACTACAAATCTCAGGCACTATTGCAGCCCTCGCAGCCAAGAAGTCTGGAGGCGACAGGGTCCTCGGCATGCTACCTCACATGGCCAGACTCTGGTCTCGCATCAGATCGACTGCATCTACATCCTGGACCCAAGGCCTGGACGACTTTTGGACTACAGCCATCAAAGGCTCCTCAGCTCTCCAGGCCGCCCTACATAGGGCCTTGTTAGACGAGACAGCCTCAGCACTTGGCATACAGTCAGCCACGTTGCTATTAGACATCCAGAAGTTCTACGACAATATCAAGCTCGCCAACCTCATTATGGTCGGCCTCAACTGCGGCTTTCCCCCCATCATTCTACTACTGGAAGTACAGCTATACCTGGCGCCCAGATTCTTGCGCAGTCGACAATGGGTGAGTATGCCTATCTTCGCCTCCAAAGGCATCATTGCAGGCTCCCCTCACGGCACGACCTTGGCACGACTCATATTACTTCCTATTCCACGGCAAGCCCAAGCTCAGGCAGAGCTTGCCCAGATGTGGACCTTCGTAGACGACACTGTTCTTCGAGTCGAAGGAGTCCTACGCACGCTACAGAAGCACCTCCCCCGTGCCGCCAAGACGCTCTGCCACGGTTTAAAGGGGTTCGAGCTGCCTATCTCTGACAAGACGGTCCTCATTGGCTCCACCCCCAAGGTCCGCAAATCGCTAGCCAAGAAGTTGCGGCAGTACGACATCCCAGTTACTGCGACCGCCACGGCCGTCGACCTCGGAGTTGACGCGGCTGCGGCTACTCGACGGGTGCAAGCCAACGCCAGGAAGCGACAGAGCTCAGCCGCAGCTAGGTTTCGCAAGATACACCGACTACGGAGCACTGCACAGCAGGCTCGAATCTCAGCAGGACTGTGGCGTACTGGCGCTCTCCCCGAAGGAGTATTCGGTCATCAGGTGCACGGCCTCGCTCGGCACGCTCTACTACGATGGCGGCGTCAGGCCGCCATTGCGGCCACGGGAGCAGCCGCGGGCCGATGCCCCACCTCCCTCCTCGGCGCCACCTTCGACGGCATGGACCCAGGAGTTTCCCTAAGGATCGAATTCATCGAGGCTTGGCTTCAGCACTGGATACGCCACCCGAACACGCACGCCAGGATCATCAGAGCATGGCCAAGGATCAAGACCACCTTGCTCGCCGCAGGCCCCAAGCTGTGGCGCAGGGTCAAGGGGCCCACAGGCGCGGCCATCGCGACCCTGCTGGAGGCCAGCTGGGAGCCGACCTCAGCTACCACGTGGAGGCGTACGAAGGACGGCTACATCGAGGAGTGGAACCTCCCCCCTGCCGATGACCCTGACCTCCTCGACGCCGACATCCACGCAGTATTGCAGGACCTCAGCGAGGATTTACACAGGCTCCTCTGGACTCAGGCCGCTACGCATGACCATGGTGACACGCTGGCTGGAGGCGCGGACATGGTCACTATCCGCATTGAACAAAGGAGGCTCCTCGCAAACGGTGATTTCAGCGACTGGGCCCTCAACAACACCGTCATCAGTGGAGGACAATGGACCAGAGACCGCCTCCACAACGCGGGCTACCAGATCGACAAGAACTGCGACCGATGCAGCGCGGGAGTTCCTGAAACCTTGTTTCACCGAGTGTGGCAGTGCGAGGCGAATGTGGGACCTGAGTTTGAGGCCAGTGACAAGTTACTACCGCGAGCCGTGGCGGGGGTCGATGCCGACCCTGCCCTGTGGCTCCGTGGCATTCCCTCTGTCGCTCTCACTACGCCCGCGTTCGAGCCATTGACTGGGAGGGACGGGTGGGAGTTTGCTGGTGCGGTGCGGGAGGGTCTGCCGTCGTGGGAAGGAGCTCGTAACGCTGAGGGCGAGTTGTTTCTTTTTGGCGACGCGTCTGGCGGCGCCTTTTCCGACGACGTCAGGCGACGGCGCGTTGGTTCTGGCCTCGCGGCCCTCCGATGGGACCCTCCCTCGGCCTCCTGGGCCCTCCACGCGGGCCTCCTCGCCCCCCTCCCAGGCCCCCGCCAGACCGTCCCAAGAGGCGAGTTGCATGCGTTTTGCCTGGCACTGGAGACGTGCCAGCAGGATTTCACGTTTGTTACAGATCACCTAGCCCTGCAGCGCGGCTGGCAGAATGGCAGATGTCTCAGACCTGGCAGCCTTAGAGGCAAGAATAAGAATGGGGATCTCTGGCTGAGAATTCGGCACCTCGTGCAGGATCGATCTGGCGGCGGCTCTTCGGTCACGGTGCTCTGGACCCCATCTCACGCCGATCCCCTGACTTTGCATGGTTTCCAAAAATTTCTGGCTCTCGGCAACCAGCATGCCGACGAGCTCGCGGGAAGCGCGGCCCACAAGTCGGCCACCCTTGCCCTCCCGCCCGTCCCCAGGACCGATGAATACGACGCTATTGCAGCCATCGTCCGACAGAGGGCACGACTGATCTTACGTTCCTTAGGCAAGAATTCAGAGCCTCGAGGACTGTGGCCAGAGAGGCAATCCACCCAGGAGGCAGCCCCTCGCTCTCTGTTGCAGACCGCGATCGCGGCTTCTCAGCACAAATTCGAGCGGTGTGCAGACAAATGGAGGTGCCCTGCCTGCCTCATCATCGTTGACGCTTGCCACGTTATTCCAGCTGCCGCCACAGAGTGCGTGCCGCCTTGCCCCCTTCCCGAGTTTGCCGCGTGTGGAGAGGTGCTGTGGTCGAGGGGCCCCCGCGTGATCAGTGGCAAGGTGATCCACCGCTCCCGCACTTTGGCCACCATCCCCAAGTGGCAATTGTTCTTCTGTGTGAAGTGCGGCCACACGGCCACGCACCAGGTTAAAAGCCTACTTTTGCCGTGCCCTCTCTCCCACCAAGTGGGAGAGCGCAGGGCCCTGGGACCCGCTGGCAAAGGCCTCGAGAACCTCAGCAGGATCAGGCGAGGCCTCCACCCGTCCAGATCGGGTCCCAGCAAGTCAGTGCTAGAGGCTTTGCACGTTTCGGCAGCCGAAGCCGCGATCGGTTCCTACGCGGCGGGTGCTGCCTCCGAGTAAATTGTGAGGCCAGGGGGGCCTGTCGCGGTGGGCCGTGGGATGTCGCCCCCCACGGCCCTCCGAGAAATGCTGGATGGCCCCCCTGGCATCTCTGGGTTCCGAACGGACTACGTCCGATTGCTCCACTCCACTCCTCCTCCTCCTCCTCCTCCCCCTCCTCGGCGCTCTCGTCCCCCCGCGGCCCGCCCCTCGGCGGAGTGGCCGGCCGCCCGCGGGAACTCGCGCGGCGGCGCGCCGCCGTCGAAGTCCCCCCCCCCCAAGTTGCGGAGTAAGCGGGGTCGCCCTTCCCCCGCCCCCCCCCCCCCTCGCGCGTGCACGCGCGCGCGCACGGGCGCCGCGATCGACCGATGTCCCGAGGTGCGCGCGGCAAGAGGGGGCGGATGGCGATGGCGGCGACGATGATGATGATGGTGATGATGATGGTCGCAGTGGTGGCGGTGATGATGGGGGGAGGGGGGTGGGGGATAAGGAAAGGCGGGAGGCGGATGAGGCGGAGGATTCGGAGGAGGAAGAGGCGCTGATGTGCCACTAAGTTGCCGCTAAGTGCCGCTAAGTGCCGCTATTTCGGAGTTTTCTGGTGTAGCTAAGGTTCCGAGGGAAGACCACGTAAGATACGAGTGAGGGGGGATGGGGGCGTCGGCAGTTTGCGAGACTATGGAGAAGCCCGCCGCAGGCGCCACAGTTTCACATATTATACAACGAGCCCACCGCAGGCGCCGATTTTGTCGTTCAGGCACTGTGGGTAGGTCGCGGGTGGGTCGCGGGTGGGTCGCTGCTGGATCGCAGGTGGGTCGAAACTGGGTCGCGGGTGGGTCGCTGTTGGGTCGCGGGTGGGTCGCAGGTAGGTCGCGGGTGTAGACGGCAGAAAATTCATCCCCATAATGATCACCCCGACAAGCGAAGCCGTTCAGTAAACGCACACAAGGACGGAATCGAACAGGGCAAGGCTGTTTAGTCAACGCCCAGGTCCGTTTAGTAATCGACAAGTGTCGGGTCCAGGTGGTTCCTCCTTCCTTGAGGGTGGTTCGCGGGGTGGGTCGCGGATGCGTCGCGGGTGCGTCGCGGGTGGGTCGCGGGGTGGGTCGCGGGGTGGGTTGCGGGGTGGGTCGCGGGATGGGTCTCGGGTGGGTCGCGGGGTGGGTCTCGGGTGGGTCGCGGGGTGGGTCGCGGGGGGATCGCGGGGTGGGTCGCGGGGTGGGTCGCGGGGTGGGTCGCGGGTGGGTCGCGGGGTAGGACGACAACAACAACCAACAAAACAACAACAAGGGCAACAACAACCATAACAACAACAACAACAACAACAACAACAACAACAACAACAACGCAACAAGCAGAATTCGCACCACGAATCCCCACTTCAGCCACGCACCCAGGGACCATGGATGACCATGTGGCCCCCTCACTCTGACAAGATGGGTATACTATATGCTCGGGTCCGACGCCTGCCTCCAAGGACATATAGTACTAGTATGTCTCTGTGTGTCCCAGAGCAGGGGGTCCCGCGGGGCAACGTAGAGGGGGGGGTACAGTCAAAACTGATAGCAAGGATGCGCGAGGAGGATGCAAGGCCCTTGGGAGCCACTGTCGAAGCTTTCCGAGTGGGGCTGGCCATCAAACGGGTTAAGAATGGAGATCAGAGGCAAGGGCGCAAGTGTCCCCGTGGGAAAATCACCCATCCCCCGCATCGGCTTCGACTGTGGGCTCTGGGCTGGGCGCCTCCGGCGCCACTCCTGGCGCGCTCGGCGCGCCATGGGTAGTGGGCCCAGCGCCAATCCCAGAGAGCCGCGCGCTCGCTACAGTGCCGTTTTTAATACATGCTCCGCGTGCGGATCATGTATTACAAATGCAGGGATTTAGTATCAAAACCAATGATGAGTTCATGCATAAATTTATTCATGCATTAATCATGTAAGGAAAAACTATAGGTTTAAACATCTTATGCATCAGAAACTGCCCTGTACGTTACTCCCGATCAGCCCGAAGGCCGTGCGAATCTGGAGCTCGGGGGGACAACAATCTTGGCCCGTGCCTCTGGCACCCGGGCGATTAAGCGATCGTCGTGCTTAAGGATATGTCGCGGGCAGGAATGGGCGGGAGCAGGAGGAGGAGAGGGGGAGGGGAAGGGGAGGAGATCCGCGCGGACCTCCCCAAGTTCATGTTCGCGCCGTGGCTTTCTTCCTCTGGGTCTCTCGCCCTTCCCTGGCTCCTCTGGCGTCGCCCGAGGCTGAGCATTGCCGCCGCCATGCTGACGAAGCCGGTGCTGGTCCGCGCCCCTCGTCCGCGCCTTCTGTGGGTGTGTGTGTGTGTGTGTCATTGCGTGTGCTCCGCGAGGGGACGTCGCGGGATCTCGGAGAAAGAAACATGTTTTATGTTGCATCGAGCGGCCCCCACCAAAACCTTCCGTGTTCCCGACTCTGGTGCGTATTGCTTGTCCTCCTGACCAGCCTGAGCTCTGGGCGCATGTCGCAAGACGCTCTGGTACCGCTGCGTCGCACTGTGTCACGTTCCGTTCGGTTCTGTTCATTTTTTGCGCATGTAGCTCGTTATGCTCATCTATCGAGTGGGCGGCGTAACGTCTAAACGGTCTTTGCTGCGCCTGTGTATGTCCTGTGGCCAGCCTTATGTTGGCGTGGATACTGCGTTTGACTGGGCGCCATTACTTTGTGTTTGCTCTGTTTCGCATGATTCAACCATGTTATATTTATATGTGCTATTATGTTCTCAACGGGCCGGCGTGACGCCGTGCCACCTGTCCCATCGGATACGCCGTCCAATCTGCCGTTGTTGCATATGATTCTTCTTGTGGCCAGTCTTATCCGTAAGTGCTTCGACCGCTGCTGCCGCCCCCTCTCTCGGATAATGGGCTATGCAAGAGCTATATCATGAGGCCTCGACGCCGCCGTGAAGCAGCATCGGCAAGAGACATTGAGCTTCGGATGATATTGTTGAACTCAGTGTTGCATTTTGAACCTTCCCCGTATGCTGTGCACTGAGGTCTCCCACAAAATTTCGGACATGTGGCAAATCCCATGGGTTTTTCGACCCTGACCCCGCCGACCTGCGTGAGGGGTGCCGCCGAATTTCAAAAGTGGGGCAGCACATGCCATGCGTTTTTCGACCCTGACTCCGCCCCTGACCCCGTCGATCTGCGTGAGGGGTGCCGCCGAGGTTCAGAAATGTGGTGAATCCCATTGGTGTTTCGACCCTGACCACGCCGATCTGCGTGACGGGTGCCGCCGAATTTGCAGAAATGTGGCAAATCCCATTGGTTGTTCGACCCTGACCCCGCCGACATGCGTGAGGTGTGCCACCGAATGTTTTCAAATGTTGCAAATCCTATGGGTTTTTGGATTCTGATTCCGCCGATCTGCGCGATGGGTGCCGCCGAATTTTAGATATGTTGCAACCCCATAGGTTCTTGGATTCTGACCCTGCCGATCTGTGTGAGGGTTGCCGCCGAATTTCAGAACTTTTGGACCTCGACCCCGCCGATCTGCGTGAGGGGTGTCAATTTCGACCCTCCCAGAAATTCTGAGACCTCTCCCGGGAGGTGCTAACCAGGGCGGTTTTCTGCTCCCCCCCTTCGCGCGGTCTACAACAAGGAGCAGTAAGCAGCATGAAGCAATACTGTAACAGTGGAAACTGGGAAGTGGAACTGGCGCAGGGAACAGCAAACCCTCATCCTACGGCCTGGTGGCCCCACAAGGGGGCCGGCGGATTTCGGCGCGCACGTCGCGATTGAATTTGGTATGATATTTCGTTTGATAAGAAAGAGCATGTTTTACCGCTGCTGGCTGAAACCCGGGGGGGGGTTAACTGGGGGTTCCCAACCCGTCCCCCCGCCCCCCTTCGAAAACCTGGGGGGGTCACTTCCGGTCCGAACCCCCCCCCCCTCCCAGTCCATAATGAAAAAGGGGGGGGGGTCATTGCTGGTTCGAACACACACACACACACACACACACACACCCCTCCTCGAGAACCGAGGGGGGGGGGAGGTCTCTACCAGTTCGACCCCCTCTCCACCCTGGCAGCCGGCAATCGATCCCCTCTCCTCGGGACGAGGACGGTGGTGGGACAGCAGTACAGTGGGGGAGAGTCGTGGGGACAGAGGGGACAGTGGGCCAGTGGTGGGGACGGTGGGGACGGTGGGACAGCACAGCGGGACAGCGGCGGGGACAGTGGGGCAGTGGTGGGTACAGTGGGGACAGCGGGACAATGGTGGGGACCGTGGGGAAAGTGGGGAGAGTGGGACCGTGGTAGGACAAGGGCGGGGCGATCGGGGACACTGAGACACTGGTGGGTGTCACCAGTGGGGACAGCGGGGACAATGGTGGGAACAGGGGGGACAGTGGGACAGTGGTGGGGACTGGGACAGTGGTGGGGATCGTGGTGGTGGGGACAGTGGTGTGGGGACAGTGGGACAGGGGTGGGGACAGTGGGGCAGTTGTGGGGACAGTGGTGGTGGGAACAGTGGTGAGGGCGGTGGCGAGGACGCCGGTGGGACAATGAGACAGAGATACAGTGGGGACAGTGGTGGGGACAATGGCACAGTGGTGGGGACAGTGGGACAGCTCAGTGGGACAGCGGCGGGGACAGTAGGACAGTGGGGACAGTGGGCCAGTTGTTGGGGCCGTGGGGAAAGTGGGGAGAGTGGGACCGTGGTGGGAACAGTGGTGTGGACAGTGGGGGCAGTGCGACAGTGGTGGGGGCACTGGTGGGGACAGTGGGGTCAGTGGTGGGAACAGTGGGGACAGGGGTGGTGAGGACAGTGGTGCTGGGGACAGCAGTGGAGGCTGTGGTGCGGACGGTGGTAGGGACCCGAGAGTCGTTTGCCGGCGGTGAGCGTGGGTGGGGGGGGAGGGGTTCGAACCGGTAGTGGCCCTCCTTTTTTTCCGGAGGGGGAGGGGGGGTCGAACCGTAGTGACCCCCCCGGTTTTCTGGAGGGGGGGGGGAGGGGTTCGAACCACCGGTAGTAACCCCCTCTGATTTTCTGGGGGGGAGGGCTTCGAACCAGCAGTCCCCCCCCCCGGTTTTCCGGATGGGGGGGGGGTTCGAATAGATAGTGACCCATCCCAGTTTTCCGGAAGGGGAGGCGTAGGGGGGGGGGCCAGGGGGAACGGGGGGGAGGCTCCAGCAGGGGGGGGATTTGCGGAGGGAGGGGGGGAACCCCAGGTTCCAGAGGAAGAGGGGGGATTTTCCAAAAGTACAGCGGCGGCGGATCATGCTCTCTCTTTGAAGAGGTGCCGCGATTTGGTGGCAATTATTCATGATTGTGATATATTATGTTTGCCTGGATTCTGCCACAGCGTAATAAAGGACAGTATGCTATGTTATGTTCTCTTCCTGGCGTGACCTTGTGACGCCTGTCACGATTCAGACGTATTTCTATTTGGTCGGGTCGTTTTATTGTTTGTTTATGTGGCCACCGTGGGCTATGCGCGCATCGCGCGTACGTTAGGACGGCATTACTTGGTCGTTGCTGCTTTTTGTTTTTTGCATATCTGGTTTGCTCGGTTTGCTCTCGACGGTGCGGCGTGACGTCGTGACGCCTGTTCATATGTAGTCTAATCGGTCGTGTCTGCGCCTGATTTTGCTCTGTGGCCAGCTATACGTCCGCGTGGGACCTGCGTTTGACAGGGCGAAAATAATCGGTCGTTGCTGTAGTCAGTCGTATTACATGTTTTTGGATTCCATTCTGTTCTATTATTTTATGTACGATATCATGTTCTGTTGTGTTCTCGACTGGCCGGCGTGACGTCGTGACGCCTGTCACGTAGATGCGTCGTCCAATCTGTCGTTGCTGCGCCTGCTTGTTCCTGTGCCCAGCCTGAGCTCGGCGCTCACGTCGCGTTTGATGTTGTCTACGGACGCTTATGTCATGATGCCCCAATTGCAGTGGTGAGTACATCTAAATTATTAGGCGTACTATGTTATGCCCAGCCCTGTCATACCATGACTTGCCATTGTATGGAATGTTTTTGCGTTGTACTAGTTTATGTTATAATGTTTACGGTGTAATATGGTCATTCGGTGGTGCCACGACTTGTTTTGGTTATGAAGTATTTCGTTATCAATGTTACAGTCTGTCATTGCATGTCATATTTTTTGCCGCGGCCAAACTGTCGATAAGCACCCCGCAGTAGTGAATCAAACCAACCGACCTCCCAGACAATGCCTTTCAGCAGCCCGAATTTCAGCCAACGCGTATCACAAGGATGCACGATATGGATGCAAGGATCGTGAAGGACCCTCACGACACGTTTCGAGCGGAGCGCAGCCAGCGAAAGTGTCCAAGGATGAACCGAAGGGGCAAGGATGTAAGGGTAATCTTCGAACATTCCTCGTCCGTCGTGTCTTGCGCATGCAAACGCACGACGGCGCGATGCCTGTGCGAGCTGCACCGCATTCCTGCGACACAGCGCTAAAGCAGTAATCCAATGAACCCCTTCAGCAGAAAGCAAGCCTGCGGTGGTGGTGCACGAATGGGGGCCCTGAAGAATGTCACTCCCCCGCCCTCTGATGCTTGCACATAGGTGCTTGGCGCGTCCATCAACTTAACATAACATGAGTCCTTTGTCTGATGACCACCCGGTGTTAGCGGTGTATGTTTGCGGGCCGCTCATCTCGCCAGCATGCTTGTGTCCTGGGCAATCTGCCACTGACGATCTCTGAGGAGGGCTCTGGTTCTTCGGGGGGGCCTGCTGTGTTTTGGGGCGTCTCAGGGAATCTTTTGAGCGCCTCTCTGGGGCCTGCTGGCGGTCGCGGGGGCAGTCTTGGGCGGCTAGAGGGCTCTAACTGTGAGTTAGAGCTGCCCTCCTTGGGACCGTCTTGGGGACCTCTCGGGCCTCTCTCGGGGGCTTGGGGACCCTCTTGGGACTGTCTGGGGGGTGGGGTCCGCTCCAGCTTGAAGGTGCAGTCTTTCGCCGATCCAGGAGGGCTCCCAAAGGGGCCCCAACGGGTGAGCACGAACCGAGATTTCGATCAGCTCGCGCCGAGGAGGCCTCCAAAGAGGACCCCAGGAGGACCCTAAGAGGCCCCCTCGAGGCCCCAGGGTGCCTCCTCGGCCGTCTTTGACTGTCGGAAAAAACAAGGCGGCGAGTATCCGAACACCCTCCAGAGTCGAGTCAGTTTCGTGCAACTTGTGCTAAGTCGGGCCCGTCCCTCTACAGGAGGCAGGCCCCCAAACGGTCCAAAAATCGTCTGGGGACGATCTTTCGAGCATTTCTTTTTTACCATGTTTTTGGAATATGTCTGGGATGCTTCTGCTTCTTTGTCGCCCGAGATGAGCCTCTAGGGGGACGCGCCCGGCCCCAAAAACTGGCGCTGCCAGCCCAGACCCCGGGGCCCCCCAGTCGGCGGCCCCGAAGGCGGCGAGCCTCATCGGAAGCGCGCGCGGGCGGGCATCGGTGGGCTCCCCGCCGCGGCCCCCAAGAGAAGGCCGCGGGAGGAGTCCCGCGGGTCAAGCAGTGGCGAAGCGTCCCGGCTCGCCTATAGCCCCACCAAACAGTGTTCTAAGAACTTGTTGTGGTTCCCACGGGCTGTTCTTAGAACGTTTCTGGCGGGGACTGTCTTGTTCGAACACATCGGGTTCATGCTCTAAGAACATTGTTTTTGTTCTTAGAACATTTTTGGGTTCTAAGAACATGTCGTGGTATGACTATAGGAATGCCGGGACGGTCGGTCCCTGCTCCAGCGGGGAGCCCCGCGAGGGCCAGGGAGGAGCCTCAAGTCGGGCCTGTCCCTCTGCAGGATCGTATGGGGACGCTTTGTCCTAATTTGTTTTTGAGCATTGTTGGCACATGTTTCGATTCAGATTTTCTACTGTTCGCCCAAGATCCCCCCTGTAGGGGGCCCGACCTATAAGAATGAGCCACAATTCCCCGCACCACGAGGGTCCCAAGCATTCCCGAGCGGGCCTCCGCACGCCTCCAGGGTTTTTTGGCCCCCTTTCGGAGGGGCCTGAGGTCTCCTCCTCCTCGTCCTCTCTCTTCACCCTCAGTCTCCCTCCTTCCTTCCCATTCTTCCAGGGTTTGGGCACCTTTCGGAGGGGCCTGAGGTTTCCTCCTCCTCGTCCTCTCTCTTCACCCTCAGTCTCCCTCCTTCCTTCCCATTCCTCGGGCGCAGCTCCTGGGAGGTCACATTCAGCACCTGCGCGGGTGTGTACATCCGCGGTCGGACACCGCCCGAGTCCGCTCCGCGCTCGCTTGAGCCAGCCAGGTCTAGGCTCATTCGGTTTGGTCTGGTTTCATCCCGGGCTTCACGTGGGCGAATCTGGCTCAGTTGGTGATCCATCAGGCCTATTCGCCCTTAGTGGTGACTTTTGTTTTTTTAATTGCGGCTTCCCTCCCAATTCCTCCTTCCTCCGCAGTTCCTCCCTCCTTCCAACGGGTGTCTTCGGGATCCAGTCCACCTCCGCAGCCAGGTTTTCGCGGACGAGCCGACGAGCGGCATCGATTCGTTCGCCAGTCTCCGCGTCACCGAGGTGCTGAAGGTGTCCCCCCTCGTTCCCAACGCCCTCTTCGTCCCGTCGTCTACGTCCCGCCCTTCCTCGGACCCCTTCCCCCATCTTCCCCTACTCTCGGGTCGGGCGAAAGGGGGGGATAGCAAAGGGGGGGGTTGAGAATCAGCTCACGTAGCTGATTTTCCCGGCGCCTCCCGGCGCCGGAGGCGGCTATGTATCGAGGAATGGGCCCATCGGTGGGGCCGAAACCAGCTGCATGTAGCAAATTCCGTAACCCCCCCTTTCCCAATCCCCCCCTTTGCCCGGCCCGATGCTCCCCGCCCGACTGCGCCCTCGTCCCTCCACTGTCTCGTTCCCCATCCCATCCCCGTCCTTGTGTCCCTGCGGGAGGCTCGCGCAGTGCCGCCATGGGCGGCGACCCTCCTGCCGTCGTTCTCGAGGTCGTGAGCGCCACCGGTGGCCCGGACTCGGCCGATGCTGAGCGACCTCCGCAGCCGCTCATCGCTCGAGGTCGAGCACACCACGCGCAGGTCGCTGTCAGAGACCGTCACACAGGTCGTCGCGACGCGAGCCTGCCGTATACCTCCCCTTCTCCCCGCTCCTCTCCATCCCGTCCAGTTCGTTTCGGGGACCGACACCGTCTCGTGGGCACCGCTTGGTTGTCGGCCGCGCTGGGCAGCAGCAGAAGTGGAGGAGGAGGCCGTCAAAGAGGAAAGAAGGCGACCAGTACGTCGCCGAGGGAGGTCAAGCTAGCGCCTGGCATGGGGCCTGCCTGTGGGTAGATGGTATATAACTATAGGCCCCCTCTCCGTGCTGCTTATATCAGCGGGGTCGCGCCGGAGAAAGGCGCATGGGGGAGCGAAGAGGGCAGAATAGGCCCTTGCGGCTTAAACGGCTTGCGATTTAGCCCCTTACTGCCACATCCCCCCCCCGCCCCTGGGGCTCAAGAAGGAAGAGGATGATGAGCAGGAGGAGGAGGAGGAGGAGGAGGAAGGGGAGGAGGAGGAGGAGGAGGAGGAGGAGGTGCATGCAGTCTCGGCGGCTGGTCCTCTGGATTCGTTGTTGCGCGTCCCTTTGGCGGGAGTTACCGTCTCGCCGCTATCCTTCGTCATCTTCCCCTCCTGCTCCCTCCTCTCTTGCTCCTCCTCCCACGCCCCCCACTCACGTTCTGCTCGCGCTCGTACTCCTCCCTCCCCATCATCCCATCCCCCCCACCCTCCCCCACTCCCCCGTCAATTCTCGCCCTCCTTTATCCTCCCCCATCCTCATTTTGTGATTATGTGCTGCTGCCGCCTCGCCCTCCCACCTCCTCCCCAACCTGCTGAGACCGGATCTCGGCGGTGGCCCCACTCCTTCCCATCACCAGGCGTATGTCAGACAAAAGAGTTGGTTACTCTCCTCGTCTTCCTCCTCCCCCTCTTTGGCCTCCGGGGTCGTCGTCGTTGCCGCCTCCGCTGTCATCGTCATTGTTGTCGTGGTCGGTGTCACCGCCGTCATCGTCGTTGTCGTCGCGGTCGTCGACGCGGTCGTCGTCGTCGTCGTCGTCGCCGGTTGCCGCGGTCGTCGTCGTCAGCGTGGTCGTCGCCGCCCCCCGCGCTCTGGCGCGATCTCCTCGTTGGCGGGGCAGGAGGAGAAGTGGGAGGAGGAGAAGTGGGAGGAGGAGGAGGATGAGGAGGAGGAGGAGAAGGAGGAGGAGGGGGAGGAGGAGCAGGAGGAGGAGGAGGAGGAGGAGGAGGAGGGCGATGACGACGAAGTCCCGAGCAGGATGAGCAAGAGGAGATCAGGAAGAGCAGGAGGAGGGGGAGAAGGAGGAGGAGGAGGAGGAGGAGGAGGAGGAGGAAGAGGAGGACGAGGACGAGAACGACTTTCCGAGCATGAAGAGGAGGAGGAGGACAGGAAAAGGAGGGGGCGTAGGAGGAGCAAGATGAGGAGGGGCAGGAGGGAGACAACGATGTCCCGAGCATGAGGAGCAGCAGAAGGAGAAACAGAAGGGCGAGCAGGAGGAAGAGGAGGCGGTGGAGGAGGAGGAGGA